TAAATGAAATAAAAAAACTCTAACTGTATTTGTTATATTTTTCAAAAAGTTCTAAATTTCTAACGTATAGATATAATTAATTTTTGTATTTAAAAAAATTATACTGTATACTTTAGGTACAGTGCGTAAAGTACGTGGAAAGTAAAATTTGGCCCTTTAACTATTCAAATATTAAATAAAAAACTTGATAGGAAGGGGCAGGTAATTTAGTTACAACTCGCGGCACGAAAGTCTAGCGGTGACCGTTATGGCGTAAAATTAGCCGTATTGCGTATGATTGGCTGTGCGTATCGTTCGCACGCGCTGATTGGCTCTCCAGTCGCATTCTGTCTCCCGTACTGATACAACATTCGCAGCTATCTCCTCCACATTTCGTTCAGCGCTATAGTTACATGCCGCGATAAATATATGCTTTACTTTTTTATAGAATAAGGGTGACAAACGAGCGCATAGTCCGCCTGATGTTAAGTGGTTGCCATGGCCTATAAACATCTACATCTATCATCGATTAAGAATCAAAATGCAGCTGCGTTGTCACTTGTTACTCATGAAGGTAAAAAGGGTCTCCGATTCTCTAAACTTACCATACGAAACATTATTCTGTTGTTTAACGCTTACTCTGTGGCAGCATGGTCCCACCCCGTTCGAACTGACCCATTTGTGCTGTAGCTATGCATGGCTGGTGTAGCTGCAGCGTGGCCCTACCACTTAAAACCTGGTATAGTGAAACCTTTCTCCTGGTATATAGTAGAGCAGATAAATTGCATAGCTTTAATATCCTTGAATCTAATGGTTGCACTAAACTATGTATAGTTGTAAGTTGAAAGGGCTGACATTGTTTAACCTAGTTGAACGTAAATACCAGCATAACAGTAACGAAGTTATCTATTACAACGGAAACTTTCAAAGTTCAAGGGGTTTCTCAGTTCAAAGATTATTTGTCCTCGTGATATTCTGTGGCCGTAAGATTCAAAGTATTGCATTTTCTCTATAATATATTCATCGTGTAGTACCACTACTAATGTGTAATAATATCCACCACTCCATGGCGTTCAGTGGGTAGCGTAAGAGGCGACAAAAGGAAACAAACCAGGGGATTGGCAGCAGCGTCTTCCTAATAACAAGTAAGAAAGGAAATACTGCGATTGCTGACCCGCCTTACAATCGTGCCAACTGTGGCGAATATCCCCACATTGGGAAAGGCCAATGTTCAGAAGTCGACGGAGGCAGAGTAGACTTATGTAAGTGTATATTAAGTTCATCAGTCTAAAGTTTAACTGCCAAATATGGGCTAAAAATATAAAAGCGAATTAAATGAATTAAAAAGATGTTGTTCTTGATTTGTTTTGGTGACTGTGACAAATGCCTTGTTCATAGTCAGGTCGAGAAGTGTGTTTTCTGCGAAAACACGTTACAATTTTCCTATAAATATGAGCTATGGCTCATTCGATTCGGCATTTTATTCTGAGAGCGGCGTTTTTTTTTCCTGCAAACAAAAATTGCAATTGTCATTAACAAAAACTTTTGGAAATAACTCAAAAATTATAAGGAATAATGAAAACTACAAGGGTACCTTACTCCTTAAAAAGGAGAACATTTGCAACAAAAAGCTTCCGACTTTCGGAACTCTTGATCCTATTTTTATTAATATGAAGGAATTAATTAAAATAGAAATTAAATTATTAATTTCAAATTTTTTAATACAATTATTTTTAATAGAATTGAAAATAAAAAATTAATAGATGCAATTGATTGAGTTGAGGAGGATTTGCTGTTGATAATGCTACTTTAACTCGATTTTATTCATTTCATTTTTTATTTCCATTTATTATTTTAATATTAACTATAATTCATCTATTATTCTTATTTATAATTTTAATTGAACACTGAAAGTAGGGCTCCGCGAGGCCGTTACGGCATGCGTGCGTCGCCGCTAGAGAGAGCCGGATAAAATTATTTTTTTTATAACCTATAACGTTATTTTAAATAGTTAAAAATATTCAGATATCATTTGAACAATAGAAAGAATAAATCCTCGTTGGAAAAATGTCTTTGTCTCGATGTTTCAAAAAGTTATACAATTGTCAACCAACCAATTTTTTCTAATCTCTGTTTTTACAAAAGTCGATATAAAATTTTAAATAAGTGACCTCTAAATTTTTTGCTTCTTGTAGCCCTTCTTATATACATACCTAAAAAATATTTTGTATAATTTTTTAATCAATGAAATATGAACTATCCAAGAAATACTGTTATTTTTTTTTACAATTCTTATTACGAGTATACAGCTGTTACGGCATTTAACAATGACAGTAATGCAGGATTTTTTTTTTCGAGAGCGTTCAGCGTCGACTGGAAAAATTAGGCAAATGAATAGATAAATCATTGTCTATTATGAGTTATTTATCCAGAAGATAAGAAATGTAAGACATTTTTCTACTAGTAAGATTTCGTTCAACTTGGGTTTCAGAGCAGCGATGTGTTGTTAAAGAGCCTTTAACCATCTTCTTAGTTTGAAAGAACACAATTTTTGCAAGATTTTCATCTCTACCAAATCCTTTCTGATGCGAGAAAATTGTAACTGATAATTTTCTCTTTGTTTGAAAGTTATCTGCAATTATTTATTTAACATTTGTGTTTATCTTGCACGTGTCACACGTCATGGTCGACAGTTGCAGGCTTATCGAATCCTGCCTCGAGCTTCTGGCCCTTCCAGGCTGCATGGGTCCACTGTACTCGTAAACTAACAGTAACATGTACGGGAACTGTAAAACCGGTTTTATTGGTATTAAAGTACAGTATTATAATATTTAACAGTAGGTGCTGTGAATAAACTGGTAAATATTACAGCTTGTATATGTCCCACTCCTCGGTACAGGCCTCTCATCTATGAGAGGGCTTTAGGACCGGGAAGTGTCCACCTTGAAGCTCCAATGAGTGTTGGCGGACTTCATACGGCTTTTTGCACGGCAGATTTCCTCTCGATTTTTTTCTCCACCGCAAGTAGTAAATCCGTATTTAAAATGCAGTTGCAATTTAATTGGTGCCGGCGCGGTGATCGAAACCAGATTGTTCGAGCTGTTAGCCCCTTCGCCCCGTTGCTCACGGCTCATAATAGCTGGTTTGAATAGATAATAGACGGTAGACACACTCTTGTAAGTATTGTTTACAAAGGCGTATTCACTGCTTTTGTGAATAGGCCAGCGAATACTTTAATGAAAAAGTATTTTGTCCTGGTTAAATGCTTCTCGATATTGTAAGGGACAACAAACTGGCTTAACATTTTTAAAATTTTGTGACGTAAGCAATATCAATATCTCATTTAGAACAACAAAGGGAAAAACCATAGAATTTTTATATTAAGGAACAAGGAGGCTTAGTTTTTATAAGTCTTCGATACAACTCCGACTATACGTCAAAAACTTTCATACCTAAAAATATAATATCGCGATAGTTGATATAATGGCAGTTAATTGTAGTTCTAGTTTCTGTACGTGCTTGAGCCACGCTGCAGAGCTATGTTAGTGGTGTAGTTGTAGTACGAATGCGTCGGCTCGACCGGGGAAGGAAATCTCTCACAGAATACCAGCGTTAAGTTGCAGCGTAATGTAGCAGTGATGAGTGTAGAGAACCAGAGACCCTTTTTACTGGAAACGAGGCATTCCATCTTAGTCCTCACGGGTGACAACGCATTTGCGTTTTGATTCTTAACCGAGGATAAATGTAGATGTCAATGGGCCGCAGCAACCACTTACTATCAGGTGGACTGTTTGCTCGTTTGTCACCGGTATTCTATAAAAAATTGTACTTACTGAAATGTTCAAAATTGTAGCTAATCCAAGCGAATATAATCAAGATTGGCGGTTTTAGCAAATCCTTCCTAACCATGAATGGCCTACGTCCAGCATCGGACGGAAACTGCATAATAAAGAAGAATATGAAATATATATTTTACCTCCAGCGACTTATTGTTCTGTTATTACTTCCAAAAATTATATTAATCACTACGTTTTATTTAATAATTTGCAACTGTAACACGCTCCGGTTAAAATGTACACTAACTATGGATGCAGTTTGTAAAGTTCCCTTTATATATTTATAATTCTTTTTACTAAATTTAACATTATGACCGACACCGCGGATCCATAATAATAATTTGTTTATTATATTTTGTTATTTAAACGTATGCAGTTCCTGTAATTCCCATGGTGTTGCGGTTGTTCGTGGGCGGCGTTAGTCACTTACCATCAGGTGAGCCGCATGCTCATTTGCCCCCTCTCCTATAAAAAAAAAACAAAAGACAATAATCATTGCGGTGGAAGTCACTTGTGACGTACTTCTATAATATAATATTAAGATAAAACTCAACATACGAATAGATTAAAAATTTATATTTACTAACTTATGCCTACATCTTTATCATTTTAAGGTGTTTAGGATTGGAATTTTGCTATAATTCGTCAACACTAATTTACTAATAGTAGTTACAGCTTTTTTACTTCGTTCCGTCTTTAAATAATTGACCAACTCCTGTTTTTGTTATACACATAAACCAAAAAGAAAGGATCGGGCCTGTGCTTTGTTACGTGTCTTAGGGGAGGTCTAAGTTTAGCAGTGGAGTAGCAATAATGGATTTACAGCTAAATTCATAAACACAGAATAAAGTTTCAGGCAATATAGTCCGGGGTGGGTACAGGCCTCCTCCCATTTTTGGAAAACTTGTGGAGCAATCCAACGCGCTGCCATAGTGCGTGATGGCTGAATTCAAATCATGTCTTCGATATATTTTTTATTCCTCAGAGATGAAGGATGTTTTCGTTCATTTCGTACGTCAAGGACGTGGTAAAGCAGCACTTGAAATTTTGCTATAAGAATTTCCTTAGTGCTGGCGCGGATGGAACCCGGGTTACTGTATACTTAGCTACTTAGCCACTGAGTTACTACGGCTCCTTTAAGCCTTACAGTTCCAAAATATTCATAAATTATTTTTTGTTTAACAGATGCGAGTCAACAGAGTACCAGTTCCTAGCGGATTTCGTAGCTGGAAAAGAAAGCACGGCAGGCGGACGATTGGCTCGCTGGTTGGCACCCATGCCTCGAGTTGAACCTTCCCTTTGTGAACTCCGAGTGCCGACTTTAGCTGTACGCCCTTCTACGCCTTTGACATTGCCTATCTTCATCAGGGACCAATATGGGGACGCCGTTGTTTCCCCTTCGCTCAAAGTGGAGGTAAGGCTTTCTTACTCTTACTTAAAAAATTTACATCTGAACGAATGGTATATATTTTGATACTAAATATTGTATGTAAGGTTGAATTAGTATTAGGTGTACTTGTAATTTAAAATTTTATATAATTTTTTTATAAAATATGTTTAAAACTGAAATATTACGTGATTTTTTTTACGAAGCTGAGATCACCTAGCTATCGAAAATCGATGCGAACCGGAGCGATGGTGCGGTGTAGCCTTAGCGCTTTTGCACTTTAGTCACTCTTTTTAACGCGTTTTTATTACACGATTTTATATTAGTTTGACCTGTGTTTGTGTATTTCTTTATATGAATGTAATTTAATTTTATAATTAACTTTTCACACACTTCCGGCTTCTGAATTCACATTCGGCATTCTGAAACACAGACGACAATACAATAAATTCATGAATATGACGTAGTATTCTCAGTAGAATCGTCACAGATCATGATCACTCATATCATAAAACACTCACGCCTGTCACTCAAAGGGCATAGGCAGAGACTACGGACTTCTGTTTGGCAGATGTTGACCTTAGTATATACATATAGCTTACTTATTGATAGTCTAAGATCACACATCAGCGTAGCCAGGCGGGCTTCCGAGGTTTAATTCTTGTCCATACGGTAGACAGAACGTGACCGGTGGCGAACTTAAGTTTTTTCAAGCCCAATATTATTAGGTATTTACAAATCGATTTGTTTGCCGTTGTTTCCGTTCAAATTCTCATAAATTTTAATCGCGATCTGGCGTTTTAATAACTTTGTGAAAACTAATATAATATAATAAAGTCGAATGTGTGATGCGAATCCGACCTCATATGTACTTAGATCGCATCGAATCCCAGGAACCACACTTGCAAAAAATATATTAGTTTTCTAGTATGATTGTGTTGTGATTTTCTCCGAAAATCGAACTGTGCGTCCGATCTCTGATCTTATCGTCCAGAAGATTACACAAAGCACGGGTGACGAATAACTTGTGTTCGCGTATTCACTATAGCACTATAATATATTATTTTGTGCATTTGACAGCATTTGATTATTTAGATTGAATTTTGATATACTCCTGGTATATCAAAATTCAAAGAATTCATTGCAATTCGTTTCTGAAGCTCTCTTGTTCCATGTTTCTGATTACGTGCCTATCTTACGTAATCAAAGTGCAAGTAGGAAAATATACTGCACTAAAATCTAAAAACGGATGTGATATAACAGTTTCGGATTAATAGATTACCGTCATCCGATCACTATGAAAGTAAACGAGTATTTTTTCATGGAAAAGTTTTTATGCTTTCCACTTTGTTATGGAGCTGCAGGACATCAATTTGCATGCCATTTAACCGATCGCTTTCTTCTGAACTTCTCTATATACGTGTGTGCATAATGTTTATAAATAAATTCTAAAGCCATATAAATGTTTAAATTTCGCCGCAAAAATTTAATCATTTATGTGGCTTTATATTACTTTCCATTCACTTGTGTGAGTTTTGTACTCGTATCGCATATTTGGTAAACGATATAGGTACTAAAGCTTTTGCGAATTAGACAGTGTTATTTGTTAACGAATTTGGCCCCATGAAAATGCGATAAAGTATTCTTAATTAAGCGTTGTAGGCAAGTTTTTTTTTTTATAGAATAGAGTGGCGAACGGGCACACAGTCCACCTGATGGTAAGTGGATGCTGTGGCCCATAGACATCTATCTACATTTATCCGCGATTAAGAATTAAAATGTCACCCGTGAGGACCGAGATAAAATGCTTCATTTTCAGTAAAAAGGGATCTCCGGCTCACTATACTCACCATACGAAAGACAGCAGCATAGAGCTGCTATTTTACGTAGATATTCTGTGAGAGCGTGGTCCTACCCCGGTCGAGCCGAACCATTCGTGGTACAACTATAATGTAGTTGCAGTGTCGCTCTACCACGTTTTCTTTTTTGTTACCATTGATTTCGCGCCATTTATCGGTAGCAACAACATCTTGTAATTTTACTTCTATGACTCTTCCGAAGCCACGGCGCACAAGGCAAGAGGCACGAGGCACATTTTGTAGGCTTCGTCTTTCGAAACACTAAACTTTTAAAAGTATTTAATATTTTTCGGCGACTTAAAAATTATTCTTCGAGTGTATTTTTTGCAAGGTGTTTTGCGATCTTCGCCAGCTGTGTGCCTATTTTTATGTTTTTTGTAGAGATGAAACGGATATCCTGTAACTATCCCGTATTAGGCCTATCCGGCCTAAATTAGTATTCAGTCGGATAACGCATAACAAATGACCAGGATACCAGATTTATAAAACATACAAAATATGAAATTTAGGTTACGTACATAAATAAAGTACGTACACAACAAATATAATCAGTAATCACAAAACTTTTATATTAAAACTTAGGAAATTAGTATTTAGTATTGATAAATTAGGGTGTTGTCGATCGCGAACAATTTGCACTGACTTTACTTTTCGTTTCTTGCGATGCACAAAACGGCAATGTTTGGCAGAATATCGGCTATCCTTAGTAGAGACTAGGCGAATATCCGATATCCGACTAAACAGCTATCTGTTTCATATGATTTTTTTTGTTTTATTTAAATTGGCCTCTATATCCTCGACGCATTGTCATACCACTATTTAAATATGAAATAAAAATTGCATATCCTTAGGGTGGGAAAAATAAGGGTTGAAGTTTCATAAGTAACAATTTAATATAGCGGACATGCTAGTTATTATACGAACCTTGAGACGTCCGCTCAAACGGGTAAAATAATTTAACTTTTAAAAACTTTAAGAATACCCAGTATTTTTATATTACATCCCGTTACAGCCTGTCAAAGTCCGCTGCACATAGGCCTCCTCCATAGGTTTCCTTATGAGGGGTAAATTGCCATAGTGACCATTGCTGGACAAGCGGGTTAGCGTCTGCAGTTTTTTATTATTAGTCGTTAAGAAGACGCTTCCGCTCATCCTCCTGATTTACTTCCCTCTGTCGCACTTACGACACCCACGGAACGGGGATATTCTTAGGCCGCCAGTATCAGGGTACGGTATTACATCGGATAGTAATAATCAAATAAATAAAATAACATAATTCTATACAGTTACATTTGTACATACATAAAACACTCACGCCTGTCACCCAGAGGGGTAGGCAGAGACAACGGACTTCCATTTTTCACGATCCTGACACACCTCTCTCGCCTCCTTTACATCCATAATATATTTACGCACACACGCTCGTTTCGTTATGTGGCCCATTTTCAAAATATCGCCAATTTGTTCGATAAAACTTCATCTAGGGCGTCCCTTCTCGACTCTGCTGTTCATTATAAGTAAAGTAAAGTTACAGCCTATATACGTCCCACTGCTGGGCTCAGGCCTCCCCCTCATTTCTGAGAGGGTTTAGGGCAAGGAAGTGTCCGCCGCGCTGCCCAAATGCGTGTTGACGAACTTCACATGTCTTCGAAATATTTTTTTTCTTATTCCTCAGACATGCAGGTTTCCTCACGATGTTTTCCTTCACCGCCGAGCACGTGGTAAATCAGCACTTAAAATTGCAATTAACAATTTCATTGGTGCCGGCGGGGATCGAACCCGGGTTACTCGCCTTCTGTTATATTTACAGCGAGCGTTAACCACTGAGCTACCACGGCTGTTCATTATGCAATTATAAATTTTGCTTTGTCATTATTTCCTCGCTCAATCTTTCTATATGACCAAACCACCAAAGCGTTCCTTTCTTAATCCTGGTCACAACAGCATCTTGCACAAAATTTCAGACCCTGTCATTCAGATTCAGCCTTAGCATACTCCTTAAAGACCGCATTTCTACACCCAACTTTCACTACCATACATTACATTTGTCTTAAAAAAAGTGGAAATCCGTGCGTAAAGTTAAAACAAAAATGCAAGTCGTTACTACGTAATTAGACAATTCGAAAATTATACCAATTTGAGAAATAATCTCTCAAACAGCCATAATTTTTGAAACACGCGAAAGGTTAATTATTGTACAGATACTCGTGCATGGATTTCAACCTTGAATTGCGAGAGCCGAATGTGGTTAGCGTTTGTGAACATCATTTCACAAATGAATACATCACGAGCATAATATGACGTAGCGTCCGTGTATTTAATTTACACGTTGCTAGGATTTTTCATGCAATTAGGTTGATGAAAACAAAAGGTCACCAATATATGCCAATATACAATTTACGCCTTACCAACCAAACTGATTTAATTAAACGCGAAAAGAGACAATTATTTTGTAGTTTCAATATGGATGCCAATTTTATGTTTTTATTTACGAAAAGCGTTTTCTATGTCTTAGCATTACAGAGAAAGTAGAAAAAAATGTTTACTTCATTTGGGAATCAAAATAATAGGCGCAACGGAATCAATAGCATGCGAGTATCGCGGATTTGCTTGACACTTGTATTCATTATATGCAACCGCTTTTAATAATTTATATAATAACACTGAAAATGGTGGTTCCATTTTGCTTACAAACACATGAACTATAATAAAAATAAAAAAATAAACCGATATCAAAACAAAACAAAATATTTCAACCTAATGCTTCTGAATTCGGTGCTAAGACATAGTGCATTGAATAATTACAAGTAAAGCGCTGACTTCAGAAGCTATTATTTGGCAGTTATTTTATTTTTGTTTTGAAGCTGGTATTACATTTTATGAAATGTTGGACTATTTCTATTTTTTGAGTGGTATAAGCAATACTTAAGGTGAAGTGGGCGCCAAAAGCATATTTTTCACGCTTTATATGGACTGTTTGGTCGGCCCGCACGCTATTTAATCGCACAATATTTATATGATATTTCATTTTAAAATTGTATATACTCTTTTATTGAAAAATAAACCCATAATTCACTCACGTATTTACTGGTGAACACATAGCTTGAATTTAATTGAAATTGATTTAATTACATTCGAATGAAACACCTTTTTCGATCGGTATCGAATAAAGAATCTTGAACTCGAGTTTCTTGAACTTCCTTTCTATCTACTCTACTCGTATATATGCCATACCTACTTCAGAGCATCTGTCTGTTATCGTGTCATATGCAGAATTCATTGTTTACTAAGTTGGTTGAATCATTATTATTCTGCCATACAACAATATCAACTAACAATATTATAGTACCATAGTATTAAAATACTACTTTTTCTTATAGTATTATTTGTTTTTACTGCGCAATTGATTGAATAAATCCAATAACTCTGTGTTGTTTCATGTTTGTTCACTCCAATCTCGTAATTCCATACGTGCCATAATGTAAAACGAAATAATATTGCGATTGTGTTTAAACAAAGTATATACCTACCTAGGCTATCACATGCAGAATTTATGGATGCGTCAATAGGTACCGTATTGGGTCATTTGTAAAAATGGGTCAAGTGGGTCAAGTGTTAGAAACAGACGATCTTCCTACTAAACACTAACTTACATAATAATAGTATTAATAGTAATACTCTTTATATTTATAAAACTTGATAAATATAAATATGTTGAATTTCTATTCAACAAAAATGATTTGCCATTAAATTTAAATCGTGGCTAAATTATAATATAAAACAATAGAACATCTTCAAAAACAAACCTTAAAACAATAATAACATAGGTCGGCGGAAAGTTTCTTTGTATTTTGTTCGTATAAAATTGAAGAAAAATCTCTTTGGTTGTACTGTTTTTTTTTTCTTGATTTAATATAAATACATATAGGACATTAAGAAAAAGAAGAAGAAAAAGAAAAATACATATAGAACATTAAGAAAAAGAAGAAGAAAAGGTTTAAAAAGCTTCCCGCCATTTTTCAATTGTTTTTCAGTGGGCAAAATGAGTGAATCTAACGAAGAAATTCAATACATTCTAAAGTTCTATTACAAAAAAGGCAAAAATGCGACTCAAGCCGCGAAAAAAAATTGTGACGTTTATGCACCTAAAGCGGTGTCAGTAAAAGTAGCACAGAGTTGGTTCAAGCGTTTTTATTCCGGGAATTTCGGTATCAAAAATGCAGCTCGCTCTGATCGCTCTCATATGAATAAAGTCGATGCCATTTTTGAAAAAGTGGAACAAGATCGGCATATTAGTAGTTATGACATAGCCGAGGAATTGAGGACTGACCACAAAACAGTTTCGATCTATTTGAAAAAGCTGGCTATACAAAAATGATCGGTGTTTGGGTACACTCGAGTTCACTGAAAGAAACTTAATGTATCGTGTACTCATGCGTGTATGGTGGGATAAGAAGGGCATCGCTTATTATGAACTCTTACCGTCAGGTAAAACCATCGATCTCTAATGCCAACAACTAATGAGACTCAAGCAAGAAGTCGAGAAGTCCTGAATTGATCAACAGAAAAGAAGTGGTCTTTCATCATGATAAAGCCAGACCACACACGTCTTTGGCAACTCAGAAAAATTGAGGGAGCTGGGTTGGGAAGTGTTAATGCATCCACCATATAGTCCGACTTATCTGTTTCGGTCTCTTCAGAATTCTTGGGGTAGTGTTAGGTTAACATCAAAAGAGGACTGTCAAATCTACTTGTCGCAATTTCTTGATCAAAATTACAAGATTCCTATAGCAACGGGGCTATGTCCTACCTACAAGATGGCAAGAAGTTATCAAACAAAATATATATATATATATATATATATATATATATATATATATATATATATATATATTATACGTGACATATTCTATATGCCACAAATGCATCTCGTGGTCCTTCACTGCTGGCCGTATGAGGACGCTCAAGGTCGCTCAGCGAGCTATGGAGAGGGCTATGCTCGGAGTTTCACTGCGTGATAGACTCAGAAATGAGGATATCCGCAGTAAAACCAGAGTGACCGACATAGCCCAACGGATTAGTAAGCTGAAGTGGCAATGGGCCCGCCATATAGCTCGAAGAACCGATAACTGATGGGGAAGAAAGGTTCTCGAGTGGCAGCCTCGTACCGGTAGGCGTAGTGGCGTAGGGCGACCCCCCACTAGATGGAGTGACGACCTGGTAAGACATGCAGGAAGTCGATGGATATATATATATATATATATATATATATATATATATATTTTTGAAAAAAAAAATATGTCTTGAATTTGTATTATACGAAGAAACATTTTCCCTGATTTTATATGTCTAAAAAGATACCAATTAAGAGTTTTGTCAAAATCAAATTTAAATTTATTTTCCTTTGTCACCTCTTGGACCCACGGGAAGGGTTCGGGTTATGGATATTCTTACACCTCCCACACGATTACGTGGACGATATGAATGACGAGTTCGTGGAACCTGTCCTTGTGGTCGGAGCTAAGTTCTGCAAGACCCGTTGCAGAAGAAAAATTTTCCTATTACACTATTAATTTCATGGCTGTCAGATGGAAATGAAGCTGTAATCTTTAGCAGATATGACACCATACAGGCAACCTATCAGACGGAGCGGAACCAAGGCTCCAAAGTCTGCCAGAGATTTACTGCCGGATAGAGCCCACTGTCTAAGCTGAATACCGAATGTGGTAGCATCGTTTTAGGGACACCTGAGATCTTGTAACCTCGAACCTCGCGGTCGAACGGCATGGCTTTCCGCATGATAGATGAAGATATTAACAAATAGATTGAGCTGAACAAATGATATTTTCAAAAGTTATAGTTTTTACCCCTCCATGCGGACTTGATAAATCTACACCATAAGCCACTAAAACCATTTTTTAAAGTAAAAGTAGCAATTAATCGATTTAAAAAAATAATAAGTTCAACAATTGTTTATCTTTCTGGACAATGTGTTTTTTATATCATTTATATCTTCAATATGACTGTGTTCATGCGACAAAACATTGAATTCTTGATTTTTGGCACTAGTAGCACATACCTAAGCGCTTTGCGCTTAAGGCATGCAATTTTCTAAGAATATCATGCTCAAATGGTTACAATACTATAATACCTCGGTGTCGCATCTTTGTGTAGTACCTCCATACGTGGTAGACCCACGCTGCAGCTATATTATGGTTGTAATAAATATTATGTAATGGGATGCTCGACTGGGGAAGGACTACGCTCTCACATAATACCAGAGTAAAATAGCAGTTTAATGCTGCTGTGTTTCGTATGGTGAGTGTAGAGAACCGGAGACCCCTTTTACTGGAATCAAGGTATTCCATCTTAGTCCTCAGGAGTGACAACGCATCTAAATTTTGATTCTTAATCGAGGTTAAATGTAGATGTCTATGGGCCACAGCATCCACTTACCGTCAGCTGGACTGTGTGCTAGTTTATCACCCTTATTCTATAAATATGACTGTTAGATACGATTTCATGCGATAAAACGTGGAATTCTTGATTTTAGGCTACAGTTTAGGCTAGTAGAACATACCTTCGCGCTTTGCGCTAATGGCATACAATAGATACTCCGAGAATTCAGGGAATCCAGTACGGTTCGGTCCGTTCCTCTAATCTAGTCGCCTAGATGTTGATATTCAAATAATCCCCATAGAGACTTAAATACAATACTTCAAAGCGTTATGCTTGCTAAAGCGTTATGATTGCTCTCTTATTGTTCAAACTGTAATACCACAGTTGCATTACTGTTTCACCACGAGAAATACGTCGTTAATTTAGTGATATAAACTCAGATGAACGCCTAGTTAGAAAAGTGGCCCAACGTCTACTAAGCCCCGATTTAATTTGTCGCTTACTTTCCAGGTGGTAGTTCAGCGGTTAGATGATAATACAAGCCGTAATACAACAAACGAGAGTCGCCATAGAGTACCCGACGTGTCCTATCAGCCCACAGTGCGAGATGCGATGTGCTTCCAAGCTATAACGATGATGAAGGTTTGTCATTATTTATACTTTAAAATTGTGTTAATGTATTGTTTTGATTTTATAAAATGTTTTAAATAAAACAGTAACTCATTATAACTGCGTGTGTAGGTGTTCTATATGTATAGGTAGTATCTAATAAGACATTATTAATTATTACACAAGTAATTGCTTTTTTTTTGTTCAAAAAATGTTTAGGTTTAACTAGAGTTTGTTTAATAAAGGAATCCTGTAGAAAATGTGCAAACTAAAAAGTAAAATATGGAATTTGTCAGCTAAAAACTCGTAACAAAGACTCTTTTCAAACCTGAAATAGTCTCAATTGCAGTCGCAATAAACCACGCCTTTAAATAATCCCGTAACCTTTAAGCCGTTTAGAATGAATAAAACGTATATTTTACAGTTATTAGCACTTATTGTAATAAGACCCCAGGACTCTACCTATGTATTTGATATGGCGCTCGAAATGTGTTTCATCTAGTGATTCTAGTGTATGAATTGTAAAATCTGAATACCGACTCTGGAAATTTGTCATATAGTATCTTCAATACTCGAATGCACATAAGTATAAATAGAAAAAAAAAATCAAGTAGTGAAATTTTAGTAAAATAATTCCACGTTTCCGATTTCACCTGCATTGCATGCCATCCTGTAAATTAATTTACGAACAAGGTTCTGGTACGCGATAGACGGCGGTAAAATTAAACTTACTGGATGGTAATGAGGAACCAAGGACCGAATACAAAGATGTTGGTATAGCGTTCGCTAACTGCCATGACAAGTGTGGTTAATATCAGTATGGTTTATATCTTTAAATTCAAAAGACGGATAACAATGACGGGACCGTGTGTTAAACGGAGAATGTTAAATAAACCATTTTCATTAAATTTCAGGCATACCAAAACTACTCTTTCGAGGAGCTGAGATTATACGGTAGCTCGTGGTCGGAAGGGATTGCCGCTGGTGAAAGTGCTTCAGGGGGCCGTTTTCCACCGGAACGTTTACCAGTGCACACGCAGATTGACGGCTCTTACCTCGCCACGTGGGTTCCACGTGTCCCCGGGCATTATGTCTTTAAATGCACGCTGGATGATCAACCTGTTGCTCAGGTTAGTGTTCAAATATCTTTAGGCAGATTCCTCTAATAGACTTATTATGTTCGACATATTGAAGACTATGAATCCAGACATTTCGTGTATTAGAAATCACTACAATATTGCTACTATTACTACTATTAATAGTCCACTACTGGACATGGGCACGCTCAGCAGGTTGATTAAGTGTCGCGGCATCAGATGTCTCGAAAACTTTGAAGCGTCTTCGATCCCAGATTTGTATATCTGGTATAAATAGTAGATGGTTACACTGCCACACGAAAGCGACAAAAACTTCTACGTGTTCTGTCGCATCCAACTGCACCTCCGTGATGAAATGGGGTATAGTTATTCCTATACCGCCTCCACCAGGATGATTTCCTCATCATTATCATTATTTCAATCCATAACATGCCCACTACTGAACATAGGCTTCCCCTAAGAAAAGTCACAGACTACGGTCCTAACCCAAGTAAAACTAATAACTACTTATAAAAATAGTATAACGGCCGATTTATTCGTTTCCGTATCGTTTTCGCATTTTGATATAGATATACATAGTAGCATAACAAACGTTTATACTGTAACTGTAATGCTCAAATAAGAAAAAAAATTATAAGGCTTTAGATCCTAAATAGGTTCACAATGGTTGTTTAATTGCATTACGGACGTATTATATTACTTAGCATTATTGTCGTCATAGAAAATATCAATATTATAAAAGAAGCATTAATATGGTCAATGAAGTTGCCAAACGCATTAAAGAAGCATCTCTCTTTCTCTCACTCGATTAAGTTGCCAATCGTATTACGGAAGCATTATACTAGCAATATTATTGATAATGAAGATGTTAATTGCTTTACAAAAGCGTTACACTAGCATTGAAATGTAGTATAACAATGATTGGAGCTATTTAAGTATTCACAGTTAGAACCTAAATAAACCCTGCAGCATTGCATAAACATCTATACTACGCGGTATTAAATGTTATAATAGTATTAACGTTGTAACTTAACTACTTAATTTGTCTTGTAATGTAATATATGGATGAAGAAAGACGAGTCAAAACTGAGTGATTGACACGAGCATTATTTATTTGCATCAAAACAAAATATATAAAGGTTTTGACTTTTGTTATTTTATGCCAAAAATATCAAATATTACTGCGCAATGTAGTTTACTGTAAAAGTGTTGTTTTGTGTGTGGTTTTGATATAAAGTGTTATATATAGATATGTGTCAAATGATCAAAATAATTGTGTATATTAGTATAGTATAGTATAGTCTAGTATATTTAATTAAAGTATAGTCTAGTATAGAATTAATTTTGCATAATTAGAACAATATTATTGGTTTGCCATTATTAAGTAATATCTTTATTATATAGGTCTATCGCTTTTATAAATTGAGTCCGAATGATAATATTTTTTGGTTATAAATATTTACAAAGTGATGTCGTTCTATAGCAGCCCGGTGAGCCTTTAAAAAGGCTAAGGCCAGCAGTATAAATACTCAAACGTGAACAATTATTAAGCCATAGACTAGTAGACTTGATGTAGACTGAAATAGCGCCATTACTTAAACCCTACGCTAATAAAGTTATATGATCAATAAAACATATGCATATGTTGCTTTCCCCACAATAAGACCGACAAATGGTTTTCCGTATACAGTAAAATGAGTGTATGAAATCCTCACTAAAGAACACCGATTCCTTCCAAAGATGGTTCGCGAGGCTGTTGAAATTAAGAAACATCTTAATTTCAATAGAGAAGATGGCTGGGTGTTACCATCTGCTTGGGATCTTATAATTAATAAAATTAAATCGCAACCCAAGCACACAACTGCAAGACTTCAAGATACTATAAGTTCATACTGCGTAGATCGGAGCAAAAATTAATAATTTTAATCTGGATGTAGTCGTGGTTAACTATGATATTGGGACGTCGAATAACCCGGGCCCCCCGTGACCATAGGTGCTGTAAAATGATTAAAAATTAAAAACTGGGTTTATTTAAATTTGTAGTTTTCGTGTAAACATAAGAATTTATTATGATTTACATTGTATAACGGTTGGATAATAGCATAACAAAATGCTTTTGTAAAACCTTTAGTTTTAGTGCAGCAAACCACTGCGCAGCTGTACAGCTTTCAGCTGCTTTTACTGCATTTTGATCTACAATAGCATTTTAAGTAGTTTAAATGCTTAATGCTGTTTAATAGTATAAAATGATCTATTATAATGCAACGTAAATACAGCTTTCAGCAGTTGTTAGTGCCTTCGGATCTACAATAGCATTTTTAAGTATTAAGATAATATGCCTAATGCTGCTTAATAGCATAAACTTGTACTATTATAATGCACCATTAATCCGTTATACAGCTTCGAGCTGTTTTTAGGGCGCTTTGTTGTGTAATATCACGTTTAATCGGTAAGTAAACGCCTAGTACTGCTGAACAGCATAACGTGAATTAATTTAATGCTTGCATTTTTAAAGATGAACTGAGTCCCATTGTACATCTAACAGCTCTTTAATCAAATAACGTGAACACGTACAGGATCGACCCCGTCACTATATCAGATTTGATAGATTACAAATCCTCGCTAAAGAACACCTTTTTTATATACAAGGATTATTCACGACGCTATTGAAATAAAAAAACATCCTGATTTCAATAGAGATGATGGCTAGGTGCTGCCATCTGCTTGGGATCCTATAGGTAATACTACTACTACTTATCGTTCGTTAAAATGCTTCCTGTGTTACTTGGGAAGCCACCTGCATCAATCAAGTTCCTTCATCTCTTAACAAATCAGCAGTCTAGATGAAGTTAGGGGCGCTATACTGCTACAGCGATTGCTCTGGTTTCACGGCAGATATCCATACCACGACGCCTATCACGCATAGAAACTCTGAGCATAGTCATACGGCTGCTCTGGTTGTATACTCTTATATTAACTACAAAGGTTATTTAACTTTTGTAAATAAACAAAAATTATTTTCTGTTGTTTCAGGAAGTGTCTTTGGAAGTTCTTAAAGCATGTGAGGATGAAAGTGATGATAAAGCGGTGCAAACTGTTGGACCGGATGGCAATGTGGATGCGGAGGAAATGGAATCGAAACTACGACGTTTTGCGGCACAGTGTAGCGCCGGGTTGCGGGTTCGTGCCAGTCCGAGTCTTCAGGCTGAGGAGGTCGGACGCGTGCCCCCTGGTGGCATTGTCGCGTTCGTTGAAGAGGTGGGAAAAATATTTTTTTTGCAGTCTTCCTTTCCAGAACATGCCAATGTGCGGGCATCTTCTAGATTTACATAAGATACCAGTTGGTGAGTCTAGGAATAGTAATTCTTAATTGCGTCTATTTTCTAAGTGTGTCGCAATAGATAGAATCTTCGCTGGAGTACGTCGCGTTGTGACAACCTATTTGGATAGACGAATTGCGACAACACGCACCTTCGCAGAATCCCGAATTTTGCCTGGACATTGAAAGTTTAAAATGCTTCTAACGTTCATTATTTCTAATGTTAGTTACGTGTTGTACTATCCACCACTAAAGGTTAGTTTAAGTTCTTCTTCTTACTCTTTATCAGTATGTAAAGGTCAGTCATTGACCTCCCCCATTTTCCCATTTCTTAAACAACTATTCATAATAAATAATAATTAATTTACTATTAAGCAAAATTCCGACAGGTTTCTTGGTTGTTCTTCCCAGGACAGGGGTTTTTCTGAACCAGTGGTAAAGTAAAAAAATGACTTGCAATTAAATTTGCGTGTAATCTATATTGAATGAAAAATTATTCCATTCTATTCTATTCTATTGTTGGGAAAATGTATGAGAGGCCTTAATCGTCACGCTTCCTAGTGGTGATGGCGGCACCAATCACGCTGGTTTGGGTGTTGTACGTCCGGCACAAACGATATATTTTTACCGCCATCTATCGGATATAATAAGACTTTTCATTTCCCTTTGTTACGACCCTACTTTCTATTACCCCACACCGTACGCTTTTTTTTATAAAACAGAAGTGACAAAGGAACTTTACCACCTGAAAAGGCCACCAGAAAGTGGCCACCAGCTTTAAACAAAGAAGACTCCAGTTGCCTTGTAACTTATTTGAGGACTCAGATGAAATAGCCTATAATTATACTTAAAATCGAATCACAGCACTGCAACCGTTACTATTCAGCGGTAAAATAGCTAAGAGGCTAATACGATACAGACATACTTCTTGGCAGAAAAAAGTTTTACCACCTATTAAGTTTAGTAGGTAGGTTGTTTGAATGCAGGTAGGCATGCTATTTTAATTGATGTTTTTATTTTGTAGGTGGTGAATAAGGACGGCACGTGGGTGCGCCTGAGCGAAGATTCAAAACACGCTTACGCGTATGGAGCTGTCGGCATTGCGTGGTGCCTACAGCATCATCGCCAGCTCGACCGAGTCCTGCTCGTTCCCATCGAGCCTAGTGAGACCCAGGTAATCACAAACAAAAACATGAATTCATTTATGATTAGCTTTGCTATTAACTGATACGATTAAGATAATTTTCAGTTTAGATTTTTATATAGATATAAAAATCTAAACTGAAAATTATCGAAAATATAAATCAATCAAATATAAATATAAATCAATGAAGAAAGCTTTTTAACTTCCCGCTAAGAAAATTGAAATTTTTTAAAAAATAGGGAAGTTATTGGTTTTGCCTCGATTATATAAGATCGAAGTATGTAAACGTAGAAGCTATTCTGAAGTATATAAACCTTTCATAACTTTTAACGTCTTGTTTGATCGAGATGCGGCGTTCTAAAGATATCAATGTGGAATAGGTTTGGTGATGATACGAACTGATTCGGACGAGTAGATTTTGAAAAATATCAAATATAAAAATTTGAAAAACTGTTTTTTTTTTTGGAATAACTTTTAAACGGCTTTACCGATCGATTTCATCCACAAAAAATGACGTCGAATGCTGTTTGGAAAATAAAAATCGGGTCATTCGTTCGTGAGATATCGAAGGAGAAAGAATTTGAAAAAAACTTTTTTTATTATAACTTCGAGATTTCGCAACCGAGCAAGTTTGTGCTTCTTACATTATTTGTAGAACATCATAATTTGGTGAAATTTGGAGCGCTTTGCATTTGAAATTAGCTGGAAGTTCCAGGGAGGCCTGCAGGGTCAACCAATTTTTTACTAGTGGGGTAGGGTAAGACTCCTTTTTTGGCTGGAATTTCTGCCGCAGAAATGTACGCAGCGCTGCGTCTATCTTTGTTGGTCTGGGCTATAATTTGAAGTGTAATACTTCAATTTTTTTGAAGTAACGATGCTTTTATGATATGTTATGTCAAAATAAAACGAAATTACGTGCGTGCGTGTCTTATAATATAATGTGCGTGTCGTATAAGAGTGGTAAGTCCTATCCTGTCCTAAGAGGCAAACTGAAGCAGAAAATTCCTGAAAACAACTTATAATAGTAAATAACTTTAGTTTTCATGACGTCTGCATGCGTGGCAACAATAGCAAATATTCCCCCTATGAAGTAGGTAAAATGTATTGAATAAAACTATTATTTACGGATTTTATCGCGTTTAATTACTTTAATTTATTTTTCTTATTATCCCGACGTTTCGGGTGCTTTACAGCGCCCATGGTCCCGGGGGGGACTGAGATGTTTGACGTCCCAATGTCATAGTTAGTCCGGCTACCTTCAGTTTTTTAATATTAATTTTTGGTCCGAGTCTGCAGTCTGCGAACATGTTCAAGATCGTCCCCAACATTACATTAGATTTGATAAACCACAAGTTCTCGCAAAAGAACACCGATTCCTACCAAGGATGATACGCGAGGCTATTGAAATTAAAATACATCCAAATTTCAATAGAGAAGATGGTGGGGTGCTACCAGCTGCTTGGGATCCTATAATTAACAAAATTAAACCCAAACCCAAGCATACCACTGCAAGACTTCATGATACTATAAGCTCGTTTTGCGTAAATCGGACCAAAAATTAATATTAAAAAACTGAAGGTAGCCGGACTAACTATGACATTGGGACGTCAAACATCTCAGTCCCCCCCCCGTGACCATGGGCGCTGTAAAGCACCCGAAACGTCGGGATAATAATAAAAATAAATTAAAGTAATTAAACGCGATAAAATCCGTAAATAATAGTTTTATTCAATGTGTAGTGTTCGCGTAAATTTAAGAAATCATTAGGTAAAATGTATCTAAAAGTCTATAGGTGAACTTTTGATAAGCTGCTGTTATAAATGAATGATAAAAATATGAGTCGAAATTTAATTTTCATATGATATTAGCATTTAACAGTTTAGGTATTTTAAGTAAAAATTTGTTTATAGACTGAAGAGGTCGCGGCGACGTCTTCTTACGGAAATGGAGATGCTCAGGCCGAAGGTCACTCGTGGCCTAAACAGGAGGAAACGGACCCTACCTCCGATGGTGACGGTCAATATCTATTTAATTAATTAGTAAAATTATAATTTATTTCTAATTTCTGAATTTTCATTACATTTAACGAAATCCAAAAATGACATATTTCTTTTGTCTTTTCAATTATTTAGGTACGTCGATTTGAAAATTGATGTATGTACTTACTTTGAAACTTGCAGTTAAATGAGTATTTATTATTTGTTTTCTGGTTTTAAGTACGTACATAACGTTTAATGTTTTTATTTTGCAGATACCGATTTTGAAGAGCGTAAATTTCCATTCTCCATCGACATTTGTAATGACGTAAGTTTTAAACTATTTAAACATATACATATACACATATAAGTAAAATTGAAGTGTCTGTCAATTATATTGTAACAACCGGCTTCTATTAAGCTCAGGAGATCATTCTCTTGTTGTTAATTTATGGGTAACCATTTTATTTATCTTTTGTCTGTCTTTCCGGGCTTTGGAATGGCTCAATCTGTTATGATGAAACTTTACTATTAAATAGGTAGCAATTCCAGGAGTGATCTATGCTATATACGAATATTTTCGACACCATTTTACAACAAAACTATTAATGTGATGGAATAAGGTGAAAATACACTTTCTGTTAAACAAAATTAGGTATAAAGTTGATTTTCGATAGTTGAACCACTTGACAACTATCATTGTTATAGATCTTTTTGTTTTTAAGACAAAATCACGGGTGTATAATAAACTTCATTTAGATTATGTATTGCACAAGTAACTAGCACAAGTAAGTAGTTGTCCAATGCAGCGCAACACAGCGAGAAAAATATTAGAAAATAGTTGCGATGACATCACGCGGTGTTGCGTCGGTCTGTTGCTCTCCGTCGCTTGTCTAACGTCGGCTTAAAGAATCCATCATCTTATTTCATCCATTGGGTATTGAATAAGTATAGTAAATGCCGAAAGATCTTGACTTCTGAAGGTATTTCAGAAGTCATCATCTTGTGGCATTTCCTATTTAGTTATTTATATAAATATAAACATTTCTTTTAATTGGCGCCAATAAGTAAACGAATCTGAAATGGGGGCTTGTTCTTATATCGACATATGGGACGGTTAGAATTTTTTAGTTAAATTAAGGAAATAATAAGTTGTTGCTATAATCAATTCCTGAAAACGGAGGAATAATGTCCCTTATAAGTAATTTAGCATGTACTCGTACGTAGACATAAAATACTTTTAAAATTATGTTTCTAATCGTAACACAAGTGGCACAGTTTGATAACAACATAATACTTGTTTCTTTTGATAAGTGTTGAGAACCTGAGACTCTTTTTAATGGTAACGAAGTGTTCCATCTTTGTCCTCTGAGGTGACAACATAATATCTGAATTTGAATTCTTAATCACTGATCTTAGTTTTTAAGATTTCTATGGACCTCAGCATTCACTCATCATCAGATTGACTGTGTGTTCATTTGTTAACCTCACTTCTATATAAATTGTGAAGAAGATAAATAAAATTGTGTAAGCATTAATATTTCGAAAAATTATTATTCGTAATTTTGTGTTGTGCTCACATTTATAGATTAGAAAAAAATACTTCACTTAATTTTTATATAAGCAAATATAACGTGTGTGGTAATGACCACCTAATGCTAAGGTATCACACACTCACAACGCCGTGGTAGCTTAGGGAGGTTAGCGCAAAAAGCGTAAATATAGTACGCGAGGAACCCGCGTTCGATCTCCGCCGGCACCAATTAAATTGCTAATTGCAATTTTAAGTGTTGATTTACCACGTGCTCGGCGGTGAAGGAAAACATCGTGTGGAATCCTTCATGTCTGAAAAATAAAATAAAATATTTCGAAGACATTTGAAGTGCGCGGCGAACACTTCCTTGCATTAAAACCATTTCAGAAGATCAGGGGGGGAAGCCTTTGCCCGGCTGTGGGACGTAAACAGGCTGTAACTTTACTTTACATCTCTCCCACTCCCTACTACATATGCTATGCTAGATAATTTGCTAATAATTTAATTTCTGCCTTTATACTTGTAACTAGTGTAATCAATAAAATATCTTATTATATTTTGTTATTACAATGTATGATAGTTGGCAACTTCTATATTATATACAAATTACACTAATATTCTATATTATATACAAATTACACTAGGAATTAACTTATCTCTAAAAATGATTACAGAGTGACGAGTCATCGAGTCCTTTCATGTTCGGTCCGGAGCCGAGCAAACGAAGCCGGATCGCTCGCAAGGCATCCTGCTCCATGGCCTCACCGAGGTCTGTTTCTATATTATTCTTATTTACACACCCTACCGAATTAATACCTAAATGTACCATCTGTTCATAGGAAAGAATATCCATTCAATTTTTAAGTAAAAGAAAATCCGCCTAATTAAAAAATAATCAATATCATAAAGATCAGTATCGTTTTCTTTTTAGAGTGCAAAAGCCAGAGTAATTTTCCTGAAATTTGACTAATTCGAAATTTAAATTTGAGCCGTTTTGTATAAATTCTATAGCGTACAATACATTTTCAACTTGTCGGCTACCGAGCCTATATTCGGCGGTCTTACAATAATTTTAAAGCCAGTATTCTCTAGTATCTAGATGTTAGTGCTGTTAGTCTATGCGACTCTTACAGCTTCATCTGACTCAGGGCTAATAATTATATATATTATATATAATAGCTACCAGTATTCTCTAGAGGAAAGTTGTAATACAAACATTCCTAATGTTTGATAATTGCTAATTATCCCAGTTCATTTACCGTTTCAGCAGAGATTTTAGTCTTGTGAAAACCAAGTTCGTACCATATTCTTGTGTACATGTTTAAGTTAGTTTTTTAAAAAAAAGGGTTACCCCTAGACTAGGGTTTTCTCCTATATCGTGGAAGAAGTTTACAAACATAAATTGCACAAGGATAAACATTCAGTCCCGGAACTATTACTTGTAGGCCATTGTTACAAGTACTATTTTAGTGCGGGATTCGAACCCTGTATTTGTATGTATTTCAGGAGAGAAAGTTTTTCTGCAGTTATCTTTTGATTAGCAGTGTCACACCATAGATTATAGGTTCATATTTATATTAGCACTATATTTGAAGTTTAGAAAGGGAATGGGGTGTACAGATCAAGTCTTTTCCATGCGCATGATCGCGGAGAAGTTTTTGGCGAAAAACCAAAAAGTTTTTTGTGCGTTCATGGACTTGGAAAAGGCTTATGACAGAGTGGACAGGGATGTGTTATGGCAAACGCTGAACGCATTTAGGTTGAACGCTGGTTTGATACAGGCATTAAAGTCTCTGTATAGGGACTCGACTGCTTGTGTTAGAATCAACGGGATCTACTCGGACTGGTTTGGCATCCATAAAGGTGTCAGACAGGGCTGTGTGGCTTTCCCGTGGCTGTTCAACCTATTTATGGACAGTTGTTTGGAAAATTTGAAAGTTGAAGAATGCGGATTAAGAATGGGTGAGTTAACCATCAAATGCCTTTTGTACGCCGATGATCAAGTCATACTTGCATCGTCGGCGGCCGAGTTGCAAATGATGGTTACATTAATGAACAGGTCATTAAAAGAAAGGGGAATGAAAGTGAACGCAAGTAAGACGAAAGTGATGGTTTTTGAAAGAGATGAAAGCAAAACGGTATATGAAATAAGAATAGAAGGAGAGTTAATTGAGCAAGTGGATGAGTTCGTATATTTGGGATGTGTATTCAGCAGGGATGGGAGATATGATAAGGATATTGAACGACGAGTGAATGCAGGAAATAAAGTAAATGGGGCTCTACACTCTATTGTCAAAAGTCAGAATGTGTCAAAAAAGGCACGTATGGCAATTCACAGTGCTGTATTAGTCCCTACTTTAACGTATGGTAGTGAAAGTTGGGTGTGGCAGAAGAAGCACGAGAGTAGAATAAATGCAGTAGAAATGCGGTCGCTAAAGAGTATGTTAGGGCTGAATCTAAGTGACAGGGTGAGAAACTGTGTGATAAAAGAAGAGTGTAGTTGCAAGATGATGCAGTGACAAGTATTAAGAAAGGAATGCTTCGGTGGTTTGGTCATGTAGAAAGAATGAATGCGGAAAGAATGACAAAGCAAATATATGTTGCAGAAGTGAATGGAAGAGTCGGAAAGGGACGTCCTAGGCGAAAATTTATCGACCAAAATGGCGATTTATTGAAAGCGGGCCAAATTAGGAGTACCCTTAACCGACGAGCATGTATGCGTAGGTATATGGATGTGGAAGAGGCGAGAAAGGTATGTCAGGATCGTGCTAAATGGAAGTCTGTAGTCTCTGACTACCCCTCTGGGTGACAGGCGTGAGTGTTTATGTATATATTTTGAAGTTTATCACAACTGTTTTATCAATTAACTGAACTGTTTTATCTCGATACCAGTTACAAGGTTTTTATGGTTATACTTTTGACACTTTAATACAATAGAATCTACGGGGTATGACCATTAGATCGATAGTTACGCTAAACTAGTCTGCTTTGCACAATCTTGTTATACTATATAATTGATAATCAGATGCGATAGAAATAAATAATTTAATAAATAAAAGATACGCTTATGTATGAGATCATTAATTATTTGCATGCACTCGCATCACTAATGATATGGGAGTTTTAACAAGGTACAAATAAATTTCTAAAGCCTTTTAAGACCACGTTTAACTATTTTTTTTTATCTCAAGAGTGCCCTTATCCTGTCAGTACCGAATCCTAATTGAAGCTATTTCCCTAGAAATATATTTAATTTTTTTTAGCCTACATGTAGATGGATGAGAATTTTTTAAATGTTTTTGAAGTACCTTCTTATGGATATTTTATATGCAGACGTTTCGAACGCAGAAGCAACGGCAACAGCAATGACTGGTGGTCGAAACTGCGACCTAGCAACAACGTAGAGGACGCCAACGTACAAGAGGTAAATCCTGTCATGTATTGTAAATCATCATTATCATTCATCATCATTACATCCGTTCAAAAGTCCAGTGCTGAACATAGACCTCACCCAAATAATGCCATAAAGCACGGTACTGAGCCACCTGCATCCATCAATTTCCTGCATGTCTTACTAGGACGTCACTCCATCTTGTAGGAAGTCGCCATATACTTCACCTACTGGTACGAGGCTGCCGCTCGAGAACCTTTTCCCCCATCGGTTGTCGGTTCTTCGAGCTGTAAAGCCGGCCAATTGCCACTTCAGCTTACTAATCCGTTGGACTATATCGGTCACTGTTCACAATAATGTGAATAATTAATAATAGTTAATAAAATCTAATGGAAAAATAGGAAACTTACAAGAAAGCCTTGGCCAAGTAGTTGTGTATAGTTAAGGTGTAGGCTACCTAGAAATTTTTGCATTAAATCTGTTCACAGAATTATCTACTATATAGTAATATAAATATATAGTAAAGGTAATATATATACAAGTTTTCATGCGTCTGAACCAATTTTTGAAACACTTATTTATCATTTCTTAAAAATCCACTTGTGGAAGCGAACCTCATTGCGGGTGACACAGCGAAGAGTTGCTATAATCGTCACGCTTGGCAAGCGGATTGACGATCGTAGACGACGAACGCTGAGGTGAAGTCGTGGGTATGGTACGTCATCGCACAGCAGAGCACCTACTCACCATCATCAGTATACGGTAGTCCACTTAGGCTTCTCCTTTAAACCCGTCTGCGATTTCATGCGGTCAGTTGCTGCTAACTCCACAAAGTCCTTGGTACAGATTTCCATTTCATTTAGCCAGAAGGCACAGATATAGACACGATAGGGTTCCATATAATTTTGAAAATCATCAGGCATGAGCTTAGCTATCCTTGTCATTTCTCTGCTAAATAAGATTTTTGGTGCAGTAATACATCAAAGAGCCAAAATAAAATCTCCTTAAATCTCGGTTGTAACTGACAACTTAGGCGGTAGCTGTATCGTGGAGTGGGGACCGTTCTTAGTCAAACGTAATGTGGAGTAAATGTTACCACCAACATCATACTTGATACCAATCCGTAACTAATAATTAAAATGTATTATTTATCTTAAAAAATCGTTTTGGTCTTAATAAAAAAAAAACAAAGGAATTTATTATCAGCGTCTGTCTTTCAATCCAATCACAGTGTTGATCTCTTCAAGAGTCTCACAATTTAGGGCCACATCACTATTTTCCATGGATAAAAGGATTGAATTTTTTTAACTGTATTTGTACTGCCACGAGAGTTATTGTTTATGCTTAGCTTAGTTTCTCATTTAACTGAATTATTATTCTTATGAAAATAAAATATCTCAAAGGTCAATTTTTATAACATGTTTTTGTAACGGCGTTTTTCGCCAGACGGCAATCGTAGCTCAGTCCGAGCCCCGGGCCGCTTGCCGCCTGGCGCAGACCGGCACGCACACCGGCACGCAGACCTCGCCCGATTGTTACGCTGAAGACGCACTCGCACACATGTTCATCAGGGCTGCCAATGTACAAGAGGTAGGCAATAAATATAAAATTGTATATTTAAAATATATAATAACAATTCTATACTAAATTATAATATATATATGTGGAACATGGTATTCAAAATTAACAATAATAGATTGCTCTTCCGAGCGCAATTTGCTCCCTCAAAGTTACAAAATAACTTAATTCACTTTAAATAATAGTATAAAACTTGACACGTATTCGTTTTAAACGTCTTCATAAAATCACCATCACTCTCTCCTCGTTTATATATTCCTATAAATCTTTCACTTCTACGTTATTTTTTATGCGTTCAAAACTATCATTTCCACATGTATATTATAGTAATGAAATTATGATATATAAATAAAATTCCTTAATTTTTTATTTATATAAGATAAATGTCCTTTGGATTCATTAAAATGCTTGCTTATATTAGCTGTTCTCTTATAAATGGGATTTACTAATAAAGCTGGCTGATCAAGCCAGGAGCCGTCCCACATTACGTTTACCTAAGCGCAGTCTCCACTCTATGATATGTTTACTACATCGTTTTTACTATTACGACAGATGTGATTAGCCTACTGCGGCTTTGTGAGTGACGTTAGTTGTATGAGATTTTTCTTCCTTTCACTTCTTATTCATTAGAGAATCTTATTTAAATTGCGTTTTGTCCTGTTAAAATGGATTCATAAAAATGCTAATAAACCATTAAAGTATCAGACATCATCATTCATCATCATCATTACAGCCCTTCACAAGTCCACTGCTGAACATAGGCCTCCCCCAAAGTATGCCACAAAGCACGATCCTGAGCCACCTGCATCCATCGACTTCCTGCATGTCTTTCCAGGTCGTCACTCCATCTTCTTGACCCTGATTCACTTAATAATCACTTTACAAACACCATATCATGTGCACCTCCCGACAAAAGTGTTATTCAAGAAATCGAATCACTTAAACACTCTGAAATCGAATTTCAATTTGTAGCTGTAAATGAAACGTTAGTGGTATAATTGCTTCTACAGCTACTAATGCGACCGGAACTGATGGCATCTCCATGTTGATGTTAAAACTTACGCTTCCATATTCTTTGTCAACGATAGTGGCGATAGTCAATAAATCTATATTGGAAGGATATATATCAATGGTGGATAATCTTTCTGATATAAGACCAATAAGCATTCTTCCTGCACTATCTAAAATAGTTGAAAAATGCATTCTTTATCAAATTTCACCATATCTAGAACGTAATCAAGTACTACCTGTGATTCAATCTGGTTTTAGAAAGAATCACAGTTCAGTATCAGCTCTTTTAAATATTACTGATGATATTCTTGCTGCGTCCAATAAGGGTAAGGGAACAATTATGGTTTTGCTAGACTTCAGCCGCGCTTTCGATTGTGTTGATATATCTATTCTATTGGCAAAATTAAAATACTGTTGCGTGGCTAAGTTGACATCTGGAACTAGCGCCATCTAGTGTCGGGTAACAGAGCGAGGGGAGAGCTTTCCAGAAAATGACATCACTAATCTTTCAACCGACAGCGCCATCTGTTGTCAAAAGATAGAACTAAGCTTCTGGAAGCTGACTCTCGAACTTTCGGCACTTTGTCGATTGGTGCGCGTATTTACTTGAATGTTCTGGATGATTCGGTACTAATGTGTATTTATAGGCGCTGCAAGGTGCGATCGGGGAAGTGTTGAATTTGGCGAGACAAGCGAAGCTTCGGAGCGGAATAAAGTGAATCAGTGTGATTAATTATTAGTGTTTTAAGTTTAAATTTGTGTAAAGAAAATTAAAGTGTTAATTTAGGTAATTTTATCGGCAATTTTTATTGTCACGAACCTCAAGCTCGTAACAATACTGTGGTTTCACAGAATCGGCCTGCACCTGGTTTCAATCTTATTTCCAAAATCGCTGCCAAAAAGTGCAATGTTAGCTGAATAGCCAAGGAGTTCTAAATGTCTCAACACGCTCCCCCTTAATAAAGGTGTTGTCCAGGGTTCAATACTTGGTCCCACATTATTCGCAATTTACACGGCCAACGTTACTAAAGCTATAATTCACTCAAGTCTGTATAATTCACACAAAATTCACTTATATGCAGATGACAGCCAAGTATACGTTCACACAACGCCAATTGACGAGGAGGTTACTGTTGCTATTTCCAAGTTAAACAAAGATCTTGATTCTATTGCGGAGTGGTCTTTGAAACATGGCCTGGTACTTAATCCCTTAAAGAGTGTCACCATTACCCTTGGAACAAAGCACCAGGTAAAAACGATTAATGAACGGAAGTCTCTTGTTAAGATCTTTGACACCGTCATACCTTACGAGGGTTGTGTTCGCAATTTAGGTTTCCTCATGGATGAGAATTTAAAATTTGAGCAACATGTTTAGACTAAAATCGGTAAATGCTATGGTTCGTTAAAAACTTTGTATAAAATTCGCTCATTTCTAAAACGTGACATAAGACTGCTGCTTTGTAACAGTTTAGTACTATGCCACCTTCATTATTGTGATATTGTTTATGGTCCATGCTTATTTAAAAAAAACTGTGAAGAATGTGCAGAGAGTGCAGAACGCATGTATGCGTTTTTGTTTTAATATACCGAAAAGGGATAGGATTTCACCTTATTTAGTCAGTAATGGCATTTTAAATATGTGCTATTGTACTAAATTAAAATATGCATGCTTTCTGTACACTCTGCATCACGCAAAGTCTCCAAGATATGTATGATGCCGTTGAAAAAAAAAAGTTTGCTTTCAGTCAGAGAAAATAGTCATCGGCTTTCAATACCCAGGATTAACCTCGCTGGAGCCAGGGGGTGTTTTAAATTTGCCGCTGCTAAAACTTGGAACGATTTGCCACCACTAGTCCGATCTACCCTATTTCCGTCTACCTTCCGACAAAGATGCCGCAAGTGGCTTATTCAAAGACAGTCCCTGGCTCTATGTGGCTTTGATACCCCCTCAAATTAGACAATTTTTTTTTGTATTTAGAAGATATAATTTATTAATTGTTTTATTTTTATTTTTACTTTTTTATTGTTGATTCGTGTGTTTCATCAATTGCCTAAGACCCTGTATGAATTATGCGCAAAGGCTGTGGCAGAATAGCAGGAGTAATGGATTTCCCGTTACAACTGAGTCACAGACCGTTTTGTCACAACTAAAAAGTTATTATTATATTTATATTATAATTATTAGGCTCTCTATTTAAATTTTAACATTGTATTTTTGTATGGCAAATAAATACTTTTTATTTTATTTTATTTTATTTATCTAGTGGGGGGTCATCCTACACTACGCCTACCGGTACGAGGCTGCCACTCGAGAACCTGTTTTCCCTAACGGTTGTCGGTTCTTCGAGCTATATGGCCGGCCCATTGCCACTTCAGCTTACTAATCCGTTGGGCTATGTCGGTCACTCTGGTTCTACTGCGGATATCCTCATTTCTAAGTTTATCACGCAGAAAAACTCCGAGCATAGCCCTCTCCATAGCTCGCTGAGCGACCTTGAGCGTCCTCATACGGCCAGCAGTGAAGGACCACGTCTCAGTTCCATAAGTCATCACTGGCAACACGCACTGGTTGTACAATTTCGTTTTCAGGTTTTGAGGTATACCTGACGAGAAGATGTAACGTAATTTCCCGAACGCTGCCCAGCCGAGTTGAATCCGTCGATTGACCTCTCGGCCGAAGTTGGATTTACCTAGTCGGACTATTTGTCCCAGGTAAACGTACTCGTCAACAACTTCGAGCATAGTGCTCCCAACAACTACCGGCATAGGTGTGACACGGACATTAAACATGATCTTTGTTTTGTCCATGTTCATCTTAAGACCTATCCGCTGGGAGGCACTATTGAGGTCATTGAGCATAGCGTATCAGACATATAAAGGTATAATTATCTTATCGTATGTGTTTTGCATCTTAGATATATCAGAAGTGGGCAAAATGGAATATACCGCTATCTTAAATCTGTATTATGTGGGGACCAACTATAAGTAAAAGTCCTTATTGTCAACTAAAAATCTCTTTATTTGATTATAGTTATTTTTTTGAAAAGCGTGCTCACCGTGCCGGCCGATATAATACTTTCCTGTTGCACATATTCGTTACAGATCTATAGGACAGCTCATGGATCTCAACGTGCTTGAAACTAATGAAGATAATAACTTCTTCTAGGAATCAAAAGAAGAAAACTCGAGTCCAAAGAGTGTAGAGAGTGTAGCCCGGGATAGAATCGCGACTAGAGCGCGTGTGTATACTCGGGCGTCTCCGCCTCCGCTGCCCGCACGCGGCGTCGCTTCTACATCAAGCGCCACGTGCACCGCACCGCCTAGGAAACATGCCCTCAGTCCCGCACAGGCTGAGTGTTTGCGAGCGATTTTCGCTGCTCTGCTGTGGCACGAAGGTATGATTTAGCTTGTAACTTGTAAATATTATTTTATTAATTTTATAGGCTGTCAGAAGCAGAGGTTTTCTTTATAATCTTTTTTACTAAATGTTATATTTTTTATCTTTTCATTTTTTTAAAGAATTTTAACAATGTTATAAACATTACTAATATTCCCCCTAACCACTCGTGGTAAGCTTAAATAGCTTGTGTTATGAGTGGTTCACGCCAGTAGTCGAATGGCGGATTCGAACCCACGACCTTTTTGAGTTCGCGGTCCGCGCCCTGCCATTAGGCTACTGTCGCTTCTGATTCTGATATTAAAACGTTATCGAAACTCTTTGTATGCTGCATTGAATATGTTTGTTTACATGTGTTGACATGTGAAGTTCGCCAACACGCATTGGGGTAGCGCAGCGGTCACTTCCTTGCCCTAAACCCTCTCAGAAATGAGAGGAGGCCTGTGCCCAGCAGATGGACGTATATAGGCTGTAACTTTCCTTTTTTTAGACCATTCCTTTGTTTCAAACTGATATAATTTATACGGGCGCCTTTTATAACGATAATGTTTCAGTTGTTTATTGTATATCCGTATATATACCCGTGTGAGCCCCATATTAGTTGATATATAGCTAAAGCAGTAACTCATCTTCATACAGACGTCAGATATTCACGTATCTCAATTCTCAACGAGATCTCTAAGTGAGCGCATTGGCAATGCAGTTAACAGTCAATCGCAGGCAAGTGCTGCGTTCAGACTTGACACTCGTAGTCCATTGTTCATTCGACTGTGTAACGCGAACGTGATATTAAAAGAGCTGGCATGTTATTCTGTAAAATTTAAAATAGTGTAATACTTCGTCTCGTACAAAAAGAAAATATTTTTAGTCAGTAATATTTTTCAATAACTTTTATTATTATACCATATGCCCATATACACCGCCGTGTAGTGGCGGTTGAGAATATCCACTACCCCCATATCTTCCCGTGGGTGTCGTAAGAGGCGACAGAGGGAGACAGGCAGGAGATGGGCAGCAGCATCTTCCTGATAACAGCAACTGTGATATAATAAAAAACTGTGGTTGCCAACCCGCCCGCCAAGCATGGCAACTATGGCAAATATCTCCCCATGAATAACGACGCAAACAAACGGCCCCCAGTCCTCGGTGGCCCCGCTATTCCTGGCTACGGTGGCGACCATGGTAACGGCGGGGCAGGGGGTGCTAAGAATCTCCGGTGGAGGTTCGGTTGCCACCTACGACGACTCGACCTGGCAACATATAACGCACGCACCCTGAGGACTGACGAGAAGATACTGGAGTTGGAAGAAGAGATAGACAAGTTGCGCTGGCATATCATTGGATTATCCGAGGTCCGAAGAGAGGGGGAGGACACAGTAATCCTCGAGTCCGGCAACTTGTTCTATCACCGGGAGGGCGACCATCTGTCCCAAGGAGGTGTCGGATTTATCGTCCACAAGTCTCTCGTCAATAACGTTGTAAAGATTGGGAATGTGTCGACGAGGGTCGCGTACCTGATACTCAGAATCACCAAACGGACTGAAGGTCATAAATTAAGGTCACAGGAACGCCACATTTCTAGTAAGAAGGGTCGCCGCTTCTCTATATTACCATTGTTATTGTTTGATAGTGTAGCCCTTCCTAGGTCGCACCGACTCTAGTGCTTCAACTACAATATAGCTGTAGTATGGATCTACCATGTATAACATCCTAGAACTCAAATCGATGTCTTAATAAAACTTTTTCAATTTTGCGTTAAGCAATCAAGAGTAAGAACCGTGACGGTCCAATGAAGTGTGAATGTTGAAAGCTTATTATTATTAGCTATTGACCGTGCCCGTGTATGTATAACGTTGGTGAGAATGCGGCAGGAATCGTCCACGACGCGATCGCGTGCGCAGCATTCCTCAAGTTTCACCCGCAGCTGCCGAAGCAAGGCGCCCGCGTGCTGACGCGCGGTGCTGCGCGCGCCCCGCCCGCGCGCCGCCACCGCAGCGCCACTCCGTTGAGGTCTCCAGCTCAGGTGACACGCTCACATTAGCATAGCGTTTATCTATCTGTTTATCTATATAACGGAATCTTTTAATGTAATTTTCACCAACTCATAGACAGCCAATTGGCTTAAATGTTCGTACGCGTTTCAAAGACCGATAACAACACAATAATTTTGTTTTGTTGAACTTTACCCTTTTATCCTGGTCAGGATCCCCAGGTAAAAAAAAAAACAATTTTATGTTTAACACATGCTTGCATAGCTTGAATTTTAGGTATGTTTGTAGGAATGTAATGAAATTTGTTTTCACCTATTGTAATTTAATTTTCACCTACTTCCATACCTCTTAATAATTGCTGATGTATTAAGTACCAATAAAAATACAGTAAAATGTCATGATTATGGCCTTGTTATTTTCAATAGGGTTATGACAGTTAATATTATATGCGTGATGCTTACGTTTTTTAAACTCCAACGTTATTCTCTCTCTCCCTCGAGATAGAATCTCTCACTGTTAATGTCTAGCTCTTCCTGTTTTTACAATGTAAGTTTTCAATTTAAGTAAGATGTCCTGTGATTCTGTGTCCCTTTGCTTCTGGTTATACAAAATTTCGCATGGTTTACATTCAGACGGGACGATGTATCTCTGGCTATCACTGTCTATTATTCTCATTTTATGTGGGTTGGCATGACTAAATCTCTTTCTATGTGGGTTGGCATGACAACACTATCGTTTTCTGTCTCTTTCTATGACTCTCTCAAAAACAGTATGAAGAAAAAGCTGTCACATGTTTATGAACTAATGACGATGATTGTTGTTATGAAGGTGATGCCAGTTATAGGTTACCTCTCTATTTCTTTCTCTTTTTTTATATGTCTCTCGGACTATATATTCCTGGCGTAGCCAAAGTGATCATGATCTAAAGAATTAAAGAGTTAATAAAAAGTGAAAGTTTTAGCTTTCTCTTTCTGGGTTATTAATATGATAACTGATGATTTACTCTTGGCTCTTACCTACTCAGAGGTCTATTTACAGGTAGGTACTACTTACTAGGTATATTTACATAATTGAATATTTCAAAACACCGTGCAAATACATTATATTTCGTCGCTTCATTCTTCAGATACAATTAACTTAGGTAGTCCCCTAACCTACTCGAGGAATTCGCACGTTTAGAGAATCGATCTATTTTAAATCGATTTTTTTTTCTGTTGGCAACTCCCACTCTCCATTTACCCACCGGTCCGATATCCACTTCATTCCTTAACTGTGCGAGGCAACGTTCGCACGTGCCTTTAAAAGTGAAAATAATTTATATTCTGTAGTTACTATGTCAAAAAGAAAAAATGAAGAAAAAATTAAAAGTTATCGACGCAAAATTAGAAAAATGGAACAGGAGCAGCGAAAATACAAACGAATCATTTATTCATCATCTGAAAACTCTGATAAAGATTCGGGTTAGTAAAGTTTTATCTCTAAACATTATAAATACTAAATTAAATACAATATTATAAAATAATGTATTTACATTTTACCTGGAGGTTGACCGTGTGTCATCACGAAGGTGATTTTAATACCGAGAGGTTAACCGCGTGTTAACACGAAGGTACTTTGAAATCGTTCTAGTAACGATTTTACAGCCATTTTTATAAAATAATTTTATAATATTCGTATATAATATCGTATATAAAATTATATTGAGATAATATAAAATAATGTATTAAAATTAATGACCTGTGTTTACACATGGCCAGTAGATTAAATGTTACTATTCGAGCAGTAATTTATTTGCCTTTGGTTCGAATATCTACCCTCAATAACAATTATTGTTTTAGATAATGAAAATCTTGATAACGCCGATATAGAACCCTTGAATTCAGAGTATCCAAGCGGCAAAAATAGTGCTTTAAATAATGAGGAGACAAAATATGACTCTGACCAAGAACCGGTAGTGTCAGAATTAGAGCCTGACATCCTTACTGCCTTAGGTGAGACCACGGAAGAGACACCGAAGTTGGGCCCGAAACTCCATGAAAAGTTAGCTCAGCTATGGCTACCTATACTTCGAAAAGGTATACATAAAGAGGCGAAAGAGAAATTACTCAAAAAGTACCTCATACCGGAAAATTGCTCGTTATTACAATCGCCAAAATTAAACCCTGAGATTTCGGCTGCTGTTTCTGAGGGCACCAGGACTCGAGACCGTACAGCAACAATTAGGGCAGGAGATATCAGCTCTTAACAAAGGTCTCGAACTCCTCTTAGAGGATGGCAAAGACAGACTTCAAACCGTTAAGTTTCTCAGTGACAGCTGTAGAATACTATGTGACCTACACTTTGTGGAAACGGAAGCAAGGAAGAAATTCGTGACCCCAGGATTGGATAAATCCTTTATGAATATTATGCAGGAAGTGGATCGCGATGACCTGCTCTTTGGAAGTAAGCTTTCAGAAAAAATAAAAGCCACAAGAGTGATCGAGAAACACGGTTTACAAATCAAGAAACCTGTCCAAAATTTGAAAACTTCTTACTCGTCACATCAACCATCAACGACCCGCTCACGCCCCCAGGAAAACTGGGGAGGCCCTTCTCGCTCCTCGTCAAACAGAGGGGGGAGGGGACGGCCGAAGAAGAATACATTACCAAGTCGCAGAGCGCCACCAGGCACCAGCTTCCAACCAAGGCCGTCGGCGCAGAGCAAGCACCGTGCCACAGCTCAACAACAGTAAAGGTACACGCAGGAAGAATTCAGCATTTTTATAACTGCTGGTTTAACATAACTAAAAATTCTCAAATACTTAAGTGGATCTCAGAAGGGTATTCCATACCGTTTTGTAGCAAAGTAAGACAAACTTCAGTTCCACGTAATTCTGTACTCAGTAATGACCCGCATATGTTAAATTCTATCAAATCTTTATTGGATCTTGGTGCTATTTCACCCTGTCGCAGATCGATGGACGACTATGTTTCCAATGTATTTCTAGCTCCGAAATCTAACGGAGCAAAAAGATTTATCTTAAATCTTAGAACTCTTAATAGGTTTATTTCAACTACCCATTTCAAAATGGAAGACCATAGGACTGCGGCTAGACTTTTACCAAAATCCGGCTTCATGGCAAATATTGATATAAAAGAGGCTTACCTTTTGGTTCCAATTGCAAAAAAAAAACATCGTAAGTACTTACGTTTTCAATTTAATAAAAAATGCTTTAAATTTAACGCTCTGCCATATGGACTGTCCGTTGCCCCTTGGGTTTTCACTAACTTAATGAAACAACCTATTAACTATCTACGACAACGAGGATACAGGTCGGTAATATATCTGGATGATATACTATGCATAGGCGACACTTACGAAGAGTGCTCCACTAACGTAAGTAAAACGTTGTTTTGCTAAATGTTAGGTTGTCATCAATTACGAAAAAAGTTTCCTTGAACCAAAACAGATATGTCGATTTCTTGGGTTTATATATAATTCAGTTGATATGTCATTAAGTTTGCCAAATGACAAACGACAAGTTATCACGCAGTATGTCAAAAAATTTGCCTTACTCCCCAAATGCTCTATCAGGGAATTGTCACAACTAATAGGAATACTTACTGCTGCCTGTCCAGCCGTTAGATATGGTTGGTTGTACACCAAAATTCTCGAACGTCAAAAATATTTAGCCTTACTAATATACAACGATTTTGAAAAAAAAATCAAGCCTGCAGTCATTATTTTACCCGACCTGCAATGGTGGAAACAAAATATATTTTCCACTAGCAATTCACTGAGGCCAAACAAAAACTTTGCTTTAGAAATATATACTGACGCGTCCAATACAGGCTGGGGGGCTGCTTGTGATGATGAAAGAGTAAACGGTGGATGGAAGGACGATGAATTATCCTTTCACCTTCACTTTCACTTTTCCTTGGCTTGAAATGCTTTGCTATTGCTCACTCTAATTGCTCTATTTTACTCCGCGTAGACAACACAACTGCCATGTGCTACATAAATCGTATGGGCGGAATACGGTTTCCACATTTAAATAATTTGACCAAAACTATTTGGCAGTGGTGCGAGAAGCGAAATATCTTCTTATTTGCATCCTACATTAACACACACGACAACCGCGAAGCTGATGAAGAATCACGAAAAGTAAACGTAGATACGGAGTGGGAATTATCGGAACGGGCGTTCGCAACAATTGTTCAAAGTCTGGGAGAACCTGAAATTGATCTTTTCGCTTCTCGTACCAATGCAAAATGCCTTCAATATATCTCATGAAAACCTGACCCCGACGCAATGACAATTGACGCTTTTACAGTTAACTGGAACGCGTCGTTCTTCTACGCATTTCAACTGTTCACATTAATACTAAGATGTGTACGAAAAATTATTAGTGACAAAGCCACCGGTATATTAGTATTTCCTTACTGGTCTGGACAAGCTTGGTTTCCACTGCTCAAAAGAATGCTCATCTCAGAGATTATTTTCTTTAAACCCAATAGAGACCTTTTGTGTTGTCGTTACAGGTTACGTCACCGACTTCATGCCAGCCTTTCCCTGGCGGCCGCGACGTTCTCAGGGCAGCATTTAAGAGACTAAACACTCCGGACATAGCACTAGATCTCATACTAGCATCCATCTCAGATAATACTATGAAACAATATTCTAGTACATACAGACTGTGGTGGCAATTTTGTTAAAATAACCAAGTAAATACTTATGACGCTCCATTTTCATCCATAATATCATTTTTAGTGGATCTGTACAAAAATGGAACATCATATGGATCCATTAATAGTCATCGCTCTGCCCTATCACCACTCCTCGGGAATAATATAGGGTCAGACGAACGAATTAAGCGGTTATTAAAGCGTATTTATAAACAAAAACCTTCCCTTCCCAAATACAGAACTACATGGGATCCGAAAACTGTGCTTGATTATGTATCTAAATGGTATCCAAATAGCAATATAAGTCTAACAAAACTTACAAAGAAAATAACAATACTTTTTGCTTTGTGTACTTCTCACCGCGTACAAACTCTCTCTCTAATAAGAACTTCTAATATCATAAGATCCCCGTCAGGTGCTAAGATTTTTATAACTGAAATAATAAAAACTTCAGCACCAAATCGAGAGCAACCAGTATTATTCCTGCCTTATTTCGTGGAGAACCCAAGCATATGTCCAGCTAGAACCCTAGACGACTATCTTATAGTAACATCTGGGCTGCGAGCTGAAGGGTCTGACAATCTCTTGCTTACTCATAAAAAACCTTACAAAAAAGGCATCGTCTCAAACTATAAGCCGATGGATAAAGCAGACTTTAGCAGAGAGCGGTGTGGACGTGAATATATTCACTGCCCACAGCACTCGTCACGCTTCTACTTCAGCAGCGGCCTTCGCCGGAGTTTGTATTGACACCATAAGAAAAACTGCTGGATGGTCTACCTCATCTATGACATTCGCTAAGTTCTATAATCGCCCAGTAATGGATGAAGGAGAATTTGCCCGATCCGTCTGTGCGATTAATGCTAATACAAATAAGTAACAAGACAAATTATGTAATTGTTTGTTTAAATCATTAAGAAAAAGTTGGAAGTAGTATTATATTTTTGTTTACCCAAATTAAAGTTTTTTCCTAATACTATAAATGTTTTATTAACCTAAGAACATTTATCTCTGATTTTAACTACCTCTAAACATCTACCTAAGTTAATTGTATCTGAAGAATGAAGCGACGAAATATAATATGATATCAAACGAACTTCTTGAAGTGAAGTTCGATCATTATTATATGAGTCGCTTCATTCGAAGATACAAAGGTCCCACCCACCCATACCCGGCGTAAAAAACTTAAACAAATATCTCTAAAAAGAGTGAAGTGGATATCGGACCGGTGGGTGGTAAATGGAGAGTGAGAGTTGCCAACAGAAAAAAAATCGATTTAAAATAGATCGATTCTCTAAACGTGCGAATTCCTCGAGTAGGTTAAGGGACTACCTAAGTTAATTGTAACTTCGAATGAAGCGACTCATATAATATTGATCGAACTTCACTTCAAGAAGTTCGTTTGATACCATATTTTACATAATTAATTGTTAATCTAATAAACATCAAATTAATAATTTTCTATCTTCTGGTGCTATTTTATATCACTTATATAATATGAAAGTAATGAATTAAATGTGACTTAGGTATATAAATAAAGCTGAAGTTGCTATTAACAAAAATATTATTAGGAAATTCTGAAACAACAAAACAAAGTGACATAGAATTAGATTTTTGTAAAACTTACAATGGAAACTCAATTTTATTCATCTCACTATACCTTGCCTTCGTCTTCTGATCACAGAAAATAGTGATAACTACACTAAGGTTCCGCTGTATTAGTAATTTTATGAAAAAAGTTATATTTTACTAAGTGTTAAAAATTATTAACTAAGCAATATAAATAACGGTTCAAGCATAATGACATGCTAACTCAAAATATATTATACAGATGCGTAATTGTAATGTAAAACATGTATATATGCCTCGCCTCTCTCTCCTAAGCAAATGTAACATAATTTTACTATCTGATAATATTAAAAAAATTAACGTGTACATTTTTTTAGGTCAATACTTAAGTGTTCATCCGTCTGCTTTGGAGACTCTGACTCGCTCAGGCACCGAGGCATGGGCGACCCGAGACCGCAAGTCTGACATAAATGAGGCTATTAAAGAAGAAGATACTATCAGCGCTGACAGCGGTATTTAATCATCTTTTTAACAATATTAATACTACGTGCACGAATTGTCTTGGTACTTGAGTCCTATAACGTCAGAGCGTGTTATTTAAGGTTATGAAAGCGATGATATAAAACCAGTTAGTTTTTTATTATATCATAGTGATACACAAGCTAAACGTTCATATGATGACCAAAATAGTGAACCATGGACACCTGACAAATAATGATCTCAGCCTGTAATCATACTTTGTGTTTTTTTGCTCAATCTTTCTTCCCTTCTGGAATCTGAACCTTTATTGTTTTTTTCCTTTTCTTGTCAGATAAAGTTTCTTACTGTATTTGTTATATAGGAATACACTGTGAGGTTACTGTATGGTTTTGACCTATCTGTATACTTACTGACCTGTATACTTTTAACTATGTACTTGAAATATGGTAAAATGTTCTGGCTATGATAATGTACTAAAAATGTACGCAAACGTACGTTGCTGTTGCCTTTAGCCAAATTAGAACGCATAGAATATGAAATGTGCCTGCCTGCCTGCCTTCAATTCTTATTTACGTTTACAGGATCTTCTCCGTCAGTAGTGAGCGTCCTTCCGCCCGCATTGCGTGCAATGGTTGCATTATGGGACGGTTTATGTGACGCTGATCAACTTGCTGTCGCTACCGACAAGTGAGTTTTACTTTCCATTTAAGAATTATTTTTCGCTTTTTTGTTTTCTTTATCACTCTGTAATAATTTAATGCTTGTGTTTTTTTAAATATGATGTTTAGAACGAAAACAATAAATATGTAATATTAATATATTATTAGTAAATATTTAAAAAATACTATATTTACCCGAATGTTACGTATTGAATAAGTGTATTTATTTTGGCATTCCGGCTTTTCTATTGCGTTGCAGCACACGTGCTACTCAGGGGCACTGCAGTGTTCCAACTTCATAATGTCGCAGACATCATTTTTGAATTCTTGCAGTGATGGCTTGAGTTTGAATTAATTAATAGATGATGAATGATAATATAATTTTATTAATTACTACCTACTACCTGCCATAGCCTGATACAACTCGCGGCATGAAAGTCTAGCGGTGACTGTGCGTATCGTTCGCACGCGCTGAATGGCTCTCCAGTCGCATTCCGTCCCCGGTACTTATACGACATTCGCAGCTATCTCCTCCACGTTTCGTTCAGCGCTAGAGTTACGTTCCGCGACTTTTACCCGGCGCGTTGCCGTTGCAGCTGCAGAAGAAATAATAATTGTGGAAATAGAGTTTTAAATTTGGAGGAGTTATATTGTTTAATTAGGAATGATAATACATTTATTGAAGTTGAATGAATACAATACATACAAATACATTCATTCTGGCGAGACATGCTGGAAGTCGATGGATGCAGGTAGCTCAAGGCCGTGCTTTATTTGCATTCTTTCGAGGAGGCCTATGTTCAGCTGTGGCCTTGTGAAGGTCTGTAATAATGATGATGAAGTTGAATGATATAAGTTACAAATAATGTGTTTTGCTACCTACTGTAAATTAATTGTGCTATGCCTGTAATCTCTGCGCAAGTGCAAGCAATAAGTTGACAAATTTTTATCGCAATGTGACAAACGGTATGGTAGCGTATAAAATACGGACAAACTAACTTTATTTATATATATATATATATATATATATATATATATATATATAATATCAGACTTTGTTAGAACCTTGGTAGCTCAGAATAAAGGCTTGACTAAAATTTTAACGATACGCGGGCGAACTGTGTTCTATCCCCGCAAACGCTACTGAAATTGTTAGATGCATTTTAACTGTTGATTTACCACGTGCTCGGTAATGAGGTAATCAAGCAAAAATAAGGGACATTAATGCAGGCTGTTACTAAAATTACTTTGTAACTTTTATAACGTTTTCATTTGATGGTTACTTTTCAGATTTAAAAAAGAGGCATCGGAGAAAAGAGATAACGAGGACTTGCGATCATTCAGTGGTATTCGTAAAAGAAAGGACTGGAAGCAGTCGACCCTTTCTAAAACACCGTATTCAGGTTTGTATATTAAACAAAAAAAGCTTATTATAATTTGTTTTCTATCACCGTAGCAGTTCACTGTTCGTCATGAGCCTTTCTCTCAGTAGGGTGGTTGGTTTGATAGAGTAAAGAATACTTGTATCGTTATTAATCTGTCTAGCGGCAGCGAAACGAATCGGATTTCCACTTGCCAAATTTTAAGATCCCGCCAAAGAGTACAGTTATATTAATAAAGGATCCCTCAGAACCATAGGTAAGAGTACTCAGAACTTATAATATAAATGAGCAAGGTATAGAGCGCGCGTATCGCTCATTGTCCATTATACTAAGCCAAAGATTATATAAGCGTAATCAGACGTTCTGTTAGGAGGGCCGCTCTGAAGGTGTTTTAAAAAAAAAACTTTTACACCCAATCCCAGAAGTTCTTTTGGTTTATTTCCCCAATATTAAATTAATACAAGAAATGTACAAAAGACGCGAACGGCGTGTGCGATATGCACTTAATATGGGTTGGAACTGCACTGCCTCGATTACCTCAAACTCTAGGCTTTTATAATAAATATAATAATCGAGTCAGCGCTTTTATCTAACTAGGGTTGGACATAACATCTCCCCCCTTTTTGACGGAGCTCATCCTTCTTTTAAATAAGGGATGAGCAGAGTCTCACAAACGATACAGTGGAAATAAAAAAATAATTTGAATACAAAAATAATTGTAAAATAGAATTGTTTCAATTATTTGTTATTATTACAAAATCAAATTGAATTGATACAAAAGCATAGTAAAATTAAACTATTCTTAAACAATATCTACATAAAATTATAAGAAATTATTTATTGAGATTATGAACTAGTAATATAGTATTTTTATAAGATTCAGTGAATAATGAAATAGTAGAAGATTCAGTGTATTAATGCTAAGATTTATGTTTTATTTCAAATACAAACATTTAGTAATATTAATATCTAAGACACAGTGTATAAAACAAAATATAAACTTATATTCTAATGTAACATAATGCTTTATGAAATAAGTATAGTAAAGTAATATAGTTTTTAATTATTACATAAGTTTCGATTTGATATGTGAAATTTACCGAATGTTCTTTTCATTTGGTTTTGCACTGGCATATTGGGTAAGGATATAGAATCTTTTTTATCATCGTCTGATGATGAAACTTCAGTTAACTCAATAGAATTACTAACTTTCGATTCGTGTTTAACAATCCGTCGTGTATTGCACTGATTAAATATTTGTATGCAGCGGCAAGAATCATTATTTCTCTTAATAGAGCAACAAAATATTTTATAGGAAATATATAAAATTATGCAAATAATCAAAAAGTATGTAAATGATGAATAGTATTTACCATATTTTATCATGTGAGATTGTTCTTGAACTCTATTGATCTCATTTTCTAAGTTATTTAAGGAATGGTAAGAATATTTCAGAGTTTCCATGTCTAGGCTAGTTAAAGATGTAGGAGATAAGTATGGAATTGATTTGTTTAAAATTTCTTTATTACAACAATCGTCTTCTGTAATATTAAAGTTTAAATTCATTTTATTTTTGATTTTAATAGATTTAGTTGTAGATGGCATTAATTGAATTGTCTTAGAGAAACCAATACAGCTTTCGTTTAAACTTAGGATACCTGTCCCTAAAATAGTGAAATCTTGTATTATATTATTACATTTTATAGTTAATTTACATTTCTCAGACTGTACATAGATAAACTTATTATTATTTATTTTATACCATACATCGATTTGTCCATATAAAAGTTTAGAGTTACATTGATGTGGTAAAGATAACGTTACTTCGGTTAACAATTTTGTTTCACAACATGGATTCTTTATTGTAGAAAATATAGAAATTAAAGGACATATAGAATAATCATTATTAATAATATTACAGTCGTTTAAATTATCTAGCAAACTATAACTAAGTCTATCTTCTGTTATTCCAAGATAAGGCTTGGTAGGTTGGATTAGAGCAAAAGAGTTAGGATCATTAGGATTATGAGGGGTTGGTAAAGGTATGCATTTGTATAAGGTGAACTTTAAAGAAGAAATCAGTGGTATGCGTAATATGAAAATTATTCTTCTATTATAATAAAAAGATGTGAGTTTTGAAATATCTATCAAAGTATGTATATTTTCAATCGTTAATGGTACTGGAAAATCTAATCGCTTGTTTATATAATTACTCTGTTTTAAAAGCTGCCGAAATAAGTTCGTAGGAGCTATTACACTAGGATGTAGAATGTTTGCTTTAGAAAATAAGATAGAGTTTAGTACATTATCCAAGAAATTAGAAATAGTGGCTAAAGAGCTTTCTATTATATTAAGTAAAGCATATATTTTAGAAATATGTGATAATTGATTATTATTTCTGACAATTTGGGATAATACAATATTTAAAGAATTTATTTGAGAATTTAATTTATTTTCATTCATATTTAATTTATATATTGTTGAGTTAAATACATTAATAGAAGATTTAATTATGTGAATATTATCCTTCATTAATTTTAAAAGTTCGGATTCGCTATTTTGACAAGCGCTATTGGCTGCATCGTATTTTCGTGCATCATCAGCATCTAAAGTTCCAAAAAAGAATTTCAAAATTTCTCCACCGAATTCTAAAGCTCGTTTATGCCTTGTTTGTTCCTCGGTAGGGACTATATGCGAAAGAGATTCGAATTTAGCATAATTATTTGTGCCTTTAAATGCTTTCGATTTCGGTAGGCACTTTTCCGAAATCAGATTTAGTTTAAATCTTCATTACTGATATCGGCATTAGAGGTAGAAGGTTGTGCGTCACATAAATGCATATTATTTCTACTAGGTGCATGCGCACTGGGATTTGGTAACGTATTCGTCGTGCGAGTGTCTGGTTGCATATTATGACGAAGGCTATTGTTATATTGTCGCTTTCGACATTCGTTTATCATATGTCCCGGACTTTTATAATAACTGCATATTTTAATAGGATTTTTGTTTGAAATATTATGAAAATTAGAATGAGGGTTATTATTTTGTGGATTAACGTAATAAGCTCGACGAGATTGTTTTTTCTTATGATTATAGCAGTTAGAAGAATCATGACCAAATTTTTGACATATAGAACACTGTTTATAAGATTTGGAAGATATTTTGCTCAGAATGAATAGTTTTTCTTCTTCTATGGCATGCGTAATTGCCTCGCTTAAATTCTTCGGGTTTCGACATCTAACAATATATCCGTAATTAGAATTTAGACCTAATATAAATGTGTTGAGGGCTAAATCCTCCATAGCGGCAATTCTTCCTACTAGCTCGGACTTATTCTCGCAACTGTAATGTATGTCGGATTGTAATCGCGTTAAACAAGATTCGATTCTAAGTGAATATTGCATTACTGTTTCCGAATTTCCTTGCCTACAATTTTGGAGTTCAATTAAAAGGTGTGTGGAGTGTTTCTTCTCGCCAAAGGTAGTTTTTAGAAATAGTTTTAATTCATCACAACTATTAAACGTTTTTAGGGAGCACGCGATTTGAGCTTTTCCTTCTAATTGGGATATGATATAACGATATAAAACTGCTTGCTGTTCCGAGTTCGCGAGTGCTATGGCGTTATCACAATTTGTGAGAAAAGCCGGAAGTGATTCTCTATCACCATTGTAAGGTTTGATGAATTTTACAAGGACGGATAAGGGAATTTTGTCGGACATTTCTATTTCTTCGGGTTTGTCCTTTAAAGTTTTAACCTTATGCATATGGAATTAGAAAGATTTAGGAGTTAGTAAATACAAAATTGGTAAAATGAGAATATTATTGTACACGACAAATGACAAAAGAATGTAAGGAAATAGAAGAGGAATAGTATAAAATTATAGCTAAATTAAAGTTACCTAACTTACAATATCACGATCACTACGGTGTACATTGGTTGCTATGCCGGTGTCGTGTTGCGATGACGTGCAGCGGAGTCGCGTTGCCGTGAGACCCAGGGAGTCGTTTGACGGCGGCGTCCACGTAGTTGTGCGATGGGAGTGCAGCAGCTCAGGGCAGGCTCACACGCTGGTGGTGTAGACTAACAGCCTTGATGAACTTCGGGTTGACGATGGTGTCCCAAGCTCGTGGGGCTGAGACCTCGTTGGTGCTTTGATGATGCAGGCTCACACTCGTGGGGTGGAGACTTGCTCTCTTCAGAGTTTCCCAGGATTCGGATGCCACGCTACTGATGTAATGGTAGACCTTGCGACATCCCACTTCTGACACCAAATTTGTTAGGAGGGCCGCTCTGAAGGTGTTTTAAAAAAAAACTTTTACACAATACATTAATTACAATCCCAGAAGTTCTTTTGGTTTATTTCCCCAATATTAAATTAATACAAGAAATGTACAAAAGACGCGAACGGCGTGTGCGATATGCACTTAATATGGGTTGGAACTGCACTGCCTCGATTACCTCAAACTCTAGGCTTTTATAATAAATATAATAATCGAGTCAGCGCTTTTATCTAACTAGGGTTGGACATAACAGTTCGATAGATACTGATCACTGACCTCTATATATACAAGTACGCTGGACTGGCTATATCATACAAAATGACTGTGCCAATTTGAAGCGCCGCTAAAGGATGTCTTGAAAAATAAAATTGACATAATATGCCAAAGTCTGTTGTCTTATTTATATTGTGTTATTTAAATACGTCTGTATTTTGAACTTTTAAACTAAAAAACGAAAGTATTTATGTTGTTTGATTGTGTATAAGATTAGTTACATAATGAGAATTATTTTTATTAATAATGAGAGTGTGCGTAATCTGTAAAACTCGTTACCAAAGGGGAAGTGGTATAACATTTCATAAGTAAGTGAATTTGCAGTAAATATTAAACAAATTAAAACTATTTGATAATATAAGTATTTAAAAATTTGTTACTAATCTTAATATCATATATACCAACATGTTTGGCTGTATATTACTAGGTTTTGATAAACAATAAAATTCAATAGGGTTGTCGAGTTCCTTGTCTATAATACAAATAAAGTCGCCAACAACACATGATTATCAAATGTTGTTGGCGACTTTGACAGTTTAACAGGTTATTAACAGGTTTCCAACTGAACCTAGACTAAATTTATGGCTTAAAAGCATAAATATTGTGAATTGGCGTCCGAAACAAAATGATCATATTTGTTCCAAATACTTCACAGACGAGTGTTTTATTAGACATGAGAACTGCACCAATTTGAAAAAATGCAGTATACCGACAATATTTTCTGGTATTACCAGCACCAGTAAGTATAAAAGTATTAGATTATAATTTCGAATGATTTTTTTTATTTCTTCTTTCCTTATTTTCCACCAAACTCAAGGGCCATAGCTAAGTGTCGAAAGGTCGCCTGATGATGTAAGTGGGCTGCGGCTAGAAGAGATTCCTAACCCTGTAACGCTGTAGGTGAGGTGGCGTCGTAAGGGAAGAGAGTGTTGATATGAGTGATGATATGTGAGAGTTCTGGTATGGCGTGAGAGTGTTGTTATGGCGATTGGTGATGCGATGCCACTCGACTATCTTTCGCGACTTTGGTGAGGCTGCATCACTTGATGCTTCCAAGTGCTCGTTATTCACTGGCTCCATTCACATATCAGGCTCGGGGAATCCGTAGTGCAGGTGGAGTTAAAGGCCGCGAAGGGCAGTGTGACTTGTGTTTCTGGTGCGCCTTATCTGAGAATGAAAACGGGGAGGAGAAGTTAGCAAATAAGGAGAGGTTCCCATTGGGCGGCTGGCGCTGGCTTCAATTGTTAATAAACATGTAATAATCATTCGAAAATATTTCGTCCGTCTGTTTCAGATCTTTGTTCTCCATTTGCCATCACTGATTTTGTTTTTGTGTGTAATCGACAATAGGCAGGTGAAGTGTAGGACGTTCGATGGAGTCAAAACCTGGTAAGACAGAAGTTGATGGATGCAGGTAGCTCAGGACCGTGCTTTGTGGCATTCCTTGGGGGAGGCGTATGTTCAGCAGTGGACTTGTGAAGGGTTTTAATGATGGTGAATGATAATGGCATTGTATTAATATGATACTTAAATAGAATGGACGTTACGGGTAGAGTCCATCTATCCATAGAGTCCATTCTATTTATTTATAGGTAATTTGGTACACTATCTTATCCCTATTATTAGTTCAGTGGACGTGCACTTTTGCTGTCAGCGCCAAAATGGCGGAAATCAAATCGCTTCATCATGTCACGGTGTTATAGCCAGTCCAGCGTACTTGTATATATAGAGGTCAGTGATACTGAAACATAGAGCGGTTGAATAGTGATGGCGCAAGATTGATGCCTATGCGTTATTGTACTTATATAAGTTATTAATTTGGTCATGTATTTGTAAATATTAGGTAGGCGATAATTATTAGGTACTTTGAGCTCAATATAATATAGGTACGAATTTATGAAACGATGTTTATTAATCAAACACAAAATCAAATTAATTTACACCCCCTTGAAAAGAGTTATCATATTATACATATTTGTGGTTTTGTAAGCTTGATCGCAGTTTTACGTACAAGATATTTCTATCTAATGTCAAAATATTGTGTAATGACATCCATTAGTTTTCAAAAAAATCGTGTACATTTATACGCAATCGCATAAATAACTGCCGAAGCTAGTTTGTAATTTCTTTAAAATAAGTATAATCTTACTTCAAATTTAAGCACTGACATTGCACCTCCAACCAGCTTGCGCAGTCCACATTTTCTTTCAAAAATGTACCAAGCACTGATGACTGCTCGCAAAGTGGCGCTCTTGCGTAAACAATGGTATCCTAGCAGGTCCGCCTCTACGATACATCGAATAAAAACATCGATATTTACTTGATGTTGACGAATTAACAAAACATCGGATTGGTTCGATGAATCAATACTTTACGGTGAGTGTTTTAAATACATCGAGGTATATCGTTCATCAGTATCGCGTTGAGGCGGCTACTGACTTGCCGCAGGGGCAATCTAGGGTGGACAGCGATCGGGGCTATATCAGAACTGTCTCTATACGCATGCCTGCCGTTCAGTGTGAGAGAGTGTACGTCTCGTTAGACAAACGCGTTGAGAATGGCGCCAGTTTTATCGAAATATTAGTGAATCGGTTATACATAGCAGTGGTTCTTTTTTATCTATCTATGTAAAATACAAAAATATTTCTACCTGAGTCCGTTATAAACTTTGAAACCATCCAACCAATAGATTAGATGTATAGGTATATTAATAGGCGTCAACATCTACTATCATGTGGACTGTACGTTCTTTTGTCACTCATGTTCTATAAAATAAAAATAAACCATGTGTTCAGTTTACACGCGGTAGATGTGAAACCTTTAGAAAATTGCGAGTGCTTTGCTTTGTTTTTCTACTTCATTTTCTATATGTACAGTAATTTTAACAAACAAAGATTTATTGACTTACAAGATGGTACGTAAAATAACCCGAACATGACAAATTTAATATAATATTCTATATTATTCTCTCGCAGGACTAAATCCTATAGATGTATATTATCCTTGTCTTCTTTTAGTGTCGCTTTTTCGTTTCGAGTTTCAAATCACAACGATTCTAAAGAAGTTTTCATTTGAATTTTCTAGAAATTGATAAATTTTTATTTAAATCGTAATTTCTTAATGAAATGACATTTCGTTACAAAGAACTTGACATCATCGGGAAGTAATGATATCTAGTGAGTATAAGATTATTATTCCTCGTGGAACTGGGTTGCAGTGCGCTGCGAGCTGTGCGGCGGGGCGTCGGTGCCGCCGCCGCTGGCCGCGCACATGCGGCACGCGCACCCGGGCTGCCACGCGCCCGCAGCCGCCGGCTACGACCGCGCCGGCCAGTACCGACGCGCTGACGCGTCGCCGCTGCCCACCGGATCGGCTGTCCACGCCGGGTTGGCTGTCCCCGCCGTGCCCTCCGGGTCGGCTGTCCCCGCCGTGCCCTCCGGGTCGGCTGTCCCCGCCGTGCCCTCCGGGTCGGCTGTCCCCGCCGTGCCCTCCGGGTCGGCTGTCCCCGCCGTGCCGTCCGGGTCGGCTGTCCCCGCCGTGCCCTTCGGGTCGGCTGTCCCCGCCGTGCCCGCGATCTGCGGACAGCTAGCGCAAGGTGTGTACAACGTCCCTGCGTTCGCTAACCACTGTTTCAGTCAGCGTTATACGTGCTGGCGCTGTGATGAAGCTGGATAGCTTACGCGAGCTGTGTACGCACGACGGACCTTTACTTGGTACGCACAGGGTACTTGCGGGTAGCGCCCATTTGTTTTACAACTACTGTCATTGTTGCGCTCTGCGGACAACAGGTTCAGGGTGTGTACGCACAGCGGCCCCTCGTTTGGTAGCCGCTACATATATGTACGAGCAACGGTAAAGTTGTAAATAGTCTTACAGTCCACCTGATGGTAACTGACTGCTGCAACCCAATGGTCATCCGGAACCTGACACAACCTAACTGTAGCTCTTTTTCTTCGACGTTCAAACAAAAAAGCTACAGTTAGGTTGTCACCTATGAGGATATGGAAAGCCTAACAGCCTGCAATCATACTGGACCTCTTTACTCTTCATGCCAGAGCACTGTGGTTAAATAGCAATGCAATAAATAATGGTGTAGTACCTACCACCCCCTTATTAATTTTTACTTACTACTGCGACTTGTTTCCTTTTTATAGAAGTAAATGTCAAAAGGATCACACAGCGTACATTTATGATAAGCGGATGCTGTGATCCATAGATACCTTTATCTATCACCGATTAAGAATCAAAATACTATCATCCCTGAGGATTAACATGAAATGCCTCACAACCTGCAATTATATCTATTATCTTAGCTACCTCTATACCTTTCTGAATAAAACACACACTAAACGACATAATTACTTAAGAGACTAGTACTTCCTTCTACATAGACAAACTCGAAAGCAGAACCTAGTGAACATGCAGTGCAACACAGTGCGACTCCTATCTCACTTTACCGCTACAACCAATATTTGCATACACACTGCCACCCAACTTGATGTACGCACTGCAGTCAGTCTCGTAGGGCATTAGGAAACTCCTTTCATAAACGCCGGGATGTTCATGCGTTCGTGCGTGAATTTGAGCGCTTGAGGTAATATTCACATATTAAGACAGTAGTATTAAGCTATGCTGGGATTCGCTAACTTGCGCTGTCAAGTTATTAAAAAATATTCACAATGTATGTAGCTTGAGGGCTGAAAAAGAAATAATAAAATATGGACTCGGTAGATCCTACTGCGGTCGAGTTAAAAATAGATTTTATATTTACACTCTGTGAATTCAGATTAAAACTTATTGCATCGTCTACCGGAAAAGGCAAAGCGTGCCGGGCCAAGCAGTCAACTAGAATATAAAGTGGTATATCGGCGGACTTAATGCCTAAGGCATTCTCTACCAGTCTACATTGTTTAAATTATATTTTTACAGCTTACCAACTCTGGTATATCTACTGCGAGAAATGTCGCGAAAAAGCGCTTCGGAACGCGTCTTCTTTAAAACAAACCAAGACCAAAGTGGTAGCGGAGACCAGCTCTCGCACGGAGCCCGCAGCCGATCATTACGTGATGAAAGAAAACGCAATATTTTTACTTGACGTCGCACCGCTTACAAATAACGGTAAGAGGTTTACACTTGCAGACACTTAGTACACACAAACACAACCTTTTACTTATTGAATTCATTCTTAACTGTTTTATAGATAAACCACTTAATTGGCGGATCGCCTGCGTAGTCTGGAGGTAGGCGCACAAGTAGTTAATTAACTCAAAATAGATCCCGCGATAATGTTCGGTGGACGTACACAGGCTGCACTAAAAGTATCGGGAATGGAATATTTCCACTGTTCCCGTCATATTAAAATCTTTTTAATTGAAAACTCCTTGGTTTTAAAAATTGAATACCATTTATTTATTTAAAAAAAGATTCTCGGTCTTGCCACAAGGTTTTGTCAAACTTGTTTAGTCGTTGAGAAAATGGAATCGACTCGAGAAAATTCAAGAGCGATGATTTATTATGACTTTCGAAGTGGTTTAACACAAAAACAGTATGTTGACCGGATGATTTCTGCATTTGGTGATGAAGCCCCATCCAAAACCACAATTTATCGCTCGCTGGTTTTCTGAATTTCAACGAGGACGTGTCAAACTCAGTGATGATCCCCGTCAAGGTCGTCCAAAAACTGCATTCACCCAAGAAAACGTTGATGCTGTGCGTAAGCTGATTAAGGAAGATCGACATGTGACATAACGCGAAATTCAGGCAACTTTAGACATTGGCATGAGTCAAATACAAATAATCTTGCATGAACAATTAGGTGTAAAAAAGTTGTTTTTCCGATGGATGAACCGCATTCGCTCTGTGAGGAGCAAAATGCGGCTCGCGTTACTTGGTGCGTCAGAACTCCTGAAAGATTCCACGCAAGATCCTCAAATGCTGTATACAACATCGTATCAGATGACGAATCCTGGATATATGCGTACGAACCCGAAGCAAAAAACCAGTCACGAGTTTGGGTGTTCGAAAATGAGTTAAAGCCAACAAAAATTGTTCATTCACGGAGTGTTGCAAAAAAAATGGTGGCCAAGTTTGTCTCCAAAACCGGCCATGTTACGACTATTCCTCTTGAGGGACAAAGAACGGTTAATGCAGAACGGTATGCTAGCATATGTTTGCCACAGGTCGTTTCTGAACTCCGCAAAGAGAATTGCAACCGCCGCATCATCCTCCATCACGACAATGCGAGTTCTCACACAGCACACAGAACAAAAGAGTTTTTAGAGCAAGAAATCATAGAATTATTAGACCATCCGCCGTACAGCCCCGACCTAAGCCCTAATGATTTCTATACTTTGCCTAAAATAAAGAATAAATTGCGGGGACGGAGATTTTAATCACTTGAAGAAGCTGTGGACGCCTACAAAACGGCCATTTTGGAGACCCCAACTTCCGAATGGAATGGTTGCTTCAATGATTGATTCCATCGTATGGAAAAATGTGTCAAATTTCGCGGAGAATACTTTGAAAAGCAATAAATACATTTTTAAATAGTAATGTTGTGTCACTTCCTTGATTCCCGAAATTTTCAGTGCCTACGATGTTGTACAGCATTTGATGATTTGATGATTATACAGCATTTGAAGATCCTGCGTGGAATCTTTTGAGAGTTCTGACGCACTAAGTAACGCGAGCCGCTTTTTGCTCTTCACAGATCGAATGCGGTATCCATCGGGAAAACAACTTTTTTTACACCTAATTGTTCATGCAAGATTATTTGTATTTGACTCATGCCAATGTTTAAAGTTGCCTGAATTTCGCGGTATGTCTGGATTTATAATCAGCTTACGCACAGCATCAACGTTTTCTTGGGTGACTGCAGTTTTGGACGACCTTGACGGGGATCATCACTGAGCTTGACACGTCCATGTTTAAATTCAACAAACCAGCGATAAATTGTGGTTTTGTATGGGGCTTCATCACCAAATGCAGAAATCATCCGGTCAACACACTGTTTTTGTGTTAAACGACTTCGAAAGTCATAATAAATCATCACTCTTGAATTTTCTCGAGTCAATTCCATTTTCTCAACGACTAAACAAGTTTGACAAAACCTTGTGGCAAGACCGAGAATCTTTTTTAAATAAATAAATGGTATTCGATTTTTAAAACCAAGGAGTTTTCAATTAAAAAGATTTTAATATGACGGGAACAGTGGAAATATTCCATTCCCGATACTTTTAGTGCAGCCTTGTATCAAATAGTTCGTTACGTGCCTAAAGAAGACCTGTCAAAATTTAAGGCCCAGTGGCTTAGCAATGAGTTGTTGCGCCGGGGGTCGTGAGTTTGAATCCCGCACCGAACAAGTATTTGTATGGCATACATAATATGATTGTTCCGGGTCTGGATGTTTGCCCTTGTGCAATTTATGTTTGTAAACTGCCTCCATGATGCAGAAGAAAATCCTAGTGTGGGGGTAACCTTTTAAAAAAAACAGCAAAAACAATCCCTCTTCTGTGTACAGACATTTATAGAAATATGATAAAAACTGGGCCAACAAGATACTTAGTAGAGATCAACACTGAAATAAAAGGAGCAGCCTCACAGAATTACAGATTCATTGGAATTTCGGCATAAAATAAATTAAAACAAAACGCCCAGTTCTTCGCTAAATATAATATGTTGTAGCAAATAAATTTAGAATACGATTGCAAATGTACATTAAAAGTGAAGAATTTATCCAGGATATTAAACTACGTCTACTCAATAATGATATTAGTGTTGTTATTTACCTGGAAAATTTGCAGAATTTATAAATTACGCAATAACATTATTTAAAACGAGGAAGTTTAATTTGATTTAATTTTATTTCAATTTTGCAATACATAATGCATAGACTTTAATAGGCTGTAACGTTGACGAAAGCGTACGTAATATGTTTTTGACTAAATTTTTTGTCATTAAACATAATTAATAATTAAAGTGTCTGTATTAAACAGTACTTTGGGTAAAAAGTCGGAAGAACAAATAAAAATGAACTCTGATTATCAACCCCGTCTGGGGACGACAGATGAACACGCGTTTGCTAGTATCCACTGGGGTAAATTTTTAGGGTTGATAAACGGAATAACCCAAAAAATATACTTTTTTAATAATAGTATAAAACGCTTCTCAATGCTGAGTAACGATTCATGTAAATAATATAATATTACCCTAAATAGGTGTCCTACTAAATGGTCTTCAATAAACCACGCTTTATCAGCTATAAGGAAAAATTATTTTAATGATAAATCATAATCATAAATTAATAATGAAAACTTTGTACCAACTAAATTTAATTTCCACTAAAAAGGCGAACGTGACGAATAGAAAAATATAGTTACCATTTTAAAGAGCCTACAATTTTATAGTGCTCGTCGCCTTTTTTATTCACTATTTGAAATCATTAATCATTTTTCTAAAGCTTTACAGCATGAAAATAATGACTTACAGAAAGCTAACATTTTACTAAGTAATCTTTTGTATATACTGAGCGAAACAGGAAATCAAAATTCATTCCATGGTTTGCTGAGCGAGTCCAGAGATTATCAAAAGAGTGGGATGTAAAAACTGCTTTCAAAAATAAAAGAAAGAAGATAACGAAGTGTTTTTTTAAAGAAGAATATCAGAAGGTGAGAGAATTTCATACCCGGAATCTTACTTCAAAGTCAATTTGTACTTCTGCTCTGCTTTCGACATATTAATTTCTCAAACTAAACAAAGATTTTGGAGCCTCTGAGACCTAAGTAATGTATGAAGTATTATAACTATTTCGAATACATTAGATAGATATAGATATTTAGGTACCACACGAGCTCACTGAAAGGTAGTAGTAATAAGTAAGGTGTAATAAAACTTTAAAAAAATGTGTATATAAAAAACGAAAAAACTTTCCCCAACCTTTAAGTTCACCGAACAAGACAAGAAAAGTGTATATTTGATTTGTATTGTTCGGCTAACTTAGTTCCTAATTAGTATTAATAGTAATTATTAATTTATAATCTATATATATATAATTATTTTATTTCATGCGAGCGGTTTTGGACTTTTCATTTGAGCCCCCCAATAAATCTTGATACAGGGCCCATCTAAGGCAAGCTACGCCACTGTTGATGAGTCAGAAACGCCTTGTAAATTAATTATCTTTTGATCCATAACATCATCGAGTATTTGATCGTGTTGACAATATTCGTTTTAAATATTTCTTGACATGGTTTTCCCATTTTTCTAATGAGAATTCGGCGAATAATTGCTCCAGTGCAAATTTTTGTTATCCAAATTGCTATCAAGTTAATTTCTTGCGAGTTGTCCCTTGATATCTCCCCATAGCAACTCAATAGGGTTCAGGTCACCTAGACCTATTATGGTGGACCTAGTATGGTGGAAGTCATTATAACATTGCGTGACCCGCAGCCTTTAACACTTCGTCAATTTTATAAACATTTTCAGATTTGTGTTGCTTGACCAATCTGAGTAAGTCACATTTTCTTAAGGAAATATTAAATTCCACTAATTTTCTTTTATCCATTTATTAAAACTTTGAAAATTCATATCTTTATAATAATCTCTGGGTTTACTTTTTGATTTAAAAATTAATAGGGCTCCATTGATAAATCTACCACGGCCTCCAGCATGGACAAATTAAAAGTGACCCTTTGCCAATATGTGGCAGCACTTCTCTTCTATAGACTGCCAACACGATGAGACATTTAAGGAGGATTTGACGTAAGTTTCATCGCGGTAAACAATGTTCCTCTGATCTCAACGATGCTTCTTTATCGTATTTATTATAAGTAGCTTTCTTTTCTACTGACATTTCTTAAATCTAAAGCTAACTTTGTGCAACAATATTCTCAAATATTATCGACTGCAATTAATAATTCTTAATCTTCCTTAACATCAGCATTTAAAGTTTTTAATGTAGGTCTCCTCCATATACATAAGAATAACCTTCTTGAAAATAGTACAAAATTGTGTTACTTTTCATCTTATTACAACTTGGCGATCTGTAAAATTATCTGTTTAAATTTTTTCTTTCGGATTTGTTTCTTTTTTGTTGGTTTAAATTGGTGTTAATTTAAAAACCTTACTATTCTGTTCACGTTGCAGATCGTTGCCTTCTTTAATAATTTTACTTATAGTAGAGAATGAGAGCGTTTTGTAGCTGGCTTTGAAAAAAGAAAAAACGATATACGCCATTTCTTTTGCTTGCCTTCTTATTTTCTTACCAAAAACCTGAGAGCGATTCATCTTGGCATTGATCGTGGCACTTTAATCTCGTGTGCATTTTGTTCCAAGCGTCCGCGACAGATGTAATCTTGATCTACTATGAGATCTGCGAGTAAACTGCCGAAGCCAAACATGAAAAATGATCCCTACCCGCCCCATGGAACGCCTATATGTCACCCCCTCCCGCAAACTTCTTACCTCGCGGGAGATCCGCCAATTAAGTGGTTTATCTACAGTAGTGATTGGATAAGAAAAACGATCCACATGCAGTTAAGTTCTTGCCAACAACCCTATTTGTTTTTTGTTTTTTATTTAAAGTTTTAAATTTACGTTTAAGTTATTAACGTGGCACCAGTGGTGTGAGTCAAGGGCACAGAGCGGGTCCGCTATAAATTCAGGACTTTGCTTATAATTGTTCATTATAGTATTAAATATTTCTATACCTGTCTTATTATTCTATTGTCATTAAGTGAAAAGAGAAGTAGCGACTTAAATCATTTCTCAAATTGACGTTGAGTTTGATATGTCAGTGTCAGGTAAGTAAGGGTATCCACAGCTTTTTCTGCCACCAGGGCAACGCTATTTAGGAATAAGGTGAAACATTTGACAGATGTCGTAGAGGTTTATTTAAATTGTTCGGAACAGTGGCAAATATTCGCACTATGAGATAATCTATGGGGAACACCTATATAAAGCGATGGACTCCTGATAGATTGTGAAGGAGAAAATTTGTTAGTTCATTGTGCGTCAACGTGTGGTTTTTTATAGAATAATGGTGACAAACGTCCAACAATCAACCTGATGATAAGTGGATGCTGTATTCCATAGATATCTACACCTATACTAGATTAGGAATCAAAATTTGGACGCGTTGTCATTTCTGATACTGACCGCACCCGAAGATGGGATGCCCCGTATCCAGTGAAAAGGGTCACCATACCTAACATTGAGCTGCAATTTTTTGCATGCTGAAACTACAATACAGCTGTGTCATGGCTTTACCACGTACAAGTGGTAGAGCAGTGTCATCTTAGTGACCGTTGCATCTGGTCGCCCTTAATCCGAGAATTTGTTCAACAAAGTCTCGACTTCAGACACAGGTTTGTTCCGGTACTCGGTGAGGTTTTCCCGAGAAATATTGGTGTATGAAGCATCTTTATGGATACTGGTGTATGCATCATTTTTATAGCAATGAATTTTAAAAATTTATAACATATTATTGATATGCAGCAGAATACGGTGTAGTGGCGGTGTTAGAATGTCCACTAACCCTCATATCGTCCCGTGGGTGTCGTAAGAGGCGAAAGAGGGGAACTAAAAAAATAAAATGGGAGGCGGTATTTTCATGCTATCAAATCAAAGTAATAAGAAACTACGGTTGCCAACTTGCATGTCAAGCGGGGCAATTATGGCAATGTATATGGAGGAGACCTATGTTCAGCATTGGACTTTAGCAGGTTGTAACTGTTATCGTTGTTATGTCAGAGGGTGGTGGCGGGTGGGAGGCGGGCGGGAGCGGCTCGCGGGGCGGGCGGTCGCCGCCGGGCAGCGCGTGGCAGCCGGCGCCACCGTTTCAGTGCCTGGCCGCGCTGGGCGCCGAGCCGCGCCCCGCAGCGCGCACCCCGCGCTACCACTCGCTCGGCCGCCCCACGCACGCGCACGTCACCACCGAACAGGTACACCACTACACACAGCTTATTCTTTTTAATGTGAAACATGTATCGGCGAGCTTTGTTGGTAAAACCGACTCTTGCAAGTAATTTGATAAATTATTTTGTGTTTCTTAGTTATAAGGTTTTGACTTTTCATCTCACGAAGCCTGTTTGACTATGAATCAAGTCCGTTTATCAAGAGTGTACATGCTCATTGTTTTAGTGTGCGTAACCTCGAGAACGTTCATTCAAGATCGCAATGTTCGATTTTAGTTTTTGACGCTACTCCGTAAAAAAAAATTGCGTGGATTCAAAACACTAGTGAATCGGACTACGTAGCGACCGTGACTGACCGCTCCCGAGGTTACGCATACTAAATGTGCACGTCCTACAACATTCATAGTCGAACGGACTTCGTGAGATAGAATATCTCTACAACGAAAATAACATCTTAAAAACAACGAAAGTCCCGTAATTAAAAAATTATTAATAAACCGAATCGTTTGCCGTGACCGAAACAGTATAACGCTCTTTATGCCGTCATTCCCATTTAGCTCGCGGCATTGTAGGCTGCGAACCCTGAGTCAGATGAAGCTGTAAGAGTTGCATAGACTAACAGCGATAACATCCAGAAACTAGACTCTACACTACCGCTCTCGACTCTCTTGCTTATACGTATACTATATACACTTACACTAGGTTTTCTGTGTGAGTTGTACTCTATTACTATATTGTATTTGCTATATATTTATTTTTAATATTATTTTAACTCCATATTTCATTATAGATTCAAATAAGAATAGGACAAGCTATCTATTCAAACCAATTGACTAAGGTGAGCAAAACAGATGTTTTTTAAATAATATGTATTTACAAAAGAACCAGGAAGAAAAAAGTATAAGTCTGAGTAGTCATCATTATCATTACGTCTACTTTTCCTTAAAAAAATAGAACATAAAGAATCATGTCCAGTCTTTGAAAGACCTAAAAATTTTCTAACCCGTCTAGTGATATAAAATTGCCTTTTTTTTTGCTCACTTCGTATCGCATAATTGAATTTTCCAATAAAGCCAGGAAATAAAATAATGTTACTATGTTTATCATTCTCTAGACTTGGAGACGGAACTTGTTTTATAATGACTCAAAGGCCAAGAAGCCACGCAATTTTTTTAAAAGTTGTTTTACACGTTCCGTTTTACATACTACGAAAAACTTGTTCATTGGTCATGTGGTGTATGAATGTTCAAAATAACCAATTGTGTTTTTTTGATGATGATATTACATTGAAGAAAGATTTATTTCTGAGTATTTGTAACTCTCTCAGCAATTAAAAAACTATTTGATTTCAATTATCGTATAGTTTTTGAGGTTGTGACAGCAGTCAGACCTTATTTAACAGCTGTTATAACCTGAAAAACTTATTTACTTAATAGTATTTTCCCCTGGCCTCCAAATGAAAAGGTGATAAGTTATTATGTTATTATAAACAATAATTGATTTTATGCAACAGTAGTTGTAGGCAGACACGACCTGTAAAACGATTCAAGTGACAGGTCAATCAAAGTATAGAAAATGGGCATACTTCTTTCTGTGGGTATTTAAAAAATACCACCTATTTGTATCAATATTTTAAATGAATTTATAAAAATGATTATGAGTTCAATAAAGTTTGTAATACTAAGACTTAGTTATATAAAGCGAAAGAGAACTTATTAACCCATTAAGGGTCCTCGAATCAATAGTGTTTGTCAAGATCTAAGTGAATGATACTTATTGATGCTGACTTTGATCGTTAATTTTATTTAATTGAAGCGATTGTAAAATTACACCTTTGAGACTTCCAGTCACGTAAATACCGCGAACGTTGTCTAAACGAACGAATTTTATTTCTTATTTGCCTAAAAGTAGTAACAAAATATAACTTCGTGGTATATTTACCGTGCGACCTACCCGCTTACGCGATCCCCGGTGTTTACATAGTTTTCTTCAGGATTCTGAATTGCTGGTCTAGTAGTATATATATAAGTTTTTGATATTCCTAAATGCCTACATTTGAAACCTTCAATCACGTATATATTGGCACTTGACCATATTGAGGGCCCTTTAGTGTGTGTGTGTATTGAGGTGCGTCCACGTGGACGTTGTGGTGTGTGCAGGAGTACAAGCGCGAGGGGCGTGAAGGGCGCGAGGTGGGTGCGGGGCGAGAGGCGGTGGGCGCGCAGTGGCCTCGCGTGCACCGCTCCGTGTCGATGGGTCAGGCGGGCGGGCGCGGCCTGCTCGCCGCCGACTGCCCGCCGCTCGCCTATGCTGACGCACCCCAAGACGCCGATACCTACTCTGGTATGATTCACTTAACATTTTGACGTGAATATGACCTTATATTTGCTTTCATAGTGGGAGGCAATTCAAAAAATTGATGATAATACAATTCTGGGATACAGTTTCGTATTGCTAAAGACTAAAGGATCAAGAAATATTGATGTTGGACTGCGACGCGCCTCCATTTTAATATCGTTTCGTTACGTACACGTATTCACGTAAAACATTCGGGCGTGTCCAGCTCACAACCACACCCCGATTTTTTACAATCCGCCAAGTGTAATATCCTTCTACATGATGCCAAGAGTGTACAAGTTTTATTGTGAATGTGGTCCCCTTTATATAGCAGAAACTAGAAGATTATTCAAAACCTACGTAAAAAATATAGCTAACGGAAACCTGCAGTCTGTGAAGTGACTACAACTATGAGTCGAGATCACTCCCTTCATTACGTCAGATTTAATAGATCTCAAATCTTTGCAAAAGAACACCGATATTATATACCGTGGATATTTCACTAGGTTAGGTTACGTACGAAAGTTTTTAGAACTGGCCACTTGTAAACGATATAATAAAAAGTAAGTTCAAATTTGGAAGATGGAACTGTTTGCCAATGGGTGCGTTTGGCAGAAAAAAGCGCTAGCAAGCGCTTACAAGCGCTGAGATAGTTTTCGGCCAGGACACGATTGCTACTTCAATAGCGCTGACACAATCCGCCATTTTGCTTATTTAATTTGTTTGTTTTGAAGTAGAGTTTATAAGATTTTTTGTGCAATATTAGTTTTAAGTAATATAATGACATAGATAGACATATAGATGTTATTAAAAATTCATGATTGGTAAGTTTTTAATATGAATACTTTACAAACATATATTTAAATTAGGTTAGGTTCCCCGGTTAAAACTGACTTCGTGTCCTAGAGGAAAATAGCTACATACGATTTGGCAGCGCTTACCGCTTACGATCGCCATTTGCTTACAAGCGCTTGCTAGCGCTTTTTTCTGCCAAACGCACCCAATATTATTGTGTATGTATTTTATTAATTTGTCATTTGTTTACGATTTGGCGGCAAATTGAAAATTGTCTGTGTCACATCAGAATGAATTTAACCCGAGAAAATTTTCGTACAATGATAGTTTATGACTTTCGATGTCATTTAAGTCATCAAGAAAGTTATGATAGACTACGATTGGCCATTGGCCATGATGATCCATCTCGTGCCACTGTTTACAACTAGTTTAATGAGTTTAAACGTGGTCGCAATAATCTCACCGGTGATCTGTGTGGGGGACGGCCTTCTACGGCGACGGCTGAAGATAACAACATTGTTGTGTGGCGTATGATAGAGACTGACAAATGAGTAACTTATCAGCAGATTCTGACAAGCATAGTCATCGGTATGAGTCAAGTGGACAAAACCTTTCATAAATATTAAGCGTTCAGGAAGCTTTGTGCCCGGTGGATACCTCATAATTTGACAGAGGCCCAAAAACTTCGTCCTGTAGATTTGATTTCTAAAATGTATGTCATCGGGCCTGAATTTGAAAAATCTTTGTCATTGCTCTATAGGGAACAAATTCATGATGGGGCAAATTTATAGAACGCATACTATAATACTATATAACTACACTAACAACTATGAACGTATTCTAAATGCAAGAGATTTTTAAAACTTTTTCATATGGAACTTGCTGGTTATGCGAAGTCCCACAAAGCACATTTGCCAGTTGCAGTATGTAAACTATTATTATCTTAATAAATATCAATATTATAATAAAATATCTGTATATCACTGCTTTTATTGATCTACTTAGTTAACAAGTCATTACCCTACCCTACATGCAGTAATCACTTCAAAAATTAAACTTTCAGCAGTTACAACTTTCTAGTAAATTATTTTCTTTTTTACTTATTAATATTTTTTTATATTGTATATAATCAAAAATTCGTCAGAAATAATATTTTTGTCAGTAATATATATTCATCATTATCATCTTTACAGCCTTCATAAGTCCACTGCTACTATATATATATATATATATATATATATATATATATATATATATATATATATACATTATTTTAATTGAATTGTAATATCTAGACCCTTGAATTTTTATAATGGTGTTGTTATTTTAAATTACTTTTATTATATAAAATGGTAAATAGTGTCTCTAATACTGTGTGTTTAAAAACATTTAGCCTCAGCTGGTTCATCTCTGCTGGCGCAACCGAGTGCAGCCCTCAGACGTCTTATCGGCTGCGGAGATGAAAACGAAGGCACAGTTTCTGCTTTCGAAGCCCCAAAAGTGGACCTCGCAGCTCTGTTCCGTAGTCCCGTGCTTAATTTCGTACTTTCACGGCGGGACTTAAACGCACATCGAATGAAAATGGATGCTGCTGCTCGGATAAATACCGTACGACAGTATGCTTGTGAGGTGAGCTTTGATCCCCAGCATATTATACAATAATAAATTTGTTTCTCTTTTTGTTAGTAATATATATTTAAGCGCATCCGGTTAACGTTGGAATGTTTGACACACTATATCTCTAGCTATACATCATCGGGACCTAAAACCAAAAGCAATATTTTTGTTTCTTTAAATATTGTGTTTGCCGTCTCCGAAATGTCAAAAATTAATATCATGTAATTTTAATGGAACTGGGCACGAAAGAGGCAACAATAAGATAAGTGTTAACAATGGCATACAACATATACACAAATGTGTTCTTGAATATGGTTCTTCATTCTACAACTTGGCAAGGGTCTCTCTCATCGAAGCGAGGTTTTAACAAAATCATAACATTGAAAAACAACAATTTACCTGGATTAACGATATAGTATTAGACTCCTACTTACTTACTTAGACTGTACTTTGACGCTCCTCGCCGTTGCTGCTGTTCTGAAGATTTATATGATATGTCGTATATAAGATTCTGCTATATTTTTCACGAGAAATTGTTTTCACTTAACCAGGTTAAGCACCCCGCATTTTTGTTTGATTCCTTACGTAACGATACGTATACGTACCCATATTCAGTAATGGATTTGGATAAGCGGTAATGATGAAACACTTTCAAATTTTATGTTAAAAGGATCATCGGATACGTCATTTACCGTTTCTGCATTTCAGGCTTTAAATTGGCTGCTGCGTTCGGCGACGCAGCCGATATGTGTTCATGATGTCATGTGGTGGTTTTGTGAATCGCTCTCGCAATTCGCTAGTTCTATGCCGCCAACATTCGTTATGGAGGATAATAAGGAGGTATATTATATATGTTTTCTGTATTTCTCCCATTATCACACATTTTTTCTCTCTCTACTTTTCGAATAGTTTTAAAAAATTTCAATTAATCAAATCGCATCAGAAAATACTTTTACTATTTAGTCTTCTACATTTTTCAAGGATAGTAGAAAATAAGTATAAAGCCGTGATAGATTGAGTGCTAAGTGCTATTTAGTGCGATAAGAAGCTTCGGGTCAAGTGCATAATTTTAACTTTACAATTTAAGTGCTGAGTATGTTTAAGCGATGGACCTCGACAGCCTTGTGGTTATTATATACACAATCGTTCGGTAAATATACTGTGATAAAACGTGTATGTACAGTATGCAAAAACGAAGATTTGTTGCATCCCTTTGAATTTTTATCGAACTTACCACCAGGAGTGCTCTGAGGATGTGTTCGAATTGATTCCAGCTGTCAAATTTTACCAACACACAGTCACAGACGAGCTTGCTTGTCGTAGTGCCATAACATGTCAGAGGTGTCTTAGACAAGATGGGGTACATCTTGAAGCTTGCTTCTATTTAAACATACTTTAAGCTGCGGTAGATGATTATCAAATTTTTATAATCTATTAAGTGTATACCTCTCCACAATGCTGGGAAATTGCACTAAATGAAATACAAGCTTGATTGTGAATGTGGTCTTTCTTACGAAAAACTAATTAAAAGATAAATTAAAATCCGTGTAAAAGAATATATACAAGTCACGGCACGTACGTCTAGCGCTGAACGAAACGTGGAAGGGATAGTTGCACATGTCGTATTAGTACGCCAATAGCTGTAACCGTATGCAAGTAGCAGTAGCCAATCAGCGAGTGCGAACGATATGTACAGCCAATCAGCGATACGCACGTCCGCCTTACGACCTGCTTACTGCGGCACCTCTAGCCTCTCGTGCCGGTATATTTTATGCTGATGTGAAGAAAAGACGCTAAGGGAAGTCTGCAGTTTGTGAAATGAATGTGACTGTAGGTCAGGATTGCTTTCATCTGTACATCGGATTTGGTAGACTACAAATCCTTGCAAAACAACACTGATTATTATTTTCCTCCCAAGGTTGATTGGTGGGGCTATTGAAATTAATAAATACCTCCTAATTTCAATAGAACAGGTGGTTGGGTGTTATTGTTCCTAAAATTAATAAAATAAAATACCCAAGCATACCACCACTGCAATACTTCAAGGATAATATACATATATGTTGTTGCTGGAAATATCGGATAATAATAATTTTAAGTTGAAGGTAATCTTAGTTAACTATGACATTAGGACGTTAAACACATCAGTCCTCCCGTGACCATGAGTATTACAAAGTACACAATCGGTAAGAATGTAAATATAAGTCAATCAAACACGATAAAATTCTAAAAACTATTTTCCTTCAGGTAACTTGCCACTTTAATGTAATTTACAAAATAACGTGCGAAGGAGGGGCAGGCGACACAGCGCGAGGTGCGGTGGCCGACAGCGCCGCGCACGTGCGCGCTGTGTCCGGGCGGGCGCGCGACGCGCGGGCTGCGTGGTGCGCTGCACGCGCTGCTCGGCTCAGTGAGCGCGCTCGCGCCCGCGCTGCGTCCGCCCGCCGCGCCCGCGCTGCAGGCGGTGCGCTGCTGGGCGCTACACTATGCGCCGCACGATCGTGCCTTCTTGCACAGGTCAGTACGCAACACACGCACACTCACCTACCACCAAGACGTTTTTTTAAAAGGATAGTGTGACAAACGAGCACACAGTCCACCTGATGGTAAGTGATTGCTGTGGCCCATTGAAATCTACATGTATCCTCGATTACGAATCAAAATGCAGATGCGTTGTCACCAGTGATGACTGAGACGGAATGCCTCGTTTCCAGTAAAAAAAGGTCTCCGGTTCTCTACACTCACCATACTAAACACAGCAGCATTAAGCTGCTATTTGACGCTGGTATTCTGTGAGAGCGTGGTCCTTCCCCGGTCAAGCCGACCCATACGTGCTACAACTAACCTTCTAATATAACTGCAGCATGGCTCTACCACGTCTATAAAACGTTACACGGACCCGGGCAGCACGCTCTTTAAAAAACAAATATCTTAAAACACTATATATATTCATGTGCTAGCTGGTCCCGGCGCATTACTGCCGCAGAAAAAATAATTATGGAAATATAGTTTCAAATTAGAAAGACTTATATTGTTTAACTATGAATGATAATAAAGTAAACAATATAAGTTTATCATTGAAATTGAATGATATATAATTTTCAAATAAATTTTGCGCTACGATACACGCGCTTACTGTAGGTTTATTGTACTATGTGTTACCCTCGCGCAAGTGCCAGCAAAAGTTTTAGCGGAATCTGAACGTTATGGCAGTGCATAATATATTTAATATACTATAATAATTTTAGTAAAAGTATACACAGGTTTTGGCGGGAACTGGACCGCCACGCCGGCAGATTTTTGCTACTATGTTACTTTCACTACTGTGTTACTTAGTATAATTGACGGATTGAAGTGGATTTTAATATGTAAAAGTAGTGCGATTTTGTGTATTTAATAATGACATAATAAAACAAGTACTCAAGTGGTGATGTAAACAAAAGCTATTTTTTCTGCTTGGGCAATTCCATCATCATGGATTGGCATCTCACAAAAAATATCTCAATGTGACACATCGATTCTTTAATATATATTGAAGTTTTTTTTTAAAGAAAATCCTTATAAATGTATTACTTTATACTGGCAAAAGTATAGCGCCTTACGAGTCGTAAGAAAAAACGAATACCCATACGATTTTTAGCAAAAGTCCATAAAGAATAAATAAAATGGCATTGGCCTGGGGATATAACATCACCCTGTCTTACACCTCTCTGCAGTTGGATAGGTTTCGAACTCTGGTTCTGTACTCGGATAGACGCGGCTCAGAAGGGAAATCGGTCTGTAGTTCTTCAAGAGAGCGTTGTCGCCTTTCTTAAAGAAAAAGACCACCGCGCTTATGCTCCACGCATCCGGAGTAGTGCCACCATGGAGGACGGAATTGAAGAGCTTCTGAAGGACTTCAAGTACCGGTGTTCCACCCGCTTTCAGAAGCTCCGCTGTAATTCCATCCTCGTCCGGGGCCTTGCCGTTTTTAAGGTGGAGGAGAGCCATTCTAATCTCGCTCAGACTGACGCCCGGGATATCATCGGAATAGTGTCGGATAAGACTTGCTCTTGGATCGTTACTCACACTTGCGTGTGGCTCCAACGATGATGTGTACAGCTGCCCATAGAACCTCTCAATCTCACAATCTCAGGTGTCCCGGAAGCGATGTTGCCACACTCAGTCTTCAGCTTTGACAGTTGGTTCTTTCTGGCATACAGATCTCTGGCAAAGACTTTGGAGCCCTGGCTCTGCTCGATCGCTTCTTCAATACTAGTAGTATTGAAGTTGCGCAAGTCTCGCCGCATGCATGTGGAGATCTGTCTGTTCAGTTGCCTGTATGCTGTCAAATCATTTGACGATTGCAGCCTCATCTCCCGTCTAACAGCCATGAGATTAAGAGTGTGATCGGAGAGTTTTTGTGTTCTTCTGCGGCGGGTCTTGCAGAACTTAGCTCCGACCGCATGGACAGTTTCCACGAGCTTGTCATTCATATCGTCCACTGCATTGCAATCTTATAGGCACTGAAAGCGGTTACGTAACTCGAGCTGAAAGGTTTCGGGATTCTGGAATAGAGCACGAGGGGGACGGAGCGTTGACGTCATTAGACGAGACCTCTCCAACATAACGTTTAGGTTCAGTGTGCCTCTAACCATTCGGTAATCGCTGCCAGTTTTCACCTTTGCGATCACTGAGACATCACTGAACAGTTGGCGTCTGGTCGTCATAATGAAGTCGATCTCATTTTTTGTCGAACCGTCGGGGCTCGACCAGGTCCACTTCCTGTGGGGCCGCTTCTGAAAGAAAGAGTTCATCATAAAGAGTCCCTCTTTCTCCATAAAGTCGGCCAGCTGCTGGCCCCTTCGGTTCCGTTGCCCATACTCCAAATTTCCCTACCTTCAGCTTACCGCTTTCTCTGTGCCTAGTTTTGCGTTGAAGTCTCCTATCAACACCGTGTAGTGGGGTTTGGAGGAATGCATGGCTCTGGAAATATCCTCATACATTTCCTCCACCTCCTCATCGGGATGTGCCGAGGTTGGTGCGTAAACCTGTATGACCTTCAGCGAATACCGTTTGGTGATTCTTAGTATCAGGTACGCGACCCTCGTCGACACACTCCCAATCTTTACAACGTTGTTGACGAGAGACTTGTGGACGATAAATCCGACACCTCCTTGGGACAGATCGTCGCCCTCCCGGTGATAGAACAAGTTGCCGTGTAGTGGCGGTTGAGAATATCCACTACCACATATCTTCCTGTGGGTGTCGTAAGCGGCGACAGAGGGAGACAGGCAGGAGATGGGCAGCAGCATCTTTCTGATAACAACTGTGATATAATAAAAAACTGAGGCAGTTTTTTATTTTGGTTGTTGGTTTTAAATTCAACACATTTATATTGTAATAATAGAAATGTGTTGAATTTAAAACTGGTATTTTAACGTATATATCATTATCGATAGATTATGTTATGATTTCTTATATTTGCGCGAACATTGCACATGATTAAAACTACTTTTACGGATTTTATCGCGTTTAATTTTACTTTTTATTTTTATGTTGATAGATTATGTTGTTTATTATATAATGTGTCATTCAATTGTATGCCCCCCATTTCAGTCTTTATGCTATGTATGAACTCATTTGATGACCATAGCGTTTATACGTGGTAGAGCGACGCTGCAATTATATTATTGTTGTAGCATGAATCTGGGGAAGGACCGGGGAAGGATCACGCTCCCACAGAATACCGGCGCAAAATAGCAGCTTGGTACTGCTGTGTTTCGTATGGTGCGTATAGAGATTCGGAGACCCTTTTTTATTGGAAACGAAGCATTCCATCTTAGTCCTCAGGGGTGAAAACCTATTTACGTTTTGATTCTTAATCCAGGATAAATGTAGATGTTTATGGGCCACAGACTCTACTTACCACCAGGTGAACTGTGTGCTCGTTTGTCACCTTTATTCTATAAAAAAAACCATCATAATCATTACAGCTCTTTAAATCCACTGCTAACTTCAGCAAGGAATGCCACAAAACCACTTACAGTGTGAAATATTTTACTAATAACAATTTTTTCTTCCCTTTCTCTTTTAAGAGAACTCGTGTCTTCCATAGACTATTTCTTGATTCGTCTCATCGAGTTCGTTAAACATTCACCTTATGGAGCTTTTACCGATGCTGACACCGCATATATCTCTTGATTAGTACCTACTTCTTTCAATAATAGCTTGATGTATCTATGTCGATGCTCCGTGATTTGTACTGGGCAAACCCGGGGAGAGTTCTTTGCCAGAGTTTGTTCTTCCTTTTGACAACGAAGATTAATATCGTTCGCGTGTGTTTATTTCTTGGATTTATTTACGAACACTGTTTATTATTTATACTTTTGGGACTGTTGTTTTAAACTATTCCGCGAACTGTTCACGCTGCTTGGAGCAGATCACAAGTGTTTAGCGTGATCAGCCGCATCCTATCACACGGAGAAGACGGCGCTTATGAAGAAGGCGTGCCCGGTGCCTTGCATGAGAGTTTTCACAGCTATATCAATAAGGTACATAGGTAGTATTTAAGCGTCGATAGCAGCACTGGAAGGTATAGATCTCAAAAATACTGTATAAGTTTCTTTAATATAAATGTTTAAAATAATATATAATGAGGTACTAATATACCTCGACGGACTGTTAAGTCTGGTAGTCTGCCAAGTAATAATTTATATATTTAAATGTTAATATTTTAAAATGAGAGGTGGTAGCTGAGGTAAGCTGCTGTAAAATAAAGAAAGGTAAAATGAAAGTTAATTGCAATGGATGAGGAAAATGGGAGATCGAGGGGGGCAATCTAGAGGGGGGCTGTAATTTACTTTATCTCTAAAAAACGTCCTTTTTCGATATGAAAGAAATTGTTATAAAAATGTTAAAGTAAACATTAAATTGAAGCGGTATTTCAAATAACTGTTTTTGTTAATATTGTATTAAAATTACTATTTTAAATATTATGAGTTATATGTTAATGTCCATTAAAATCATAATATCTCACATAGGAAATACAATCATAAAGCGTTTAAATTATTTTTTGCCACATAAATATATTACTCTCGTTTCAACGCCCTACAGGATAACTTTGTATGGAGGTGTATGGATGTGACGGGATGGTGCGATATCACGGTATCCTCACGCCAAGGCATGGCTGGTGCTCTAACTGATGGCAGTACCGAGACCTTCTGGGAGTCCGGGGACGAAGACCGTAATAAGGCTAAGTGGATCCAAATCGCATGCCCCAGTAGCTCGCAAGAAGACCGACCGTACTTAGTGTGCTTGCATATTGACAACACCAGGGACGCTGTGGTAAGTAAAATATTAGTTAACATTTTAATATAATATGTATTTTGCATTTTTTTTATAGAAGAGGGGGCAAACGAGCATGCGGCTCACCTGATGTTAAGTGACTACCGCCGCCCATGATCAACCGCAACACCAGGGGAATTGCAGGTGCGTTGCCGGCCCTTTAGAAAGGAGTAAGCTCTTTTCTTGAAGGTCCCCAGGTCGTATCGGTCCGGAAAAATCGCCGGTGGCAAACTGCTCCACAGAGAGGTCGTACAAAACTTAACACTATAATAGCGGAAGTTTTTCTCTGTAATTTCTTCTCCGGTTAGGTGAATGTAATTTTAAAATCAAAGTTACTAACGCTGATTTTCAAAAAGACGTACTTATTACATAACGTTTATCTATATCATCATCATTATAGCCCTTCGCGAGTCCACTGCTCCTCATACGCCACAAAGCATGGCCAGCGAATGAAAGAAAGCACGGTCTTGAGCCACCTGCATCCACCGACTTCCTGCATATCTGACCAGGTCGTAATGAAGAATGATGAGAATGATCTCAAATGGAGTGACGGCTCTATTTATTGTGAAACCGGAACCGGAAACCCTATTAAACTTCGTGTATTAAAACCAACTTAATTAGAAAGAAAAAATAAGCTCTGTAATGAACTTTAAGGAAGAGCATTTATGATCTCGATTCGACATTTGCAGCCTCTGTTCATCGGTAATGAGGCCTACCATCTTAGCAATTCCTAAACTTCAACTCTTCTTCGTAACAGAAACGGAGACTTTTATTCAATATGGATTATAAATACTACTTATTATTAATTTTATCTTATGTTTAATTAACCACTAGTTAGGAAAATAAGTCTGTCCTGGGAAGAACCAGCAAAACATCCGACGGAATATTTATTGAAAAAAAGTACAATTTACGTTAATTAAAGTTACACAATAATCAGTAATACAAAACAAATTAAAAATAGCTTGGTAGCGATCATCTCGTTCCCAGTGGTTATTATCATCCATAAATTCCTTAATATTTTAATAACCATTTTTATACATTTTTTGTTTAAAGAAGTTTTTAAACTTGACGGAAGACAGTTTTTGTATATTTTTATACTAGTCTGTCTTTTACTTCACACGATATTGTTTTACCTTTAATAAGTGCTATACTTTTATTAATATTGCACCATTTCAGAGCAAGACCCTGCTAGCGTCGTTCTTATTCAGCTGCGGCTCAAATGAAATGGTCTACATGCAGGATTCTGAGATTGATCCCAAGAGTGTTACCTGGGTTTGCTACGCTCTGCCTCGTGAGTTTTTACAATATACTATAGAAATAGTAAATGAAGAACTTAACAGCTAGTTGCTGGGGGTTTCCTTTTAATGTATTATGAAACGCATTTACAGCAATCAAATGATGTAGTATGTATACCTTATGTATAAAATACCTTCATAAAAACAATATTTGAGAAGAATGTGCTTTGGTAATTTGTTTTTCTGTAAAACATACATATTGTAGTGAAAAATAACTTTCAGTAAATCCAAATGTGCATGCCTTAAGCGCTCATGTTATACGTCAATTTTCCAAAATATTTTAAATACACACAAGTTTTCACAAATAACCTTATTGCTATTACTTCTAATTTTCCGATAATTTTATGTTAAACATTAATAAAGAAAGTTTGGAAAATCCAAAAGTACACGACTCATAATGCTCACATGATGGTGAAAAATGTAAAATAAAAATTTCAATCAACAATAGAACATATTTATTTTTAATTTTTTAGAAATTTGGTTTTCGGAATATTTTGTACAGCGATCGATATTTTTCATCACGAGCCGCTGTAAACAAACGATACAGTAACCCACTTATGACGACGGCCGAGCCCGGAGTGAGTCAAAGTGTATTTAGTTAAATGTATTATTACAAGGCTGCTCAAACACCAAAAATTCCGGAATTTCTCAGCCGAAAAAATTAATTATAATTAAACAAAACAAAATTAAACAGCCATTTACATTCCATGGCTTCCCACATAATAGATGAAGAGATTAAAAAATAGATGGAGTTGAACAATTGATATTTTCAAAAGTTATCGTGTTTACCCCTCCATGCGGACTTGGATAAATCTACACCAAAAGACACTAAAACCACTTTTTTTAATGTAAAAATAGCAATTAATCGATTAAAAAAAAGTTCAAAAATCATTTATCTTTCTGACAATGTGCTTTATATTACATTTATATGTTAAATATGATTGTTAGATACGATTCCATGCGACAAAACGTTGGATTCTTGATTTTTAGGCGTCAGTAGAACATACCTACGCGCTTTGCGCTTAAGGCATACAAAAGCTTTCAATCATTTAGAGTTTCCAATTTATCTTTTTAAGATTGCATTGGTTTACAGAGTAAAACGTGTAATTAAAAATAATAATTTTGTACAGTCAGGTTAGTTGTTTGTTTAGATGTGAACCCAGTTTCCCTTCAATAGCTCCACTAACTGGCTGAAATGAAATTTTGGGAAGGAGTATTGACCAAAAATAAAACAAAATAAATTTGATAAGTGCGGGATTTCTGCACATGAGACCGACGGACAGAGACAGGATTTCAGGGTTAGATAACGGGGTTCTCTCACTGCCAATCAAGCAAACTCACAAGACTGATCAGGGGTTCTGACGGCTAAAAATGCGCTAGTGCGCATACAAGTCGTCGTCCAGCGTTGAAAGAGAATTTTAGATTTTATTTAGATTTATATAATTTGATTTGCTTTACTACAAACAGGAATTTACATCATACTCTGAAATTACTCCAAATCACGGTCACTGGAGTGCTGCATTGCAATGTTCAGAGCTGAACACCTTTTCAAAAATAGATGAGTGTCCTTGCAATAAATATAGATTTACCTGTGACTTTTTGCTACCAACTTTCGAAATTATGTTGATGTTTCTTTTTAAACTTATTACTGTGGTCTAAAAATAGTAACAATAAAAACATTAATTTCCAGGCATTGCAGGCGCAGCGATAAGGGTGCGTTGTGAATTACGCGGGCCCGAAGCAGCGGTGCGTGTTAGACAAGTGCGTGTGCTTAGTGTGCCCACACCTTATTCCACTAACTCGATGCCAACGCACGCTTTGCAGTCTCTCGTGGAGCAGGACACATTGCGTGTATTCCGCCTGCTTACTTCTCAGGTAATTGAATCTGTAGTTTATTTTTTAACAGAAATTTGTTTTTACTTGATGAACACAATGCATTGTATGTAACAGTATAATGCCTCTAACTCAAAAAGTCATGGATTCGAATCCCCCATTAGACTATTGTCGTAAACCACTCCTAGAACAAGCATTTTAAGGTTACCATGAGTAATTAAAGATAATATTAGTAATGTTTTAAAGGAATACATACTACCAAGTATGAAGTAAAACCAGCACGTAACAGAGTCATAAATAAAAGAATCTGTCCTTCCATCAAGTTATAAGATGTCTTTAACAAAAGAGTGAATAGGTCCTTGTTAAGTCAGTGCGTTTTACCAGCTACGGCTATATAAAATTACTTTTCAAGTGGGGTAGTATAGGGCTTATAATTATTACTTTTCATTATCATTACAGTTCATTACAATGACATTGCTGAATAAACTCCCCTGATATAGCTAGATTCTGGGCCAGCTGCATTCACTTGGCTTATAATTGTTCAAAAAGTTGTTTAAAATGTTCTAAATTAACTAGAGAGAGAGTTCTGAGGTTGTTAAAAAATAACGCTTCAGATAATTGACTGCCTACTTTACTTTAGCGTAATGTGGGAACATTCAGTCGGATGCCTTTTCGCTCCTGCAATCCAAATGTGTCTGTGTTTTTTGTTGTGTTATTTTTTATTTTCTAGTATACTTTGTATTATTATGACGAAATCGTGCAATTACTCATTAAATATTGAGTAGTTTTAAGAATCGTTGCAGCCTATCAAAATTCTACTGCTGAACACAGGCCACGCCTGTAAATTGCCTCATAAGGTTAACATTTACCATAGCTGCAACGCTAGGCGGGGGCGGACTAGAAACTGCAGTTTTCATTTTAGCCGTTTTAGGAAGATGCTGCTGCTATCACGAGCAATATTGGGCAGTGAATATTCTTACACCGCCCTCATGTAAAGAATAGAATAGAATAGAATAAGTCATTTTGCTAGTTGTAGGTTTAAGAGATTTATATATAGTAAACTCTAGATAAGTTACATTTATTAATGGATTTCTCTCTTCTGATAATAAAGATTTGTGTGGATTATTTATATCAGTGTTACATATAATGTTATGAATGGAATATTATTATCAAAATACTGTGTATGAATACTCTTTTTAAAATAATAGAAATATTTCATTTTTTTACAGTTAATTATGCTTCTGTATGTTACTTTCAGGTGTTTGGCAAACTGCTAGAGTGGGATCACACTGGTACTGAGTCTAATGACGGTACCGTAGCCGCGGAGGACACAATTGCAGATGACAGCGACTTACGGGAGCACGTTGTCGGCATACTCTTTGCTGGACATAAACTCACCTCACTACAGAGACAGGTGAGAGTCAGAGAGAGGGAGAGAGAGAGGTAGAGAGATAGAGATAGAGAGAGACTTGTTAGATTATCATTAATATAAATACATAAACTATAAATTTCAACTGATTGTTTTATGGCATTTTAATCTCTCTTCCATTTGAAAACGAAAACTATGTTCGCGTTCTCATATTGACAATGGTTAGTAATACTTATAGTAGCAAGTTTGCCGTGTAGTGGCGGTTGAGAAGACCCACTACCCCATATCTTCCCGTGGGTGTCGTAAAAGACAACAGAGGCAGGAAATGGGCAGCACCATCTTCCTGATAACAGCAATTATACAATAAAAACTGCGGTTGCCAACAAGCTCGCCAAGCGTGGCAACTATGGCAAACATCCCCACATGAAAAACGACAAAACAAACGGCCCCAGTCCCCGGCGGCCCCGCTATTCCTGGCTAAGGTGGCGACCATGGTAACGGCGGGGCAGGGGGTGCTAAAAATCTCCGGTGGGGGTTTGGTTGCCACCTACGACGACTTGACCTGGCAACATATAACGCGCGCACCCTGAGGACTGACGAGAAGATCCTGGAACTGGAAGAACAGATAGATTAGTTGCGCTGACATATTATAGGATTATCCGAGGTCCGAAGAGGGGGAGGACACGTTAATCCTTGAATGTGGCAACTTATTCTATCACCGGGAGGGCGACCATCTGTCCCAAGGAGGTGTTAGTTAGGTGGAGGTGCGTCCATAAGTTTCTCGTCAACAACGTTGTAGAGATTGGGATTGTGCCTACGAGGGTTGCGTACCTGGTACTCAGAATCACCAAACAGTATTCGCTAAAGGTCATACAGGTTTTATTATAGAAGAGGAGGCAAACGAGCATGTGGCTCACCTGATGGTAAGTGACCATCGCCCCCCATGAACAACCGCAACACCAGGAGAATTGCAGATGCGTTGCCGGCCTTTTAGAAAGGAGTAAGCTCTTTTCTTGAAGGTCCCCAAGTCGTATCGGTCCGGAAAAGTCGCCAGTGGTAAACAATTCCACAGAGAAGATGTACGAGGAAGAAAACTCCTAGTAAAACGTACAGTACGTAACATGGCTCTACTATTGTTATACATTAAATGCTCTTATGGTTCTCTTCTGTAAAACAAAGATAGTTTCAATTTCAGTCGCATTGCCCCATAGCAAGATTCCATATGACATTATGCTATGGAAATAACTAAAATAAACTAATCTAGCTGTTTCAACACATGTAAGGGTCTCTAATCTTTTTTACAGCATATTATGCTGCAGGACTAAGTTTGCTAGCTAGCTTATATATATGAGGGCACCATCGTTGCTTTGCGTCAAATGTAATTCCGCGAAAAACAGTGAATTTAATAAGGTTCAGTTCCTCCCCATTTAAAATCACATAAGTATTCACCTGTTTTACATTAGGTGTTTTAAATGTAGTAACATTTTGTGTTATTATCGTTTAAAAGAAAATTATTGTCGTTAAATCAGTGTTCTACTTTTTATATAGCATTATTCACTTTGTCATATTTTTAATAGTTGCCTTTTAAGTCGAAAAATCAAGGAAGTATCATCATAAGCAAATAATACTGTCATGATTATTCCCTACCAAGTAAGGTAAGTCATTAATAAAAACTAAGAGCAGGAAGTGATCAAGAATTGAGCCCTGCGGAACACCAATAGATATTATCGATTTAGAAGAACTATTCCCATTTTTCACAACTGTTTGCGTTCTTTGATTTAAATACGATATAATAGGTAGAAGCGCTACGTTTTTTACACCATAATGATGTGGCTTCCTGATTAATATATCATGGTGAACGCAGTCGAAAGTCTTGGAAAGAACAAAAAATGTACCCAAAGTATACTCAAAATTTTCACATGTACAGAAAATATGTGTTTAATCAGCTTAACACCGTCGTCAGTTGTCGATCGATCCCTTATTGTGTGAGTTGTGTTCGTTATCTCGTGGATTTTCTAAAAGTTGAATGTGGCAGAGTCCAGGAACACTTCATTGCTGTCGGTAGTTAGCAGTTCAACTATCTCAAATAATCTAACTAGTTAAATTGATGACTGAGCGCAGCATTAAAGGTGTCAAAAGGAACTGCGGCTGTTAATCTGCGTGCTGAGACTGACGATTAAGACCGATTTACACTTCGACAAGTACAGTAGCGAGTTTAGTTACAGGGCACTTGACAGTAAACGGTTAAGTGGGCAGTAGCGTTCAAACAATGTCTTCGTGGCGAGTTTAGTTGGGACATTAGTTTATAGAGTTCGTCGGAGTATGACGTTTCAAGACTACAGAATTTTTCTGGTTTTCGTTCAAGAATTAAATGATCCAGTCGGAGAAGCATTAATGGTTGTTTTTAAAGAAGTTTTTAAGAATTTTCATGAGTGCAGCATCTCGAGCAGATTTAATTTTACAATTTGAACTTCTACTATTACATAAACATTCGTTATATTAATACTCCTGTACAAATTTATGCGTGATATCTTCCGTTCGTTTTATTATTAAAACTCAATATAAAACGTATAAATATTCAATAAACAGTATCTTACAAACTTTGTGGCGAGTTTAATTATAAACGTACAATTGTACGTTTTCGTGCGCATACGTTGCACGTCAACTGTCAACTTATGTACTGAACTAAACTCGCTCGTTTACACGAACGGCGAGTTTAGTTGCGAGTGGCGGGAGACGCGCGGGAGGGCAGCACTTCGCACTTAACTCGCCGAAAAATAGCTCGGCCGGCTATCCCGTTCAACTTAATCGTTAACTCTACTCGCTTTTTGCCGTTCGAACGAGGTTCAAACTTAACTCTCCAGGTTCGCAAGTTAATTCGCTACTGTACTTGTCGAAGTGTAAATCGGTCTTTATGGATATTCTTACATCCGGGGTGAGTGCGATAGAAATCTACATTATATACAATGGCACGAATTCTAGTTGTATGTAGTAATAAAATACAATATCACAAGTTGAAACCAGGGCTAGATTACTGTTAAGGTATGTGGTTACCGGTATAAATTAGCTATTTTGAAAGGTAGTCCGAAAATGAATTAAATTCACCGATACACCACTGGTATAAAATAACAGTAGCGCTATTTTTGAGGGTTTGATTATAATACATTTTTGTATATTGTTTACACCGACGAACCGAAACTATACTATAATATAAAGTATTTACCTGAAACTTTACGCGATAGTTTAAAATGACTATCAAGTACTATATTAATCATATATTATCAACAGAGTTTCTAACGCAATTTCAATTGCAGGTGATGACACACATCGTGTGCGCGATCCGTTGCGAAGCTATACGCGTACGCGATGACTGGGAAACGGCACTTTTATGCGCGGACGTGGCCGAGAAAACTGAACGGTCTGAGCAAACAGAGCGAACTGAGCAACCTGAGCACGCTGAGCAGGTTGAGCAGATTGAGCGGGCTGAAGAACCGCCACTTTCCCCTCCACCGCAGGATAACTACTGTTTTGAGATGCTTTCACTGGTATGTACACGTCTCCCTAATATATTAATCAGAGAGTCTGTGCTAACCGCTTAATCAGTTTAATTAGGTGAGAAAAAATGAAATTGTAATAGAAATAGAAACTTTCTTCATTAAAATTGTTTCTTCGTTGAAATTGTAATAGAAATAGAAACTTTCTTCATTAAAATTGTTTCTTCATTGAAATTGTAATAGAAATAGAAACTTTTTTCATTTAATATAGATAATAAATAATATTACCAGTCGGAATTATAAATAATCGCTCGGATAGGTTCGGAAAATAACTCGGTCCTGTGAAAAACCAGCAAAGAACTTAAATGGTATAAAAATATTATGTAGTAAAAACTTAATGTAACAAAAATCTTATTCACAATATTTGTTTCATAAAGTTACTGTACTAATTGAGTTTTTAAACTGATTATGATTTTCTCTACTCTGAAAACTGTACCTATTGTAAAGGTCTAAGTGTTGTTGCTCTTTTTACATGGGAACATCCTCGTACATACCATGGGGTTATGGAAGGTGTATGCTGGACGCCTAACGGTTCAAACCCCACGGTGTTTGTTCCTTTGCCATTTATGGTGGCTACCAGAATGGCTCCAGACATAACCACAGCCCCGACTACAACAGCTCACATTGTGGTCTTTTAGAGGATGGTGGAATTGGAGCTCTCTAATGGTTAAAGTGAACAATGGTCACATTTTCGCCATACATTCCGTATGTAAATCTTCGGAAGCGCCCACCGCCCTTTATCCAACCTTATATTATGGGAAGTAGAGGAAGATTTAATAATACCTCTTCCGACGCCCGATTACCGACAGTGTCGTTGGTTTAATGAAAATATATTAAATTGTTATAAATAAGGGCTAAGAATATTCACTACCCCATATCATCCCCTGGGCATCGTAAGAGGCGATAGACGGAAACAAACCAGGAGATGGACAGCACTGTCTTCTTAATAACATCGAAATATGAAAACTCTGGTTGCCAATCCGCATGCCAAGCGTGACAGCAAATATACCTCTTATGAGACTGTGGCGGCGCTGTCGTCGCGCCACAAGTGAAATACACCGAAGCCTAAATCACGCTATCAACATTCCGAATCATAAAACAGTATATATAGAACATCTCCGAACTATCATACGGAGCGTTGGCCGCTCCCCGGGCACAACACCTTGCCCGGCGGGAGATCTCCCCTTTTCCTTCCACGGCCACAATGGTGACCCCCACGTGATCTGAACACGAACCTTCGGAAACTTCAAGCTTCATCATCGTCATAAAATACCCCACCCATTCGCTCCCGAGGAGATATCGTCTGCAATCTTTATATCCTGCAAGCCAGCTAGCTTCACAAGGTTCATATCAGCACTGGAATAATAATGCTTCCTGTTCCTTCAAGCTACTCTCTGCGCCATACAGTGTTCGGCACGGCTCTGAGCCTCACTGCTCGCCTCTGCTTCACGGCACTCTCGCAGATTACTTGCCTTCTTCTCAACTCACCGCAGACTACAAGGCAATTTCCTGGCACATTCGTCGACAACGAGACTGCACTATCAACCTCCGGTCTGAGCAAGGGGGTGATGTGGCGGCGCTGTCGTCGCGCTACAAGTGAAATACAGCGAAGCCTAAATCACGCTATCAACATTCCGAATCATAAAACAGTATATATAGAACATCTCCGAACTATCATACGGAGCGTTGGCCGCTCCCCGGGCATAACACCTTGCCCGGCGGGAGATCTCCCCTTTTCCTTCCAAGGCCACAAGAAAATCTATGAGGAGGGCCTATGTTTCATTGGACCTATAATAGGCTGTAACATAATCCAGCTTGGATTAGTCATACAAGGAGTAATTTAATTGGTGTTGTAGTTATGACTGTTTGGTATTTCTTTTAGAATAAGTAAAGAAGGTTATATCGTGGATAGGCTGCCCTTTGTCTAATCGTGATGGCAATGTTGCTCTATGGTTTGCATGCTTCATCTTTTTTTAATGTAATCTTATATTCTCTTCCATATGTTCTATGATTATGTTATAATATAAAGTTGTTAGATATCGTCTAATTGAAAAGTACACGTGCCTCCTTTGTATGTAGTTGTACTTTATATTTAGTTATGCCAAATGCAAAAATCGAATAAAACACAATAGAACAGGCACGTAGATTTAAATCATATGATACTTATAGCGATTATGACAAAATCTACCATAATACAAAGGAGTTGTGTGCAGTTTAGAACAACACGATTTAGATCTTTACTGAAAAAAATTATTTAAATAATTTTGAGAGTATTTTTTAAGAATATTTAAGTAATTTTGCCCTTTGCGGTTAACAGTTACTGGCTCTAAGCGGGAGCGCGGTTGGACGAGCGCATCTTGCTCAGAGCATCGAACTGCTCACCAATTTGCTTTCTCTGCTTCATACTGGAAGTGAACGTGTCCAAAGACAGGTTTGTTTTTAACTGACCATACTTTTTCGTTCTGTTTTATAAATTATGGTTTGGTCATAATTTTATTACTATTAGTATTGTATGAATTCATATGTACTCCTGCGAAATAATGGTCACGCCGAATAAAATATTGAAAAAAAAAAGATTTTAAGATTTATATATTTGTACATTGCCCAATGCCCGTACTAATGAAATAAAAAAACGTCGTATAATGGTGACTTAAGAAATTCCACTACCCTTTATCATCTCACTGGTGTCGTAAGAAGATATGCAGCTACGTCATCCTGATCACATCTTATAATAATAAACTGCAGTTGCCAACTCAACGGCTAAGCCTGGCAACTATGGCAAATATACCAATACTTATATAAAGCTAGCTATAGCTGAAAAGAATTAATGAAAAAATAATTGTACTAGTTTTAAGCATAAGATGATTTTCGTTACAGGTGATATCACTGTTACGTCGTATGATAACCGAAATCTCACCGCAGAGAGTTTCGATGGCCATTAACCTTGGAGTCGATTTGGAAGCTAGGTACGTCAAGAATATTCGATTTCATTATAAATTTGAGTACAAAATATTAATTTATTAAATACAAAATGCGCTTACATTTAGATAGCAAAATACCTATACGAGTATTAATCAATTTGAATTTCTAATAAAAAGTTGTTCAAATACTAAACTAAATTTTCAATTAATTTTAAGTACTTACACATACTAGTTGATGGATACACGTAATTAATGCCCATGCGGTGAGGCTTTCCTTGGCTTATATTCAGCAGCGGACTTGTGAAGGGCTATATTAATGAATGATGATGATGGTGAAGTAAATTAGAAAAATAAATCGATTTTATTCTTTTACGATATTTGCTTTTTGTCAGCTCATACAAATTAGGCGGTATAACTTTGTACTAACGTTTACAAAGTTTATCTTATACAAAGAAATACTTTTTATTTATAAGGTTACGTCAACTTGGGGTATGTCGAGGAATGTAAAATCGATCGTTTATTTGCCCGTACTCGTATGTACACAATGATAAAAAATACATCCAGGGGCGTTAAGTACATACAAACGTATTCTTCTGTTTATTCCTGGATAATGATACTAGAGAAAATATTTTCTTACAATACTATCTATATCTACCGCTGCTATGTATAAAAATATTATTTAAACCTTTTAATATGACTATAACTGTTCAGTATTATCATGGTTATTAGACATACAGAAAATAACTGCGAACATATAAACAAAAGTAAAGTATATGGGCATAGCCACAATTCTTTTTTTTTCTCTTTATTTGGATCACCAACAGATGATACACAATACTAACAGAAATATAATTCAACACGGCATCTATATGCTACGTGTTCATCTTCTTACAGGTAACCACAACTTACATAAAAAGCGAAGTGATTTTTTTAAAGATAGGGAAACAGTAATAATAATAATATGCTAATAAGTATACATAAATAAACATATTTGCTATAGCTACAGTTTGTGGATTTAACGCTTAGAGCCTATGTAATATTAATAATAATAATAATACGGACGTGGCTCACTAGGTGACCGACATGTGGGGTGGTCTGCCGACAGAAATTATGACCTGTAGTCGTCTCTGCAAATGGGCTAATCTCAGTTAGCCTCTCTGGTCATCTGAGGTGGCTGGGACTCCGTGACGGACCACTCCGGGCTCAAATGCAGAAGGCGGTGCTTCTCGATACCGCCCGCATCGTCCGCCGGTTTCTCTCCCTTTCCCCCTAACCCTCGGCCGTTTGGTCTCCTCTGCCGAGGGCTTCCATCTGGTTGGGCTATTATTTATTTATCTATTTTTGTATTTATTTTATCATAATAAATCTACTATTTTTATTGCATATTTCCAAATATTTTCTTTTATTCTTCTTGGTGGAGCGACGAGCCTAAGGTTACCGAAGTCTAATTCCGCGGTCGAACCTTAAACCTATTACGCGAGATATTAACCAAAGTGGACTGTATATGCGAAATGCTTCTACGTTTACATAAAATGGCGACTATAGCACGCGGTTTCCCATACAATGCACTCGCTCTTCCCTAAAACGAACTATTATTTGCCAAATCTATGAAAGGAATCCTGCTTGATTAGGAGAAAATAAATTGGAGCGGACACAATTATATCAAGCAGTAACTAGTAAGGAATATTCACTCACCGGGGTGTTGCTTCTTTGTGGCTTGGGCACTAAGTTGCTGCAACTTCTGTAAGACACTCTGGGAACTTTGGGGCCCCAGCTTTTCTTGTCCGGTGATGTGTCGGGAGAGAGGCGGTGTGGTTCCAACGATGAGCGCGGCGAGAAGAGCGTGCGCGTTGGCCGCGCGTGCCTTTTTATTCCTTCGGTTGCGATGATCGCGTAATATTCTAAAGAATCATCTTCTTTCCCCTCCCACCCCACCACCCCGATGTGTCGATAGGAGGGTATGAATGATATCGTTTGGAAAGGGATTCGTTGGCAAGCCTACTTTTAAAAATAAATCAATGGTTTTCCGCGCAACCACTTCTTTTATTGTTATTGGAAACAAGTTAAGTTAAAAATTGTCTAGTTTTTAAATTAATTTTTCAGTGGTTTCTTTTATTTTGCTTATGCTATTTATTTTGCTTAACTTGGCCGTTCGGGCATAGTTCGTCAGGAATAAGTCGTTGAAAATCTTTCTCCTCCTTCTTCAACTTTCTTGCAGTCCAGATATAATTTTAACTAATATTATTATAAAGAGCCTGTGATTTTACAATCCTAAATACTAGCAGAGATGGATTAAGTGTCCATTGTGCAGCACCTCATCAGCGCGGCGCCCCACTGGCGGTCATAGTATATCTATAAATTATAACTACTTAAACTAAATATATTATAAATTAAAGATAACTTATTGGCAAACTGATTGGGTAGGCCAAGATACGTATACACCCTTAGCATGTGTGTGAATGAAAAATGTGATAAAAGAGGGAGGGCTATGTAGGTGTAGTGAAGTAGACGAGGCGCGCTTCGGAAGCTTTACATCTCTGTATAGTGTATCAGTTTTTTTCGTGTAATTAAATAGGTAGGTAGGTACTTATTTAATTTTGTTTTTGTTTAAAATCTTCCGATCGCGCTCTATGTAACTTCATGCCAACCCTAAGCACGTGCCTAGTTTACCTTAATGATAATTCGCCACTGAATACTACGGTACTGTTTCGATATACCTTTTCCCATAACTAAGGGGAGTAAAGGTGCTTATAATATACGCATTACTTAGTACCTGCAACATATTATTCAATGTTAAATCAACATAATTAATTTCAAAGTTAATAAAATGGGCAAAATGTGCCATTTTCGTTTCTGTCTATTTTATTACTCAAATTTTAGTAGTTTTGTATATAATTATAATAAGCACAAGTACAAAACGCTAGCATTAATCATATATTTCGGCTGCAAATAATTAATAATAGAAATATAAGCAGAAACCTTTTTGTTCAATATAGATTATAAATAATACTTATTGAAAGCCACTCCTTTGTTTATTTACCACTGGTTCAGGAAAAAACCTCTGTCATAGGAAGAACTAAAAAGAAACCCAACGGGATTTAAAAAAAATAACAGCGTAATTATGTCGATTACACAATTAACAACACCAAACAAATTACAAATAACTTGGTAGCGATCATCTCATTCCCAGTGCTTATTATCATTAATAAATTCCTTAATTTCATTCCCTTTTTATACAAACTGAGTGTAATAAAGTTTTTGAACTTCGGATTGGTCAATTTGTTGTATTTTCTGGGATTTTGTTGTAAAAGTGTATACATATACATCGCCCCAAGAATGAATTAATGACTCGGTAGCTTGTGTCTGTTCCTAGTATTTACAGAAAGAATATCACTTATTTTTGTGAAACTGATCTTATTTTTGTGTACTTACATACATTTTCATAATTGTACTGAGAGGCCAAAGTTAATATATTATTTTCCTGAATTTTTTCTCTGAGTCACTCAGAGGTTTAGGTTTTAAATCATAGGTTACTCTTACGGCCCTCTTCTGCAAAGTTTCGTGTCAGTCGCGTGTACCTATAGCCTAGTCTGGCTGTTTTAATACTGGTATTTCTTTCTTTAGCAATTGATCTTGCATACTCATTAAGAGGGTCAATAATCAGATGGATAATTGAAATATTACGTTGCTGCAATCACTAGTTTCATCTGTCAAAAAGCGAATAACCTGGTGGCCAAATTATAAATTAAAGAAATTTCACTCTTTATCTTTTCAGGGTGTCTTTTCTAGACCATATTGTGTGCTACTTGGCCAAAGCTATAACAGTGCAAGTGAAGGTTAAGGGCTCTGGTGCCCCGGCACCCGGCATGGTGACGATGGGCACCAGTTTAATCCCAGTTACGCCAGCTACTTGGTTCATGAGGGGCAGCACCACAAAGAAACACGCGCATCTAGTCTCTAAACTGCTTCTAGATATGGCTGAGGTGAGTTGTTTTCAGGTAAAATTTTTTAATCATAATAAATAAATATTAATTATCTTATAATTTTGGTTAGTGATTGCGTGCTTTGAAGTAACTATTATTAAATGTATTGAACAATCTATGTGACAGGCTTACTGAGAAGTAAAATTTATTAATATGAATTTCGTTTTAATTATGAATGAATTTAAAATTTAAATGGGAAAAAATTATGTAATAGTTAACAAAAATACGTGTGGCACTCGGTGAATGCCGCGGTAAAGCTATTGCATAGCATTTTTTTATCAACTTATGCAATTATGATTATTTATTTATTTTATTTATTAAGTTAAGTCTTTGATATTAAATCAAGTTACACTTTTAGAGCGTGGTGACCGATAAGAAAACAATTTTTTTCTCTTATTGAATAAATGAGAAGTTAATATTGTTTAAAATATTTTTAATATCTTACAATACATGTAGGTTATTCAGGAATTTTTATCATTGAGTTAGCAGCTAGTGTATACGCACACAAACACCGTGCCGAAGTCTGCCGAGTGCCGAAGTCTGCCGAACTAAAACGACGTTAGACGATGCACGGCTTTCAACGCCACACCTCCGTGCCCGTCGGAGTGGGGAGCGTAAGGTTTTTTTCGTTACGGAATTTCTGGATTCGGTCCCCGCGCTCAAGGATAGAAGCTATGCAATAGCTTAAACAATTTTAATAGTTATTTAGCTCAGGGTTCAATCTACTATTAACCACTGCAGATTATATACAACATAACGCCACACTTTGTTGCATTTCATAATACATATATTATATAACTATTCTCTAGTAAGAAGATGTTTGTGGTGGTCTAGTTTCTGCTTGTCGGTTATTGAATGAAGGTTTTTGGTTAAAAAAAGTTTCATTGCTCGATAACACTTTAAAATTGTTCTATGACAACCTTAGATCTACAAAGAAAGACAAATAGTTACGTGCATTTTAAGTAATGTTGAAATCATGTTCAACTTCTTTACACGCACTCACGCATACATCTTTCTATTTTTTTTATATCAAGAGCTTGCAAATGTTCGTTGTCGGACGCACACATGTACTTTGGTGTACATGTGTGTAGTGTGTACCCATGTAGTTAATTGGAAATTATTTTAGATGCTTAGGTGTATTTTGTGTTTGGCTTGATTATTGTGTTAGGCAGAAGCGGGGATACAGGATTTTTGGGCTTCAGACCAGGGCTCCGTCGATATAAAGGGCCCCTAGCCCCCAGTGAAAACAATATCTGTCAGAGCTTCAAAAATAATTACGATGATATTATGAAAATTTTATAAGTTTTAGTGGAAGTGAGGATGGTAGAGTTAATTTTCGAAAAAAGGCACGAAATTTATTTAATAAAGTGGCTAAACGCGATTTTATTTTCTTGGAAGAAATTTTAAAGAGGATATTTGTAAAGGCAACAAGTTAATTATGTCAATAGAAGAGTTCGTGAGTACCACACGACACCAATCGGAACAAAAATTAAAGATATACAAGGAGAAAGCTAAATACTTAAATACTGGAGACAACATTAATTAAACGGATCTGGAAAGTGTACCTACGTAAAATTATTGATTATTATTATCCAGATGACGTAGACGAACATTTAGTGAATGAGTGAATTCGGTTACAATCTACAAAGTCTAAGATAGAGTCTTACACCTCTTGCAGTGAAATGTTAATCTTAATGCCGTATAGATTTTTTAACGTTGTCAAGCCTAGTGCTTTGAAGCTGAGCGCTCTTTCTCTCGGATGTCGTATAAAGAAAACAAATATAGGTGAACAATGTTGAACAATCAATTAAATAATTTATCAGTTCTTTCTATATATTGTGATTTAACAAAGGACTGACAGTGTGGTGAGCAAAAAAAGTAATTGCAGTGCAAAAATCTAGGAATTTTTTTATAATTTATTTATCATAGTAACTACTTATACATAAATAACCTTTTAATTTCTTATGAAATAATATCTTACAGTTGCGGTTAGTGTATCTAAGTCATAATTTTCTTCCAGACCGTATACATCATAATAGAAAACAGTTTTTTGACTTGATTAGTTTGATTAATTTAGTAGGCCCCCAAATAATATTAGCCCAGGGTCTCATAAATTCACAGCCTGGCCTTGGTGTTAGATAATTGAAATATACACAGTGCTCCGTATTTCTTTGTTCGTTGGTCATAGATTACAAAATAAGACTTGTGAGTGTAAATTTGCAGGACAAAGTGTCGATGTCGTGGGGGGAGGAGACTCGCAAAGCGTTGGCCACGTACGCGTCGCAAGTGGCGCAGGTGAGCGAGGCGGAGCGGCGGCCCGACCGCTGCATCGCCTCACCCACCATGTGGCTGGCCCTGGCCGCGCTCTGTGTTTGCGAACAATCCTACATCGATCTGTGAGTTACCTACTTTATAATTCACTACCGAGATTTCAGTGCAGTGTTCGCTCTTATAAAAAAATAGTTTTCTCACTTACCTAGATAAACTTGGAAAGTAAAGCATATCTAATTACAAAAGGAGAAGTATGAAAACGGGTGCTTGACATCGTTCGGAACAGTTATACAATAATATGTAGATAATAAAACGATAAATTATACGCATAATTAAATGGTCTTCATTTATGTAGTACTTGGAAAAATCATAAAATCATTTTTTTAAACAGAAAAACGAAAGCTAATGTTTTTACTATAGCAGAAACAAAACGTTAATGGGTGCGTTTAGCAGAAAAAAGCGCTAGCGCTAGATAGCTTGTAAGCAAAATTGCGGAACTAAACAGTTTTCGGCCAGGAGACGTTTGCTAACCAGTTAGCGCTGACACAATCCGCCATTTTGCCTATTTACTTTGTTTATTTTGAAATAGAGTTTATAAGTTGTTTTGTGCAATATTAGTTTCAAGTAATATAATGACATGAAATAAAAATGCGTGATTGGTAAGTTTTTAATATCAATACTTTACAAACATATTGAAATTAGGTTAGGTTCCCCGATTAAAGCTAACTTCGTGTCCTGGAGTAAAATAGCTACTTAAGATTTGACAGCGCTTACTGCTTACGATCGCCATTTTGCTTACAAGCGCTTCCTAGCGCTTTTTTCTGCCAAACGCTTCCAATATATATGTTCTGTATTTCGTCTATGGCAACAAATAATGACGGTTTTTTAATTAAGGTTTTGGGCTTGGATGCTTGGTATTTAAGCCATGTCTTCATTTCATTCGGAATCTTCGTATTTATAGATTTTTTCTTCACAATATGCTGATGTATCACATTGCGAAGTTTTGTAAAATTTTAACGACAGCTTAACCCAGTGGATAGTCGATGACGATAGTTACTCAAATTCTCTAGTCTGGTCGTCAAAATGAAGTCACTCTCATTTTGTGTCGAACCGTCGAGGCTCGTCGAGGGGCCTTCCTGTGGGGCCGCTTCTGGAGAGGAAAGGAAAGAGTTCATAAAGAGTCCCGCTGCTGGACTCCTGGGTTCCGTTACTTTGTTCCAAATTTTCATACTTTCAGTTCACCGTTCTCCCTTTGCCTTAGTTTTGCGTTGAACTCTCCCATTAGCACCGTATAGTGGGTTTTGGAGGAATGCATGGCGTCAGAGATATCCTGCTACATTTCCTAAATCTTTTCATCGGGTTCTTCTCATTTCGAGGTTGGTGCGTAAACATGTATTACCTTCAACGAAAACCGTTCGATGATTCAGAGTATAAGGTACGCAACCTTTGTCGACACACTCAAAATCTTTACGTTGTAGTTAATTAGATGCTTATGGACGATATATGCGATCTTCCCGGTGATAGAGCAAGATGCTGGTTGCGAGAATTACCGTGTCACCTCCCCTTCTTTTCGGACCTCAGATAATTCTATTACATCCTAGCGCAACTTATCTATCTCTTCTTCTACCTTCAGGATCTTCTCGTCAGTCGTCACGGTGCGTGTTTTATATGTTGTTAAGTCGAGAGTACTAAAGAACAGAATATAAATACTAAAATAAGTTGTTCACATTGCATGATTTGCTTTGATTCACTCGTGCCAGTGTGAATCTTACAATGTGTTCCGAAACCTCTGTTAAAAACCTCCATTATACATGGAGAATTTCAGTAACTTTTTTTAAATGAAATAATAATAGAAATAGATGGAAAATGATTTAAAAAGTAAGGTATTATGTTTACGGCCATATATTTACTGTGTTACGATAATTTTCTTAGAGAAACCGCACACTGTAGACTTTCTGCAAGTTGTTGGTTCTGCTTTTTTGTGATTTTGTCACAGTTTTTAGTAGCTGGTATAAAACTTTATACCGCTTAGTATACAATATGCAACCTAATTAACGCAAACCCTCAGACATCCCAATTAGTATATTATGTTATAATCATAATACATACACTGAATTATTAGTTAAACATTTTTATGCACTGATTATTTATCAAATTAGTTATACTAATTACGGAAGAATGTTGTGGTCACAGTACAAATCCACGAACGCAAAGACTTTAACGTGCTTGAAATAATTTTTCTTTATTTTTATTGAATGACAGAATTAGTAATAATTCAAATAAAACTGCACTCTTGAAAGTCTTATTGCCTTAAGTTACGGCCCATTTCAGTTTGTTTTGACTGTACAGATTTAGTGTGATTGTAATTTATGTAGTTTTAAGGGATAAAAAATTACCTTTATTAAAAAATGATATGAATCGATTCAGTAAACGATTCTGAACAAACTACTTTCTCAAAGTACGTTAATTATATTACATGTTGTATATTTAAAAAAAAACCGAATTGTATATTTAAGCAATTAATGGATATTTGGTATCGAACACTCCGCTGCGCAACTAGTGTCGTACTATAAAAGGGAAACCCTGCCTGCAACGAAAGAGACTGACCAGCAGTGTAGTATCGTGGCTGATGAAGAGAAAGAATATATCATAATGGGTATTTATTTTCAGTTTGCAGAGCGCGTCCGCCAGCGAGGCGCGCATTGAGGCGGAGTCGCGGCCGCTGTGCGTGAACCACGACGACGGCAGTACGGCGGCTGTGGTGGAGTGCCACGCGTGCGGCGCGCTGTGCGCCGAGTGCGACCGCTTCCTGCACCTCAACCGCGCCGCCAGGACACACCACCGCCAGGTCACCGCCATCACCGTTACCGTTATATAGGCCTACCCCATACATTGCCTCATAAGGGGGATATTCGCTACAACGGGTTGGCAACCGCGGTTTTTATCTTAGTCTTAGTCATCTCCTGATATTGTTTCTCTCTGCCACCTCTTATGACATGCACGGATGATATGTGACAGTGACAGTGGGTATTCTTACAACGCCTATAGACAGTACAGCACAGCGCAATACAATTGAATACTTTTAATATTTATTTTGTATATATATATATATATATATATATATATATATATATATATATATATATATAGTTAACAAAAGATTAGATATAGATATAGATTAAACAAAATATAACCAATATAGTTTAAGATAGTATGTTTTTACACTTTTTTAACATAACAAGAGATTTACCTCTTACCAATGCTTGCCGATGTCGAGGTACTTGTTGCATTAAGATCTTCATACATTACTCTGTTTAGATATAAAACAAAATTGTTCGTACTGGCTCTTTTTTTTTGATACGGATCCAAAATACATCGCGAGATAAGATCAACTTTTTCAAAAGCTTTTTGAAAATGAAAAAACATGGATGAAATGAGATTATGTTAAACAGTTCTCTAGTCCTAATTTACAAATGGTCAAAAAAAATAGTCTTAAACTTTATATCTATTGTGGTGTGATGTGTTTAATACTTCTGAACGTGTGTTTGTCACTAAACTCCTAAACGGCTGGACTGATTTAAAAATTTTTGTGCATATTTTATGTCTAAATAAACAAACGCTACTCAATTTTAAGGTATCGTTAAGTTTTGTGGTGTCACCGTCACATTGATGTAAAGTGGTAGAGACAGCACGAGATCAAACGGCATCTTAAAATTAAGTAGCATGAGCGGCATGAGAGGTCCTTGAACGATTTAGATTTACAATTGTACCCGGTAGATGACACTGTTGTCAAGATCCAGGTATAACCGGTGCAAAGCCGGGGCGGGTCAATACTGTAAATTACAATTAAACGCGTAATGGCGATGTTAAGCTGTGCACTACCCAATTAATCCCGTGGGTACGATAAAAGACAATAGATGGAAACAAACCAGGAGCTAGGCAAGAGTCTTCTTAGTAAAAACAATAGGTAAACAACCGTGGCTACCAGCCGGTGTGGCAACTATGAGATCTATCTACGTTGAACAGATAATATTATAACGATAAAGGCATAGATTACCTCACTGCGATCGAGACGCCTTTAGCCATCAGAACCTCTGACCAGTCTTGTGAGTCTGCTTGACTGGCAGTGAAAAAACCCCATCACCTTACCTTACAAAGTTTCATACGCGGTAGAACCATGTTGTAGTTATATCAGTAGTATAGTTGTAGCACGAATGGGTCGGTTCGACCGGGGAAGGACCACGCTCTCACAGAATACAACCAGACCAACAGAATATAGAATAGTAGCTTAATACTGCTGTGTTTCGTATGGTGAGTGTAGAGAACCGTAGACCCTTTTTACTGGAAACGAGGCATTCCATTTTAGTTCTCACGTGTAACAACTCATCTGCATTTTGATTCGTAATCGAGGATAGATGTAGATGTCTATGGGCCGCAGCAACCACTTACCATCAGGTGGATTGTGTACTCGTTTGTTACCCTATCATATAAAAAAACCTAACCTTGACATCTGTTCGTCAGTCACCTTAGATCACACGGTGCAGACATCCCGTACTTATCTAGTTTATGTATATGCATTTATGTGGTAAGGCTAGGGTATTAGGGGCTGCTAGGGAATTCTAGGTGTAGGGAATTCGACTAGGGTCTGTAGCGTCTGATACTCCTTCCTATCATATTCATCTGCAGCCAGATAGTTGACCTATCGAAGGCTAATTCTATCAATATTTAAACATAAAGCTACACTATACAAATACCATCTACAATGATAGTTTTGGGTTTAAGCTATAATTTAAGAAGAGTCTTTCTTACTAAAGAAATACACTATCCGCGGTGTTATATTCGTCGCGAACCTTGATGTTTGCTATTCAACTTCACACATTTTGTTTCTTCATAATTTACATGGAACTACTTTTATTTAAACTTACTCTAATTTAAACCTTTTACTACTTTCTGCAGTAAAACTGATAAAATCTTGTCCTCTCTTTATCTTTATTTATATAAAAATTACATATCACATTGTTTATCCGCGATGAACCAACTGATTTTAATGAACTTAATCTTCCAACTTGAATAGGTTTTATCCTGATAAATGAACTGCAATATTTTTTATTGCGAATCTAAGGATTTTCTGGGACAAAGGATTGTTGGAAAAGGCAGAACAAAATCTGCCTGACCAACTAATATGACTAATCTCACAGTTACATCATGTGCATCAATTTATTTAGTAAAATTCCCGGTTCGATCAAAACACTATTTTTTTTTAAATTAAGCTTTATTAAAAATGATTACTATATATACTTATCCAAGTTGTTTTTCAAGCAAATATTGGCTCCAGCCCTATTCTAGTCGGATAAATCGTAGATTCATCCAGTTTTCTATGTATTTATTTTGAATCTAATAGGTAATACAGGATTGACACATATACACTGACTAACTGACATTATTCACATAAATTAATCTAAGATACTTTACTTAAATTAATTTAAATGTACCACCATCAGGTCACATCAATAGCAAGTGTATAATTTAAATTAAGTGTCTGATGCACCGGGCGGTCTGAAAACTTAAACTATTGTTTAATGAACTTAACCGGGTGGAAATTTTTAGCCATTATTGATTAATTCGGAGAAAAATATGAAAATTCAACTGATTTGAATTTAAAACCCTATACCATATTTGCTACGCCTTGTCGTCTCAAATAACTGATTATTAATTTCATATTTATTTATTGATATATGCCTTTAATCCCATTAATTATACTAATACACAAACGATAAAATCAAACTTAAACATTAACATCAATAACTGTAACTTAGTTTATTCCCAATGTTAATATAAAAATTATGTTAATTATTATTAATAAAACTTCAATTACAGATATGTAAAGAGGAGGAGAGCGCAGTGCGAATCGATATTCACGAGGGTTGCGGCCGCGCGAAATTATTCTGGCTACTTTTGCTGGTTGACCGGCGAACTCTCAAGGGCTTGGCGGAGTTCAGAAGTTTGGATACGGCTTGCGACGGTCCAAGCTATTCGGGGGGTGAAGGTCCGTCGACTGGATTCGCTGGGCTGGCAGGAACGTGTCGATTCTGTGGCACTCGCAGTTCTTCTGGTCTTCTCGCTATTGGGAATGTGTGCGCCGACGAGCAATGCCAAGTAAGTTAAAATCAATCATACCAGTTAATTTGCCATACGGTGACGGCATAAGTGTAGTATTTCTTATTTCCTAATATGTGGCTGTGGCGATAGAGCATTTTCGAAGGTAAAATATACGCCTGGCAAACGGATCAATGACCGTTGGGAGAGTGGTCCATGCAATTGACCTGCTTACAAGCAGATTAGAATAAAAGTATGGACTAAAAATTTACAATAATTTTATTTAAAATAAATCGATATGTTTTGTTCTATTTTTGGTATGGAGATTACTACTTATGTGTGATTTATTGATTTTATCAGTGAATAAAATACACTGACTGGCATAAAAAACGATTCACTATGATTTTTTTAATTAAATAAATAATCTTGAATCTTTATATTTGTGTTTACTTTCGGCCAGGGACAGGTCGCTAAAGAACCTACTCCTTACCCTAGCAGTCCTACGTAACAGCGCCATGACTGCTGTTGAAGTCAGGAATCGCCTTGCTGTAGTTCGAGATTTGTATGTAAGTGACAGGACTATCAGGAGATACTTCAATGACCTTCACATGGCCCAGAGCTTACTAGGCAGCATCGAGTCAGAAGACTTGCATTCGCTTAAGAACATGTGAATTGAGATAGGGAACAATGGAGCCAAGTACTGTTCACAGATAAGTCCCGATTTTGCTTACGAGTTTTGTTTGTCTGATTTCTTTGCTAAAGAATGACTTAAATAACACTTATCAAAAAAATTAAGGTTATTAATTACTTAAAATTCAAAGTGAGTCGTTTTTTGTGCTGGTCAGTGAATGTATTTGTAAATAACATTATTTTTTGTAAATGTCATTGTTAATATTTATTAATTAAAACTCGCTATATTTGTCACATGATCTTGTTGAAGGCAGATTTAGATGAGACCTCTTGGTCAAAACGGTATGATAGTTTTGACCCGTTAAAGAAAAATAACAGTTATAACGTGTTAATACTAACGCTTACTAGATGGTGGGACACTCTATAGCCTTCATTATTTGAAGTTCATTGCAGGTGTCCTTTACGTGATTTAGCCTGGTTTCGACTGTATTATGGTTGTAGCACAAATAGGTAGTCTCGACCGGGGAAGGAACGTGCTCTCACAGAGTACCAGCATATAATAGTAGTTTCATAATGTGGTTATCATCATCATTATCATCATTACAGCCCTTCACAAGTCCACTGCTGAACATAGTCCTCCCCCAAGAAATGCCACAAAACACGGTCCTGAGCCACCTGCATCCATCGACTTCCTGCATGTCTTACCAGGTCGTCACTCCATCTAGTGGGGGGTCACCCTACACTACGCCTACCGGTACGAGGCTGCCACTCGAGAACCTTTCTTCCCCATCGGTTATCGGTTCTTCGAGCTATATGGCCGGCCCATTGCCACTTCAGCTTATTAATCCGTTGGGCTATGTCGGTCACTCTGGTTTTACTGCGGATATCCTCATTTCTGAGTCTATCACGCAGAGAAACTCCGAGCATAGCCCTCTCCATAGCTCGCTGAGTGACCTTGAGCGTCCTCATACGGCCAGCAGTGAAGGACCACGTCTCTGATCCGTAAGTCATCACTGGCAACACGCACTGGTTGTACACTTTAGTTTTCAGAGATTGAGGTATACCTGACGAGAAGATGTGTCATAATTTCCCAAACGCTGCCCAGCCGAGTTGAATCCGTCGATTGACCTCTCGGTCGAAGTTGGACTTACCTAGTCGGACTATTTGTCCCAGGTAAACGTGCTCGTCAACAACTTCGAGCATAGTGCTAGGAGGGGGGGACTTGAGTTGCATGTGTATCCTGGCAATTCTCTGAAAATTCAACGCAGCGGTGAAGAGTTTCGGGGATATAACGTCACCCAGTCTTACACCTCTCTGCAGTTGGATAGGTTTCGAACTCTGGTTCTGTACTCGGATAGCCATCGTAGCCCTACTGTACAAGCACTTCAGCACTTCGATATACCGACAGTCAACTTGACACAGCGTAAAGGGACTGTAGCACCGCCCAAATTTCGACGGAATCAAAGGCTTTCTCATAGTCCACATATGCCAGGCAAAGTGGCAGATTGTACTCTTCGGTCTTCTGTACAATTTGCCGAAGGGTACGTATGTAGTCTATGGCGCTAAAGCCTTTTCGTAAACCGGCTTGTTCGGGAGGCTGGAAGTCGTCGAGTCTGCGTGCGAGACGATTCGTAATGACTCGAAAACAGCACGTACACGCGGCTCAGAAGGGAAATCGGTCTGTAGTTCTTTAAGAGAGCGTTGTCGCCTTTCTTAAAGAATAAGACCACCGCACTTCTGCTCCACGCCTCCGGAGTAGTGCCACCATGGAGGACGGAATTGAAGAGCTTCTGAAGGACTTCAAGTACCGGTGTTCCACCCGCTTTCAGAAGCTCCGCTGTAATTCCATCCTCGCCTGGGGCCCTGCCGTTTTTAAGGTGCTGGAGAGCCATTCTAATCTCGCTCAGACTGACGTCCGGGATATCATCGGAATAGTGTCGGGTAAGACTTGCTCTTGGATCGTTACTCACACTTGCGTGTGGCTCCAACGATGATGTGTACAGCTGCCCATAGAACCTCTCAATCTCACTCAAAATCTCAGGTGTCTCGAAAACGATGCTGCCACACTCAGTCTTCAGCTTTGACAGTTGGCTCTTTCTGGCAGACAGATCTCTGGCAACGACTTTGGAGCCCTGGTTCCGCTCGATCGCTTCTTTAATACGAGCAGTATTAAAGTTGCGTAAGTCTCGCCGCATGCATTTGGAGATCTGTCTGTTCAGTTGCCTGTATGCTGTCAAATCTGTTGACGATTGCAGCCTCATCTCCCGTCTAACAGCCATGAGATTAAGAGTGTGATCGGAGAGTTTTTGTGTTCTTCTGCGGCGGGTCTTGCAGAACTTAGCTCCAACCGCATGGACAGTTTCCACGAGCTTGTCATTCATTTCGTCCACTGCATTGCAATCTTCTAGGCACTGAAAGCGGTTATGTAACTCGAGCTGAAAAGTCTCGGGATTCTGGATCAGAGCACGAGGGGGACGGAGCGTTGACTTCATTAGACGAGACCTCTCCAACTTAACGTTAAGGTTCAGTGTGCCTCTAACCATTCGGTGATCGCTGCCGGTTTTCACCCTTGCGATCACTGAGACATCACTGAACAGTTGGCGTCTGGTCGTCATAATGAAGTCGTCATTTTTTGTCGAACCGTCGGAGCTCGACCAGGTCCACTTCCTGTGGGGCCGCTTCTGGAAGAAAGAGTTCATCATAAAGAGTCCCTCTTCCCTAACTTCATCTCACCGCCTTCTCTTGTGCCTAGTTTTGCGTTGAAGTCTCCCATCAACATCGTGTAGTGGGTTTTGGAGGATATCCTCATACATTTCCTCCACCTCCTCATCGGGATGTGGCGAGGTTGGTGCGTAGACCTGTATGACCTTCAGCGAATACCGTTTGGTTATTCTGAGTATCAGGTACGCGACCCTCGTCGACACACTCCCAATCTTTACAACGTTGTAGACGAGAGACTTGTGGACGATAAATCCGACACCTCCTTGGGACAGATGGTCGCCCTCCCGGTGATAGAACAAGTTGCCGGACTCGAGGATTGCCGTGTCCTCCCCCTCTCTTCGGACCTCAGATAATCCAATAATATCCCAGCGCAACTTGTCTACCTCTTCTTCCAGGTCCAGTATCTTCTCGTCAGTCCTCAGGGTGCGTGCGTTATTCGTTGCCAGGTCGAGTCGTCGTAGGTGGCAACCGAACCTCCCCCGGAGATTCTTAGCACCCCCTGCCCCGCCGTTACCATGGTCGCCACTGTAGCCAGGAATAGCGGGGCCGCCGGGGACTGGGGGCCGTTTATTTGCGTCGTTGCTCATGGGGGGATATTTGCCATAGTTGCCACGCTTGGCGAGCGGGTTGGCAACCGCAGTTTTTTATTATGTTATTGTTGTTATTAGGAAGATGCTGCTGCCCATCTCCTGCCTGTCTCCCTCTGTCGCCTCTTACGACACCCACAGGAAGATATGGGGTAGTGGATATTCTCAACCGCCACTACACGGAATGATGTGGTTAGCCCAATGTTAATTTGTATGGTGACTGCAGATAAGCGGAGACTATTTTCACTCGAAGCGAGGCATTCCATCTTAGTCCTGAGGGACTGTGTGGTCTTTTGTCACCCATAATCTATAAAAAACCAATTCATTAGCTGAAGTAGCCATATACGACTACGACTCAGATAGATTGTAAGTTGGTTTCTCATTCCGTTGTATAAAAAAAACGTTAATTCTACTTTTTCTTCTCACAGGAGCACAGTCGCGATGCGTGCACGCACGTACTTCCGTGCGGGCACGTGTGCGGTGGAGTTCGAGGCGAGTCCACTTGTCTGCCCTGCCTCGTGGGTTGTGCCAGCGGAGAGGGCACCATTCCATTGCGCCAAGATGCTGACGATATGTGTATGATCTGCTTCACTGACCCACTGCAGGCTGCGCCGGCCATACAGGTATAAGACTCACTCGCTACTTGTTGAGTAAGACAATATGAGAAAGTCATTGACTACTTTTTACTTATTACAGGTTTAGATTCAATTATGTACACATGTGATTTTTATTTATATGTATTTATTATTCATTCCTTTAATTTATTCTCTGTAAGTATAGTTTATGGTAAACGGAAATTATCATACGGATTATTTCTGGGTTATCTTGGGTATTCTTCGTAATTATCTTTGGTGTCATAGCCAAAAATAATTAAGTAACTTCTCGTACGAGTCCCGTCGAGACTCGATTTTACGTCGTCTTTTGAAAGTTAGTCGGTTGGTTTGGTCATTGTCATTACGATTAATAAAATATATTCCACCCCACAACAAACAACAACATTAACCCACTAGATGGAGTGACCACCTGGTAAGACGTGCAGGAAGTCGATAGATGCAGGTGGCTGATGACATACTTTGTTTGTGAGGGGTGACGATAATATATATATATATATATATTTTTTTTTTTTTTTTTTTTTTTTTTATATATGTATATTAATAAAAGTATGATACATAAAAATAATATAATCAAAAACATAATGTTGACATTCATATTACTGGTATCAATTCCAGCTTACATGCGGCCATGTATTCCACTTGAACTGTTGCAAGAAAGTACTCGCCAGCAAGTGGATTGGACCGAGGATTACCTTTTCCTTCTCGCAGTGTCCCATTTGTAAGGTAGGAAATTTTTATCTAGCAAAAAAATCACAAATTGATTTTTGATATTCGACGTAAGGAATTTCATTTAATGTATTTTATGTTTAATCCAGGAGGACATGAACCACTGGACGCTGGAGGAGTTGCTGGCGCCGCTGCGTCTCCTACGCGAGGAGGTGCGTCGCAAGGCACTGATGCGCCTGCAGTACGAAGGGCTCGGCGACACGCAGGGCCGCTCCGTCGACGACCCGGCTGCGTACGCGATGGAGAGATATGCGTACTACGTGTGCCACAAGTGCGGCAAGGTACGCCGTGTTAATACTGATAACAATATGTTTGGTTCTTATATTAATGTGCCATCATCGTTTCTTTTAAAATCATCAATAAATATTAAGTTATTCGAATTAAATACAACTACTAGACTCCACTCTGCGGCATTACACTCTATTCGTGAAGTTTGACCAAAATTAGTTCAGTCATTCCAATGACTATAATTTAAAGTAATGTCGTTGATATCCCCTTGAACTCGATAAAAGGCATTTCGATATTACGGATTATATGTGTAGATAGATACTAGGACTATCTTTCAACCTAAGGGTCCGCCTACGTAGGTTATCACCGGAGTTGAGAAACTCGTAAACTTATATTTAAAACACAATTTCTCAATTGTTTGATGTTGATGTTTGCTGTGCTCGAAAATAACTGCGCTCGAATATACCGGGATCGATTATCAATTGACACAGCTATTCTTGCGAATAAGCTTGACATCGTGTTGATTTTGTGTATTAAATGTCTTCGCATGTTAACTATTTGTGGAAACGGTGTAACAAGTGCTTCGATGATGCTATAAATTTTAGAACTTTTATTCGCTTGAGTCTTTACATATTATTGTTATTAACTGTCTGCTGGGATAAGCTGTCGTCAAAATTTCCCAAGATCTTCGCAGTGTAACGCATCAACATATTGTGAAGATTTCTGTGAACAACATTCAATAGTGTAACGTTTATGTATTTTAAGTTAAGTTGCATATTGCTATAGGCCAATTTTCTTAATTTTTTTAGTATTTAATGCCTGAAATAAAACATATAATATTGTATAGTAATTGCAAATCATACTAGGCTGTATGGTCTGCGTCCTTTGTCTGGTATAGACGTAACAACAAGCACCGTTGCTCGTAGGCGTACTTTGGCGGGCTGGCGCGCTGCGAAGCAGAGGCGAGCGGGCGTTGGGATCCGGGCGAACTGGTGTGCGGCGCCTGCAGTGACGTGACCGGCGCGCGAGTCTGCCCCAAACACGGCTCCGACTTCCTCGAGTACAAGTGCCGCTACTGTTGCTCGGTCAGTAACGTAGCATGTCCATCACGTAGTTTTATACGCACGAATGGGTCGGCTCTCAGAATAACTGAGTAAAATAGCAACTCAATGCTGTGTTTTGTATAGTGAGCGTAGAGAACCAGAGACCCTTTTTACTGGATATATATTAAGATTATAAATTTGATGTGGTGGAGGCGTTAGGGTATATATCATCAATACCCCATTTTGTACATGGGTATCGTAAGAGGTGCACCTATAGGTGCACCGGTAATTATGCACCTTTATTGTTTGTAAGAGAACGTTCGTAATATTACCTTAAATTTTATTTTTAAATTAGATCCATTTAAAAAAGTAATTTCTATAACTAATCTTTATTGCCAAGGTCCCATAAATATGTGAGGTTGGCTAAAAATACTTTCCTTTTACTTTAAGGTAAGCACATAAAGTAACATAAAACACATAATTTTTAGTATCTTAAAAGTGATTAAAATTTTGATTTAATTTGTTCAAAATCTTTAGGAAGTTAAGATGCATACGGCCAAACAAAAACATAAGCATTCCTTGTAAAAAATACGAACCTTAAAGTTATGTAAAGTATCATTTTTGAAAGTAAATGTTAAATGCTTGGTGGTTAATGGAGTAGGTAAACGCTAAGATCTTTTACTTCATAGTGTTCAAGTTAAAGAAGATGCATGAAAGTGTAAAACATAATTTCGATGCATACAATTGTATTTCAGGTGGCAGTGTTCTTCTGCTTCGGTACTTCGCACTTCTGCAACGCGTGCCATGATGACTTTCAGCGCGTTACCAACATTCCCAGACACCTTTTGCCCCAGTGTCCTGCTGGTAAGTACACGACTTACCAGCTTCATAATTCTTAAAAGTTTCATAATTCAAATTAAAACAAATATTTTTTAACATAATTTGTAGTACATAATCACATAATTTGTATCAATATACGTTATTTCTTTTAGGCCCAAAAGGCGAACAGCTTCCTGGTTCGTCGGAAGAGTGTCCGCTCCACGTACAACATCCCCCTACCGGCGAAGAGTTCGCATTGGGTTGTGGTGTATGCAGACACGCACAAGCATTTTAAATAAAAAACGAATTAAACTCGAATCCATGCCCAAATATTTATTAAATTATTGAATAAAAAATTAAAGTTGGTTAATGATATTTTTAAAACTATACTTATTTTCATGGACTTTAAAAGTAATGTGTCCATATCAGAACAACGGGACATCAAATCATTTAGTTATAACATTCTCCGAATTAATTAAAATGAATAAATTAAATGTTACATTATATTTGGACACACGATTCAAAATTAGCGCTAATTAAGCGATGGGTATATTAATATAGAATTTAAAATAATTTTCTCATTATTATTGTATCTATGGTAAGTTTTGGAGTTAATTTACTATTGAATCGTATCATGCATCTTAAAAGTTAAATAGGAGTATTATGCTAATAACTTATAAAAGAAATATCCTATCGATTGTTTCCTATTGTAACTAAACAATATTTTTGTATAAATATTTGTGTATGCAGAACATCAATAAAATATAACATGACTAAGCAGAGTTTGGTGAAAAATCAATTAAATTTTTGATTAACTCAACGGAAATTCGTTGTTTATAAGTTATTGGTTATACATTGTATAATTTATATAGCTAAATGAGACATCATGGAATTTGGAAAAAAATCTATAAAGTAATAATATCAATATCGATTACGTCCACACTACAGTTGTGCTTATATACTCGTAGTTCTGTTTATTTAGACCTTGCTGTTTAAAATTGCTGATTTTAAACTAGACCTTTAAATAAATTAAGGCGAACGGACTGCATTTCTATACGTCCTCCTACTTCTATTACTAAAAATTCTTATTAATAACATTTCATTTTATTTATTACCTCTGTTAATTGCTTACTAACTACTAACTAATTACTAGAAATATCTTATATATATATATATTTATCTTATTAATGCTGTATTAAAATTGACAAAAAACACTACTCTTCCGATGTTTAGAATCGTCTGATGAATTTAGTACGAACTGGCACCTTCTATTGTAGTCATAAGTAGTCTAGCCTATATTGAGACTATTCCTAGCATATTTCTGGATCATGATGAAATATTATTAAAATTTTAAACAAGTGTCATATAAATCAGCGCTATTCATTGCGCTATTCACATATGCGTCCACTGCACTCATTGTATTCTTACGAGATTTCATCTAACTTTTAAATAATTGCACATGAATACTTACACAGGCTTAACAATATTCTATACGGGAATAATCCAATATGAATATTTGCTAATTATCTTCCATTGCAATTAATTTGAATTTTGGTAGGGAACTTGGGTATAAATAATTTAAAAAAAAAACTATTCGAAATAATAATGTGGTGAATTATCGCGGTTTTAAAATTAAGGTTGTCGAAACAAAATTAAAGTTATAATGATATCGTGATAGAGTGAGAACTTTAACAAATTATGACTGACGATAGAATGACAAAAATCATGCGTTGGATGTGAATATTTATTCAAAAGTTCAATTATTGGGATGAAAGTGACAGGCTATTGTTTGTGTGGTCAGATTGCATTGAAGGTTTCTCAGGAGATTGAGCACTTCATCGGGCTATTGAGTTCTATGAAATACATAATCCATATAAAATCTAGTTGTAGTTCTCAGCATATCTATTGTGCAACTTTAAATATCTAAATGTACCGTAATTAACTCTGTGTCTGATAAAATAATATAGTATGTTGTGTTTAGATAAAATATGTCTACTGTCACTAACGTCCTCGAGCTTAATACCAAAACAATTACATTACCTACGAGTTACGATTTTCCTTAAAGTCTTACCAAATTCTATACCTTACCTGATTTGATTTTTTCCGTTTGCCATTTTAATTCATTTGGAATTCATTCATTATATTATTGAAAATATTATAAAACACACACGTTCATGCTCATACATATATTTAATTCAACAACTTAATAATTTATTTTTAATACAACCGAGAAGATGCGTGAGTTACGAACTTTTTACATTTGTTTGATATTTGACTCCTGCCTGCCGACCTCCTCTTTATTATATAGATCATAAGTTACACGCATTCCCGCTTATGGATCTACGTACTTCCTATATATTCTTAATCATTTATCTATGTGTGGGATATATAGTAAACCTATGGTTACTATGCATATATATGTCTAGTCGTCCAATATATAAGTGTAATATGAATTAATATTATCAATGTTGTTGCCTAAATGTATTATCAGCTTATATCAGCTTGTAGAACAATAGTTTCCGATATACAAAGAGCTCATATTGCCAGGTTTAATACAATAATTTTGTAATTTTGATATTTGCAATTTTTTTCTTTGGTGACGGAATTTTACACGTTGCGTTATAACTTATTACCTAAGATATTTTTTACCGAATTCTCCTGAAAGTATTTACCCACAGTAGAAATTTTACATAAAACTAGCAGTTTCACGGTTATTTGTGATACGATTATATGTGATTGTATACGTGATAACTGTATTAATATACAGTTATCACGTATGGCAGTTAACAATGCTGTGTTGGTCCCTACTTTAACGTATGGTATTGAAAATTGGGTGTGGCAGAAGAAGCATTATAGTAGAATAACGCGGAAATAGAAATGCAGTCGTTAAGGAGTATGTTAGGGCTAAATCTGAGTGATAGGGTGAGAAAATGTGTGATAAGAGAAGAGCGTGGTTTGCAAGATGTTGTTGTGACCAAGATTAAGAAAGCAATGCTTCGGTGGTTTGGTCATGTGGAAAAAATGAATGAGGATAGAGTGACGATGCAAATTTATATTGCAGAAGTGAACGGCAGAGTCGGAAAGGGACAACCTAGGCGAAAGTTTATCCTTGGCGTATATTAAAAATGGTTATTACCTTTAATCGATGAGCATGTATGCGTGGTAGGGGGAGGGGGTGTGTCAGGATCGTGCCAAATGGAAGTCGATAGTGTCTGCCTACTCCTCTGGGTAACAGGCTTGAATGTTTATGTATGTATGTGCAGTTATTACTGATGATAACAAAATATTTTTTTAATTTATTTTTCTCCCCAAAATATAAAACCACTTCTGAAATATAATTTACCCCGGTCGAGCCGACCCATTCTTGCTAAAATCATAATATATGTAGCTGCTGCGTGCACAGCATCTCTTGACTTACTAATATTACACCAACATTGTTAATGGTAATCGAAATTTAAAATCCGTCACCAAGGAAGCATTGCATAATGGAATTTAGTATGTGCTATGTACCGCAAATTTCACCTGCATTAGCTCGTTAGAAAGCACGTAAGGAAAACAATCTTTTAAATTTATATTTATTTATCAGCGCGAACAGCGAATATGCGGCTCTATACATAAAACTACATACATACTTACGTATGAAAAAAATTAATTTGAATTTTTGCGGTATATGGATACAGTTGATTTATTTATAGTTGCTCTTTGGAAATCATTTACTAATTTTATTTAATCGTTTGCGTTTGTGTTTTCACTCAGTGGCGTTTTAGGGTGACAATTCTGTTTGGCTATTTGGAAATCTGGCTTTACTTAACGGTGGCAGGGCAAAACAATGTTTAACGATTTGAAAGATAAAATAGTTGGCTGTGGTACGACCTTTATTTGAATTGGAAATTATTTAATTGAGTAATAAATTAAATTAATTGATGGTCTCCATCTCATAAACGCCTCATGAGTACTTTTCACAGACTCGCAGATTTACTGTAAAGTTATCTGCGAATATACATTTTTGAATAACAATTTTACTGTAAAGTTTCCGTTTACTGTACTGGCAATGTTATTATTTAATGCATTTTCAAACGTCTGTATGTTAGATTACTGACTACGGCAAATATTCAATAAAGCTTATGAGAAAGTAAACGCTGTTTATTATTTTTATTGTGATTATTCATATACGAATACGACCATATAATCATCGATTATCGGTTATCGCTTAGTTAACCGTAACTATAGTTAGTTAAGTATGAATTATTTTTTTTTGCGCCCGAAGCAAATATGGGTAACCCTCCGGAAAGCGGGGGAGGGAGGCTGGGAATGCTCATAGCATACCACGCAGCCGGCTGCATGGTTATGTGGCGACTTTTATCCACTAAACCCAACCTTTTAGGAACTGGCTTAACGATCTAACTAGAGATCTCTAAGCCGTATACGAACGCGACCCTCCTTGGCAGAAAGGAGGGCGCAGTATGTATTATCAAGTAAATCTTTCTATAGTAACATTTCCTAAAGAAATAGTGTGTGAGAGAGAGAGAGAGAGAGAGAGAGAGAGAGAGAGAGAGCGAGAGGGAGGGAGAAAGAGAGAGGAGAGCAATTATAAACATTATCATTCTTATGCTGATGTCAATGAGGGCTTCAGCTCATCAGATGTCGCTAGTTGACACTGAGGTAAAGTCTTTTGTTACATAGTGTCATTTAATTACGAAGTTAGTTTTAAATAAAAGTTTATTAGTTTCTAGAGTATTATCTTAATTCACACAACTGCGCCTCACTGGTTTGTTATCTAATTGTTGCACATTTTTAACGTTTTTATATACATTTCTACTTTTATGAATATCTGTGGTTTGGTTTATTTATTTTTAATATAGTTAATATAAAATGTAACTATGAGTAATGGTAAAGCAAAAGACATTATACTTTATATTTTTCGAACAAATTAACTTCCACATTAGGGGCCATCTATACATTACATCACACGTTAAGGGCTGGGGGAAGCACCAATAAAATGTGACGTTATGTGACTAGAGACAGGGGTCGGGGGTTATAACTATGTGACGTTACATGTTAAAATCTAAAATACTAAAACGCAAAATTTATGTGTAAATCAAAGACTTATATTACTAATATAATAATAATATTAATAATATTACTAACTCGATCTATATATATAAGGCTTATGTAGGTTTAAGTCGTCCGCGAGTCCAAAAGTCCGTGGATACAAGATGATTAAATTTTGTATCTTTTATTCATATTATTAATCGTTTATCGTTCTTTAATTGGTCTTTTGTTTAGTGCATATCT